CCAAAGTCCGAGATCACAGCGCGGTATTCTCCATCCAGCAGGACATTCAGCGATTTGAGGTCTCCATGGACAATGGCGTTGCCGTGGAGGTAGGCCATGCCGGAAGCGACCTCGTACATGAGGCGGAGGCGATCGTCGAGCGAACGTGGGTTCTGGGGATCGGAAATATATCGCTTCAAGGTTCCGTTCTTCATGAACGGCGAGACCATGAAAGGACGCTCGGTAGTATCGCATGCACCTCGGAGCGGAAGGACGTTGGAGTGGCTCAGCTTGTACCAGACTTCGATTTCACGGCGAAACTGAGCAATCTCAGTCTCGTGGTAGCTGGTCAGGAGCTGCTTGACGGCAACATCCGAGCCATAGTAGGTTGCGGTGAACACCTCGCCAAAGCCGCCGCGGGCGATCGGTTCAAGGGAGCGGTTCGTGATGGAGCCGGCGGGGATGCGCCATAGCTCGTGCTTCATGGAGCGAGAGACCGAGGACTGGTTCTGCAGCATGTGGAGGAGCGGAGCGACAGCCTTTTCGACAACTCGTTGGGTGACGTCGCCTTCCTGAAGGAGGTTCTGGATGGCGTCGGTGGCTTGGCGGATTTTCCACTCCTGCTGGTTCAGACGAATGTCCACTTGGTCCAAGACGGCGGTATTGTTCTGCTGGAGGAGGGTGGTGATTTGGGCGATGAGGGCCTGGTTCTGGGCTTCGTCGTGCTGGACAGCTTGGCGGAGGTCAGCTTCGTTGAGCATGTCGTTGCTGTTGATGTTGAGGGCCAGCTTCACACCCTGCCAGAGGACACTGAGCTCTCGACAGAACTGCTCGATTCGGCGGCGGATCTTGTTGGCCCTGAAGACCCGCTCGACTTTGTGGAGGGCCTGGACCTCGTTGGTGTAGTATTCCTGGATGGCATTGAAGAAGGCAGTAAGCCTGTCCGCTTGCGAGGAGAATCCAGGCGCATCGGTCCGAGACTGCGAGAGAGCGATCAAAATGTCGCGGGAACGACGGGCCAGGACGCCCCACGACTTTTGGCTCTCGTCCGCCTGCTGGACATCGGTGAAGAGCGCCAAGACAACTTGGACGAGGCCTTGGAGGGAGCGATCGGAATGGTGGGCGAGTGCAGTGATTTCACTGGCAATTATAGTGATTTCGAGGATTGGCATGATTGTGGAAGGCTGGCGATCAAGCGGGAAAGTCTCCCAGGAACAAGCCTTCCATTCCGCAGCCTCGCCCCTTTTATTCTGGCTCGGTGGCGAAGCATGGCACATGATCCGACAGAGTAACACGAAGCCAGGCGCGCAATGGTCACGCAGCCACATGCGCAGTGTCAAGCCACACCGCGTGGATGGCAGCCCAACGAACACAAGGTTCACACAAATGATTGGGGCAGCCCGAACAAGCAGTCACCATCTTCCAGAATGGCATTCCACATCATAACAGCCCGACGTGCTCACCGTGATCAAGTGATAGGTTGCTGTCGAGACGACATCTTCGAATGGGCACGATGTGGTGCATGCACAAGCCATCCCATTCGACTCTGGGCTGTGGGATCGGGAATCGCCCCATTTCGTTCTTACCAACCACATCACTACCGAGAGTATATAAGCGAGCCTCACCTCCCCACATCCCTAGTTCCCTTTGCCCCTCATCAAGAATCCTACCATGACTTCCGAGGCCTGCTCACCTTTCATGCTTCTCGGCCCATTGCCCTCGACATTGTATTCATGGAACAGCAGCAGAGATTATGGGAAATCTGCAAATACACTCTCTTTCCAATGGTCCTTGTCTCTCATTGACTCCATTGCACTCCTCTCTTCATACTTGTACCATGCTCTCACTCCCGCGCCTCACAACCCGACTGACATCTGTGCCTTCCATCCCGCCAATGAACGACGCAATTCTACCCAATCATCTCATGTGTGCCTGGTTGTGATGTGGCCAGTATTGTTGGTCCTCGGGTCGATCGTTCTCACACTCTCACCAAATCTCAGTCCATACCTGCATTTCATGACCGAGGCTGGTCGACTCTGATCTGTGAATAGGAAGGCTCGAGTTCGTTTCTGATTCCACGATGAATACATGTGGCAGTACATGTGGCAGTGCAGTGAGTAACACCGAGTCCAGCCAACAAACCAACGGATCGAGCCAGGCTTGTGTGTTTGTGTTGGATGGCCAGGGCATGGCTTGCCAGGGTCTGGCTTGCTTCGCCACAACTTGCTTCTCTGTCTCCTGTCCATCTCCATCACCCACTTGCCTCCCTCCTGTCTCCATCAACATAGCAAGAATGAATGAGCCTGCTTTAACCACCGCATCATCTGCCACTCACCAATCTCAAGCTGAAGCTAGAACAGCCTCGTCGATGCCCAATATCAACCAGCTCTCCCTTGGACACAGCCCAGACATCTTCACCATCATCTGCTGCAACGACAGCTTCCAGCTTGCCCTCGACCACAACACCATCAAGATCCTCCTCCGAGTGTGCAAACGGGCCCGCCCTCTCCTGAGCTCCAAGGTGGTTCGCTTCCACACCTGGTGCCAGAAGGCTGGATTGTGTCATCCAGATGGACAGATGCGGATCGGTCTCACCCCCAGCGAGACGATTGCGCTCTCGCTACACTGCGAGAACCAATACACTGGCAGCCAGTCCTGGCTCGTTGCTCTGGCGGACCAAGGAAACGCATCCGCCTCCTATATCATGGCAAAGATCCTCCAACTCGATCTCGACCAAGACCAAGTGAAATGGTCCGAGAAGGAAGCCACCAAGCAGCAAATCTTCCACCATTTGGAGAACGCCGCCGAAGCCCAACATCCGATGGCACAGTTCCACCTGGCTAAAGGTTATCATGACGGCAATGGATTCAACCAATCCCCAGCCAAGGCTGTCGAGCTATACCTCAGCCTTGCAGAACGGGGGATCCCTCAGGCCCAAATCTCCCTTGGTCAAAGTTATGAGAACGGCGAAGGTGTCGATCAAGACTTCAATGCAGCCATCGAATGGTATTCCAAGGCTGCGGACCAGAGCAGTGAAGACGGCCGCCTCCACATCGTATTCCTCCGAGGATGGTTCTCGTTCATCGGCCATGGTGTCGAACAGAGCGATGTCGATGCCTTCAATCGCTGGCAGGAAGTCAGCACCCAATCTACCGATCCAGTCATCAAACCCATCGCCACCCACATGGTTGGCTGGATGCACTACCTTGGCCGGGGTACTGTGCAGGACAATCAGAAGGGTGCCAAGATCATCCGAGAGAACAAATCGGATGAGTTTCCACTGGGAGAGGACGAGTGTCTGGCATCGATTTGGAATGACACCAAGTCCGACTCAGCCGCCGCACGCAAGTTCTTCGAGCTGTGCAAGCTGGGATCAGATCGGGACTGGCTGTGCAGGCATCTCATGGCTGTGTGTCTGTTCCATGGATTCGGAACTACAAAGGACGATGCAAAGGCAACATGCATCTTTGAACAACTCGCCAAAGATGACCACAGTGACAGCCAGTTGTGGATCGGAATGTGCTGCTACTGGGGTCTGGGAGTATCGCAGGACAACGAGATGGCATTCGAGTGGTTCAGCAAATCGGCCAACCAAGGCAACTCGTATGGGCAGTGGATGGTCGGTCATTGCTACTATCATGGATCCGCAGTCACCAAAAACCTCACCAAGGCAATCGAGTGGTATGACAAGTCAGCCGAACAGGGCAATCGATACGGACAATGCTGTCTCGGCCTCTGCTACGAAACTGGCTGGGGTGTCCCAGAGGGCATCGACATCGCCATCTTCTGGTATCGCAAGTCCGCCGATCAGGGTCTTGTAGCTGCCATTGACAACCTCAAGGACCTCGGAAAATGGCCCTGATCCCGAGATTCCTCCTGATTTTCCCTTTCAATCAACCAAATCACATCACCGGGCATGCAAGCAGATCTGCCAAGCAACTACATCACCGTCACTCATTTCAGACACCAGAATGCCAGGCAGTTGGCATGCATAGCGATTCCGATAGCGCGGCAGTGTTGCACCTGACATTCAACTCGCCCAACATACAACCAGGGCTTTCCATCGACACCGACCGATTGATTGATTGATTGATTGATTGATTGATTGATTGATTGTGTGGTTTATCCCTACAGTGCTGAATGCATCGCCAGCAGAACCCGGCATCTCTCCCACGACTACCGAACATGGTACTATCGACAAACGTGCACACGCAGTGCCTGAGAGAGTCGGGCTCAGCCACGATGTCGGATGCATTGGATATCCGAACACCGGCCGAGCGAATTACTGGGTTGGTACTGCGCACTTGGGCTCTGTATAGGTACCACATTGAACACACGAATACCACATCTACTCTCGAGAGAGAGGTAGGAAACTCAAAGAACCAGATCACGACGAAATCGATTCCCTGCAACCCTCCCAAAAGACCGTCGGTTCCAGTGAATCGCCTCAACAGAGCAGCAGGAGTGGGCGAACTGGCCACGCTCACAGCAGCACCTTATGATATGCCGACCTTGCTGTGTGGACAGCCCTGCCCTCGGTTGATGTGTCCATGGGAGCAGGCTTGTCGACATCTTCTGGGACCTTGTTGTGTAGAGCATCAGCGATGATGATGACGGACACGGCTAATCATACGTGTGTCCTGTGATAACGAGATATTCGCCCACTTCTCGCTTAGTTCATGGGCTCGCAAAAATGCAGAACTGTTCTCGATAACTCCTATATTTCCTCAAACTCGAGAGGGAAGCAACGCTGCCGTCGGCGTGCAGTCCGACAACTAAAATGAAAGCAGCCTGGGTTGAGCCCAGCGTGCATTGGAAGCACAGTTGGGGCCCATACAAGAGTCGGACGTGGCCAGGAGACCTCGAGAGATCCCTATGTGCCATTTTAAAGCGTGGATTCTGCTCGTCTCAAGCAGCCGTATCATCAGAGCCTCCTTCGGACTCTGGAGTTGCGTTGCCCTGAAGCAGACTCTGAATCAGCTGGACGGCGCCACCAATAGGGTCCTCCTTGGCCATTTCATCGGCAATCCGATCACAGTTTTTCTTGTAAAACTCGGGGCGATCTAGAAGTATATCTTTCAGAGCAGCGACCAGTGTCGCCGTTGAAAAGTCGTCCAGGTCGATGACGGTGCCGATACCATGATGCTTGGCGACCGAGCCCATAAATGGCTGGTCCAGGAAGTGGGGCACGATGATGGCAGGGAGTCGATACTTTGCGGCCGTTTGAGTCGTACCGGCGCCGCCGTGGTGGACTGCCACATGGCACTTTGGAAACAAGTAGGTGTGCGGGTACGATCCAAGCAGACGAAAGACTCGCTTCTGTCCGATCAGAGTGTCCATATCCTCCCGCAGTTGCTGGTACTTGGAGTCGGCCTCGGCTGATGCGATGTCTTCCTGACCCCACGAAAACGAAAAGATGGCCTTGAGCTCGAGACCCTGACTTTCGAGCTCCTGGATTGCAGCGAGCCAGATGGACATGTGGTCAATCTCCTTGGTCGAGGTCGGGCCAATCTTTTGAAGCGACCCGTATCCAAAGTAGACGATCCGTCCGGTGGCAAGAAAGTCGACCTGGAAAGCAAGGGATCGTCAGATAAAGCCCGAAAGCCTGACCATTACTCCACTGCTGGCTCGATGACCCACCAAATCCTGAGCAGGCACGAACGGCTTGGCACAGAGCTCGGGCCCCAGCAAGAGCGGGCCAGAGAAAAGATGTTCCATGGTTGGCTTGCTAGAAACGAGTCATCGACATGTCGTCACCGATGTTAGCCAAATAGCACTTTGTTGCAGATCAACTCGATCAAAGTCAGGGAAGAATGCCGCCCATCCATCTGAGCCATAGCGTCCACATCGAGAAGGCTTTTCCACTGCAGCCGCATCGAGAATTTGGGCGGCGGACAAAACACTCACAAGTCCGAGGGGATGGGAAGCAGTGCCGGGCTGAAGGCGCACATGAAGGGTGTTCTGGCAAGCGCTTCTCCGTCCGTCAGTAACTTTTGGAGAACGTCATAGAGGATCGTAACAGACGAGGGCAGGAAGCCGCGGCGGTATCCGAGAGCTCTCCGTCTTGCTTGGAAGATCGGATTGAGATTCCAGATCGCTATAAAGCCATAGGAAGCCCACTGGGTTCAACTGGTTACCAGCTGGATTCATCCCACATACGCACAGAACTCTGTCTGTTTACATCGGTGGCAGCGCGGGCTGATGTGCGAGGGCACTACCCGAGACTTACCGACATGATATTGCTATAGCCGGTCTGTTTGCTGTCGGGCTGGTAGAGCTGGCTCATCATCGGGGGTGGGTAGTCCTGCGTAGCTCGGCCGGGCTGCAGGTTGCAAACTACAAAGGGGATACCTCTCGCCTGGAGCTACAGGCACAATGCGGGCCATCAACTCTGTCAGTCTGTTTCATTGATCTCATCGGCGGAGAATGGCCCAGAGGAGCTACAACATTCCGGATTGCAACCGGGACACAACGGCAGCCCACAGCGCAGACACTGGACTCGATACTCACATCGTCTTGGAGCCCGACGCCGACATTAACCAACACAGCCAAGTCCACATCCTTGAGATGCTCGTCGACGGTTCTGTAGAGGTATTCTAACACAGAGGCCGAGGCCTGGCGGCGAGTCATCGATGGCGCAGGGAGGGGCGCATACGCCGGGTCAGGAACAGCCGATGCACACAATCACAGCTGGTTGAATGGGGGCGATGGTGCTTGGGGACCCGTTGAATCTCACCCGCATGAGAGCCGCTACGCCTCGGGGATCTCCACGATACTTGACAAACAGCTCAATCTCCTTGGTTTCGAAGCCATCCGTGGTGCACATGATGGGGTCGTCCTGACGACGGGGAAGAAGAAGAAATGTCAGCGCAACTGACACATGGGGCACGCCAGCGATGCGCCACGCAGATCCACCCGAGACACGATAGCGATAACTACATGATGATCGAAAAACTCGAGGCCTTCTTCCAGGATTCGGTCCTTCCATTTGCCGGGGGTTATCATGCGAATACGGTAGTTGCACCGGGTGTGGAGGGCACGACCGAGTGCAATCATCGGCAGGACGTCGCCGGCGGAGCCCAGGGCATAGATGGCGATGAGCGGGGGCGGCATGGCGGGAAGCGAGGGGTGGAGGCGGGCTGGCGGGAGGCAGCCGGGGCCAGGGGCAGATGGGATCGACGGCAAAAGCAGAAGCGAAGGAATGGGCAACGAGGGCGGTGGAAACGGGGGCGGTGCTGGGTGGGCCGCGCAGTGAAACTCGGTTGGCCCTGCGCGTTCGATGTTCGAGAGCACACCTGGACGTCTCTGGTGGTGGATGAACTGCTCGAAATACCGAGCAAACCGGAGTCTCTGTGGACTGGATGCACTCCCTTCCCTTGCTTCCTGGAGGCATTTCCAAAGGCAATCACCTCCTCAGTCTCCTTAGACATACTGTTTGGCCAAGGTTGCAATGAGTGGGGTGGGTAGGTAGGTGTATTCAGGCTCCAGCAAAGAACAGCTGTCCTGGCTCGAATCGGGGTGTCCCCCTTCTCATGCGCAAAGACTACAGCGTGACAAAAGCAAATCAAATGTCTTCCGTATCGTTATCCCCACCCGGAATAGATTCAACACTGGGCTGGGTCCGCCACGTTGTCATCAGAGAAGATGTCGAGCAAGTGCGAGGCAAAGGTATCGGCCAAGCGCTGAATAACGGAGGTGTCGTAAATCTTTGCAGCATAGTAGAAATTGAATGTCGGCTGTCCGCCTTCAAACTCGAGGACGCATTCCAGAGGTTGATCCATACATTCATAGTCCGGATGTATGGATCCGAGATGCTTGATGTTGGGTACGCCTGGAGCGTCAGTGACAGCAATGCTCTGGAGTGAGCTATTCTCGGGGTTAATTTGCACCAGCAACATGGTCTCGATAACGTCGACAATGTCCGCTGCTTGTGCATAGCTGGTGAGCTCGGTGAATGTCACATGCATATGGTCAAACGAATGAACACGTTGATCTTGGATGGCTCGAAGCAGGTTGTCCACAGAGGACCCAGGACCACAGTTGAGGACCACGGGGATGATGTTGGTGAATGCTCCCATGGTGCTGAGGAAGGAAAACGAAATTTAAAGGGTCATTCGGTGCAATATGTTCATTCAGGGTATGTTAATGCAATTGAACTTCTGCCGTCAAGAGCGTCACCCTATCGAGACTTGATCCTCTGAGGATATCCATAAACATCACATCCACCGCCTCGAGTGATGAACAGTCGCCGCCGTATTCAATCGATAACATACCGGTCAAAGTTCGGAACTGGGGCGTTGCGCCGCGACAGCAACGATCCGAATGCAATCTTTGGTTTGCCACATATGGACGACAGCGTGAGGCCCCACGCCGCCTGGGCTAGATCACCAATAGTTGCTCCGCGCTTTCGGGCTACGCTTGTCATATGCTGGAGATCCGTTTCGAGGGACCGCTTGGCGTGGGCTGTGGGGATGTATCGCAGATGTTTCCGCGTCTCCATTCCTGGAACTTGAATAGATGGTATACGGGCAAAATCCCCATGATCATGGAGGAGCCCCTGCCAATACTTTGCCGTGGCGACCTTGTCGAGCGAGGAGACATATTCAAAGAGACCTCGCTGGGATGGGCGCTTCTGAGGCGATTCTCCGCTGAACAACTTGTAAAAGTCCAAGAAAGGGAAGCTGGCACATGTTCCGTCATAGATAGCGTGGTGATTTGTGATCACGACTCTCAGGGTTTGTTCAGAGTCGTAGCATTCAGCCACATAGAGGGACATGAATGCACGATTCTCGATGTATGAGCTGTCTGGAGTTTCCAGGAACGACGGCTTGGAGATGTTTTCCAGGAGCGAAGGATCAGAGAGAAGTATGGGCTTCTCGCAATGTGTAGAGTCAGGGGACAAGATGACCTGGGGGATCAAAGAAATCGGATGGGCCAATGATATTGTGAGAGGTCACGAAGGATGAAGAGGAAATGGTGAAGCCGACGCATGAGAAAAAGTACAATAATAGAGGGTGTGGGTCCTCAATCCGGTTGGAATGAATGGCTGTTGCAGTAGACCGTGTGTGGACAAGCAAACAAGCAGCACAGGGAGCAACGTCACGGGCGCAGGGGAACGACATACCTGGAATACGCCATATTCAGTCGAGACGAAACGGGTTCGGATGGTTTCGTAGAGATCAGAGAGCCGCTTCCAGGAGTCTGTGATTTGATCCAGCGAGACATTTCGGACTTCAAAGACGTCTGTGGCACCAAAGGCGTGCGGTTGCGATTTGACCCACTCAAGCAACACTTGCTGCAGGGGAGTGGCAGGAAGAATGTTCTCAACCTCTTCTGCCGCAATATCAAAGTGTTTGAGCCTGGCTTCAACAGCAGCAAGCTCAGAATTGGACACGAGTGCTGATGGTTGTTTCAGCTTCGGCTTTGACAGAGAATCGCCGTCGATTGCAGAGGCAAGGTCGGCGATGGTCGGGTGCTCGAACAGATCCTTGACCGAGAACTCAATTCCTGCCTTCTGTGCCTCGGATACAACTGCGATCGCTTTGAGAGAGTCGCCGCCAGCCTCGAAGAACGTGTGGTTGGTTCCGATCTTGGCCACCTCGACTCCAAGTACACGGCTCCAAGTGTCAACCAGACGCATCTCAGTCTCGGTCTCGGCCGGCTGGATCGTCTCGTTCGTTTCAAAGCTGACCTCGATAGCGTCGAGAGCCAGTCGATCGATCTTGCCGTTGTTGTTGATTGGCAGTTGTTCAAGCGGTACAATCAGCGTCGGCCACATGTGCGCTGGGAGATGGCTCTCGATCGTGCTGCGAACCGCTCGGATATCGACCGAGGCGGGAGACACAAACACAACGATGCGGTCAGACTTGACTGTCGCGCACGATGCCGACACCTGTGCCATGTGGGTGTCGAGGGTCGAGGTGATCTCATCGAGCTCAATCCGGATGCCACGGATCTTGACCTGGTGATCAATTCGGCCAAAGCACTCGAGCTCGCCGTTGGCAGTCCATCGGACCAGATCTCCGGATCGATACATCCTCATGTTGTCGAAGAACGGATTGATGGTGAATCGCTCGGCCGTGAGATCGGGTCGGCTCACGTATCCGGGAGAGACACCGACACCGCCGATCCAGAGCTCGCCGGCGACTCCGACTGGCACAGGTCGGCCGCTCTTGTCCATGATCATGACGAACCCGTTCTGGATCGGCTTTCCGATGGTCGGAACATCGTCGTTGAACAGCTTCGTGGTGATCACAATTGCTGTTTCGGTCGGACCGTAACTGAATCGAGGACAACGCCAAATGCGGTTAGTTGGAGTCGAGACGGCCATGCTGACTCATCAGCTCGAAGCCATCATCGATGTTGCCACCAGTGTCGATCCATCTGCCAGTGCCAGATGTGAATGACAGTCGCGACGACACTGTCCTTGCCATTCTCCCGTGCCAATTCCAAGGTCGATGCATTCCCCGATTCCAACGCCAATCTCACGTCAGTGCCAATGTCAATCCCAATGGTAACGGCAGTGCCAAGGCTCATGTCAGCCGCGATATCAACACCGATATCAACACCGATCTCGATGGCAGTCTCGACGACGCTGGGTGAGAGCCTCGTCACAGTGCCAATGCCACCCCACGTACCCGTTGTACAGCCTCGATCGCGTTCTCCACAGCTGGATCGTCGAGTTGGTGATTCGCTCGCCTGCCGACATCAGGAACCTGATGTTGGTGTAGTCGTCTGGTGCACCCATGGAGTTGATCAGCGACGGAGTCGTCATCGCCACGTCGCAGTGCTTGAAGGCATCAAAGTTGAGTTCTGGCGGAACAACCAGACAGCCGCCGACATCAAAGCAGGGGAAGATCTGGATCATGCTGTAGTCGAATGTCATCGCCGACGAGAGGAGATACCGTTTGCTGTGTGCTGCCGCAGCAGCAATATCGCGCGAGACATGGTCGATGGTGTTCACAGCACCGCCGTGTGTGATCGTCACACCCTTTGGCTTTCCTGTCGATCCCGATGTGAACAGGATGTACGCCAGTGCTGTGCCGTCGTTTGTGGACTGTGGTGCAGCGGAGCCGTCATGGGATCCATCGTCGGTCTGGTTCATGAACACTTGGCGGATGCTTGCACTGATGCTTGCCTCCAGTGGCGTCGCCGGAACAGTGTGGATGATGGCAAGCGGCGAGACATCGGCAATCATCGACTCGATTCGATGAACCGGATAGCTTGCATCGATTGGCACATACACGCCATCGGCTTTGAGGATCGCAAGCAGACCCACGATCATCTCGACCGACCGACTGGTCAGGATCGCAACTGGGACATTGCGTGTGACCCCGAGCGACCGCAGTTGGTGGGCCAGCACATTGGCTCGTCGGTTTGCCTCGCCGTAAGTGATCTGGTTGTCGCCGCACTCAATGGCAATGCTGTCTGGCGTCGTGGCGGCGTGGTGCTCGAATCGGTGTTGGAGGAGTGTGTTTGGATCGAGAGGGACGGATGGGCCGGTGCCGAGAGCAACCACTGCCGCCATCTCGCTCTCGCTGAGACCAACGAGGTCGCCAAGCATGAGGTTCGTGGAAGCCGAGTCACACATGCGAGCGATGGTGGAGGCCAGACACTCGCCGATGCTGGCCACGATCTCGTCGCTGAACATTGTCGCCTTGTACGCAAGACTGACCGAGGCGCTCGAGTCGTTGGCAAAGACAACCTCGACAGTGAGTGGATAGTCCGAGATGTTGCCGCTCCTGTCGATCCAGCGCACGCTGAACGAGTCGGTGGTGACTGTGTCCGGGACACTTTCGTTGTTCTGGAAGACCAACAGACTGTCCATCAGCTGATCCGAGGTCTGTTTGTTGAGCCACTTGAGGATGTTGGACATGGACACGTGGGAGTGTGGGAGCGAGTCGATGTGGCTTGCATGTGTGGTCTTGAGGAACGAGGCAAGGGCCAGCGATGGGTTGATTGAGAACGGAGCAGGAACGGTGTTGACGAAGGCACCGGCCATTCTGTGGAGGTAGGTGGTGGGTGATGGGTGGTTGGTGATAGAGGAACACAGTCAATGTGCTTGCTTCACAGCGACCTCATGGCGATCGACTGCCTGTGTCTCCGATGTCTCTGGCTCACACTCTGTGTTTCCGATGTCCCTGGCTCACACTCCATCCAACTGCTCTCGGCCACAACCCCACTGCACACCACACGATCTTGGACACTCACCTCTCGATGCCACGCACTGGCACCTGGCGTCCCGACACAACCCAGCCAAACACAACATCGTCGACACGTGTGAACTTGTGGAGAACCATCGCCCATGCTGCCTTGGCCATCGTCGCCGGTGTCACCCCAAAGCCGTGGGCCGCACGCTTAATGTCCGTGAGCGACGGTGCAATCGCCACAGTCAGATCCTTGAAGGCTGGTCCGGTTGACAGTGCACCATCAGTGGCGCTCGGGTGTGAGATCGATGGGAGGAATCCTCGCTCCGACGACTTGATTGCCGTCAGAGAGCCAGTCCAGTACACCTCGGTGGCAAGCGGATCCACAGCAGCAAGGAACTGGAGGAACGGTCGCGACGACGGCGCAGGTCGAGGAACGTGGCCCGAGAGGATGGCAAAGAGGTCTTTGACGATCAGGGGAACAGACCATCCGTCGTAGACGGCGTGGTGGGCCGTGATGGTGACAACAAGGGTGGTGCTGTTGCCGATGGTCGTGGCGACAGCATCACGGTGTAAGGAGTGAACAAGCGCAAGGACGAAGACCAAGTGCTTGGTATGAGCTTTATTAGCTTTTAGCCCCGAACACCAAAGAACAAGTTTTGTTCGAACTGGTGTTCAACATAGGCTCAGACATGCAGGGCTATTTATAGACCGGGAGAAGGTCGAGGGGCAAAAGTGGGCGAGAAGGGTGGAGCATCACAGAGAAGCGAGAAGGGGGTGCGAGAGTGGCTGGTGTGCAAGCGAGAGAGGCTTGGCACAGCCCGGGGACATGTGCCGAGCGGTGGGGGAGGCAGGAAACCAGTAGACGCGGGTGGCAACGGCGCGTGCTCATGCATGGGGGCAAACAAACACGTGGGGACTCATGATTGGTGCGGAGGGCGAGAGCATGCGGGACAATCTCATTGGTCCGTTGTGATGCTGGTCATCACACTATCTCCTCCTTAAACTACGGCGTGTTCCATCTTGAGTTCTCCTGGGGCCAGGCTTGTCTGGGTAGCGTCGGTGGTACTCCGCGGCCACCGTTGGGGCAAAGACAATGTCGGCGGGCTCCCAACTTCGATCGGTGACCGGGTAGCCTTTCCAATCGATGAGATAGTGCAGCTTTCCGCGCACGAACTTGGAGTCTAAGATCTCTTCGACCTCCCACTCCAAGTTCCCATCGATGACCACCGCAGGGGGCGGCGCTTGCACCCGACCCGGAAGCGAGTTCTTCTTGTAGGGCTCAAGAAGAGACACATGGAACACCGGGTGCACCTTTATGTCCTTTGGCAAGTCCAGGCGGAAAGCCAATGTCCCGACGGCCTCGAGGATGGTGAATGGTCCAATCCTCTGGTAATCCAGCTTCTTGCTTGGGCGAGTGGTGCTGATGTTACGAGTCAGCACCCAGACTTGATCGCCCGGACGCAAGTCGGGAGCCTGGGACCTCCGGAGATCTGAGAAGTGCTTGTAGTCAGACTTTGCCTTCTCAAGATTCTCCTTCAACAGTGCCAGGTTCCGCTGGAGATGTTCAACCCTCTCCGTGGCAGAGGGAACATCAGGGCCGCCAGCGACAACGGGGACTTCGAACCTTGGGTGGAACCCATAGGTTGCCAAGAATGGCGAGGCATGTGTTGACGAGTTCTCGAGGTTATTGTAAGAGAACTCGGCCAACGGCAGCAGCTCGGCCCAGTCATCTTGCTGATACGACGTGTAACAGCGCAGGTATTGGTTGATGACCTGGTTGACCCTCTCAGTCTGTCCATCGGTCTGGGGATGGAAGGCCGTGGACAGACTGGTTTGGATCCCGAGCTGCGTGCAGAGTGCCTTCCAGAACCGAGAGGTGAACTGACTTCCTCGGTCTGAAACCACTGTGTCGGGGAGGCCATGGAGACGAAAGACATTGTCGAGGAACAGTGACGCAGTCTCCTCCGCCGACGGCAGTGAACGCCAGGACATAAAGTGTGCCATCTTTGTGAGGCTGCATACCACCACAAAGATGCAGGTGTGACCCTTGGACTTTGGCAGATCAGTGATAAAGTCCATGGTCAGTGTCCCCCAGGGTCGATCGGCTGTCTGGAGTGGCAACAGGAACCCAAACGGCTTGTGTCGCGGAGCTTTCGAGCGTGCACAGGTGTCGCACGTCGAGACGTACTCTTTGACATCTTTCCGATAGGTTTGCCACCAAAACTGTCGCGATACCAGAGCCAGAGTCCGTCGGATGCCTGGATGACCCACAGCGACTGGGTCATGGCACGACTTGAGCGCCGGAACTCGGCACGACTCTGGGACCACAATCCTGTTCTGGAAGGTGAGGTACTGGCCATTCCAGACGAACTTCGGGTCACGACGGTATTTGTCTAGACCGGGATCCCGAGCCTGCTCTTCGGCTATGAGCTGCAGCAAATCCACAGGGTCACTGCGACTTGCAACCGAAGAGCGGGCGTCTCTGCTTCGGAGCACGCGTATCACCGCGGCAGGATCGAGAAGCAGAGGCGGATCCCTCGACACGGAGGCCGACGAAGGGATGTAGTCCGAGCGACGAGACAGGGCATCGGCCTTGCCGTTCCTCGCACCAGGACGGTACTGGATGCGGATGTCGAACCGAGACAAGAACTGGGACCACCGTGCATGACGCTGGTTTAGGATGCGAGCCGTTGCCAGGTACTCCAAGTTCTTGTGATCGGTCAGAACGGCAACGGGATGCTGGGCGCCTTCGAGGTAGTGTCGCCACGCCTCGAAAGCCTCCTTGATCGCCAACAGCTCTTTCTCGTATATGCTGTAGTTACGTTCAGCATTCGAGAGTGTCCGCGAATGGAACGAGCAAGGATGAAGGCGATCATCAGCACCCCGCTGGGAGAGCACGCATCCAAGCGCAAAGTCCGACGCATCTGACTCTACGACGAACGGCTTGGATGGGTCCGGATGCACCAGAACGGGCTCCGAAACGAAGGCATCCTTCAAGGATCTGAATGCTTTATCGGCTTCGCGGGACCACTGGAAGCCATGCGTCTTCCGGAAGAGCCGAGTCATGGGCCCCGCGATCTTTGCGTATCCATCGATGAAGCGTCGATAGAAGTTCGCAAACCCGACAAAGGATCGAAGATCCGAGATGTTGCGCGGTATGGGCCAATCCAAGATCGCAGAGAGCTTGGATCGCTCCATACCGATGCCCTCGGGCGAGACCATGAAACCAAGGAACGAGACCGAGGTTTTGGAGAACTCGCACTTCTCCAGCTTGCAATACAGCTTTGCAGCTCGGAGCTTCGAGAGGACCTGCTTGACGTGCTCTACATGCTGCGACGGATCAGCACTGTAGATCAAGATATCGTCAAGATACGCAATTGCGAACTGGTCCAACTCGGTGCGCAGGACGTCGTTGATGAAGTGCTGGAACGTCGCTGGCGCGTTGGTGAGCCCAAAGGGCATCACCAAGTACTCGAAGTGCCCATATCGAGTACGGAAAGCTGTCTTCCACTCGTCCCCGGAGCGGATGCGCAGCAGATTGTAGGCTCCACGAAGGTCCAGCTTAGTGAACACCTTCGCGCCTCGAAGTCGGTCCAGCAGCTCGCCGATCAGCGGTAAAGGGTAACGGTTCTTTACCGTGATACCGTTCAGTGCGCGGTAGTCAACGCAAAGACGAAGTGAGCCGTCCTTCTTCTTGACGAAGAGGATTGGTGAGCCTGCTGGGGACGACGAAGGACGAACGAATCCCTTGGCAAGATTCTCGTCGAGATAGTCACGCAGAGCGTGAAGTTCGGGCTCGGACAGTGAGTACAGAGGCCCGAACTTTGGCGACTTGCCCGGCTCCAAGTCAATGGGGCAGTCATAAGGGCGATGCGGAGGCAAGGAGTCAGCTTCCTGTTTAGAGAAAACAGACAGGAAGTCCTTGTACTCCGCAGGCACTTCGACAGTCGCAGTGCTCGGCTCGTCAGTGGGCAGGACATGGACCTGAAAGATGGTCAGGGGTTGCGTTCCATGCCTGCATGCATCCAAAGACTCGCGCATCGAGCGGTAATCAATGCTGCAGACGCGGAGAGGAGCGTCCGAGCTGAGAGGAGGGGCGTGGACAAGGTCAGAATAATGTTCGACGGTTACTTTATTCTGAACAATGTCCGAAGAACAAACAACAGGAGGAGGTACATCAAGGAGGGAAAGAGAACTGACAACAGAAGAAGGGGTTTGGGAAGAGCGAAGGGGTTCGGGAGGAACAAGACAAGAAGGGGAAGACGAAGGTGGGAGCGTAGGAGAGGAGCTTAGATCAATCAAAGGAGTGGAATCATCAAGAAGGGGAGTGACATTGGAGGAAGTGGAGCAAGACGAAAGAGAAGTAGTGCATGGAGAGGGGTCGGAATCAACAGAAGGAGGGAGACAAAGAAGACCGCGAGACCAGACAATCTTGGGCTCGGCGGTGCGCAACCAAGGAAAGCCAAGGATAAGTGGTTGATGTGGAGACCTGATCACATCGAACCGAAGGCGTTGCGAGACGTCCCCGAGAATCACCTCGAGTGGAGCAGTCTCGCGGAGGATGGGGCCAGACGACAGCGGCTTACCATCCACGCCTTCCACTGCCAAGGGCGAAGCCTTGGAGCAGGTGGGGACAGAGTGTCGAGCAACAAAGTCCTCGTCGATAAAGTTGCCAGAGGCACCAGAATCGACAAGTCCTTCGCACGACAGAGAATCACCAGAAGGAAGACGAACAGCGACGGGAACAACCAACGAGCAACGACGAACAGACGAAACACAAGACTTTGGTTCGGTACCAGCTTCGGCACCAGGGTTGCGGCTAGCACAGACAGTTAACTTTGCCGAGGGTTGGCAGGACAGCTCAGGTATTTGCACCTGTGGATGAGGTGCAGTTCCCAGTGACACCAGAGGTGCCACGGGTACTATGCCAGAGCTGAGAGTGTCCGCCGGTCCAGAGGCAAGGCGAAGCTGTCCGCACATCACTGCTTCCCCAGTACTTACCAAAGGCACCTTACCAATGTCTTCACTTTCGGAAGGCGGTGGGCACGGCTCCGGTTCAAGGCCTTCACTTAGAACCGGGCCTGGTCGTTTCCCGAACTGAAGTCTTGCACTTCTCCATCTTCGTAAACGATGGTGCGGATGATCCTCGGGCCGGGAGGTCCAGGGGGCGGTCCGGTAGCTCTGGTAGATCCAAACTTGACGGGGCAGTTTCGTACCAAGTGGCCCTTCTTGCCACAGTACAGGCAGAGTCCAAAGCGGCGGCGGCGTTGTTTCTCCTCGGCGGTCAGGGGTCCAGAGACGGCAGAGTCCACTTGCATGGGCTCGGAAACAATGTAGGAGGGGTGCGGCGGAGCGAGGACGGGCGCGGGAGCGATGGCGGGAACGGCAGCGGAGGCGGAACCAAAGGCGAACTGGGAAGACCGGTAGCGGGCAGGCGTGCTTCGGCGCTCTTGACGGCGCTCGCGGATTCGTGCATCGAGCTCGTTACAAAGCTCGATGTACTCCTCCAGATCTCGTGGCAGAGGGCGAACTCGCGAAAGTTCGTCTCTGACATCATCCGACAAGCCAAGTCGGAAGAACGAGATCTTTGCACCGTCGTTCCAAGTCGTATCGGCGGCAATACGAAGGAACTCGGATGCATAGACTGCGCACGGGCGGTTGCCCTGAGACAGTGTGGTGATCACTGACTCGGCAGTCCTGGCCCGATCAGGGTCGTCAAACACTTTGGAAAAGCGTTCTAGGAAATCGCCAAAAGAGTTGAGTCGGGGATCACCCATCTCAAGCATCGGAGTCGCCCACTGGAGAGCCGGTCCAGTGAGCAGACTAATGACGAATCCGACCTTAATCGGGTCAGCAGGGAACCGGTGGGGCTGCATTCGTATATACAGTTTGCACTGATTTACGAATGCCCGGAACCCTTGCCGGTTACCGTCGTAACGGTCCGGCATCTGCACGCTGTACCCAGCGGCAGGAGCATCGCGAGCTGTCCGGAGCTCGGCGAGCTCGGCCTCCAAGGCACGGAGGCGGTCCACGAGGGCAGGATCCATGGCGGGACTGGGACTGGGACTGGGAAAAAAAAAAAAAGCGAGGAGGTTCAAGAACAGGAGAGCGAAGAGGGCTCAGACACAAGTGTGCTTGAGGTTCGGACAGGACTAGGAAAGGGGCGGGGCTAGGAGCGGAAGATACCAAGCAGGTGGTATCAGTAGAAGAGAGTTCGAACAAAGTGTAAGGAGTGAACAAGCGCAAGGACGAAGACCAAGTGCTTGGTATGAGCTTTATTAGCTTTTAGCCCCGAACACCAAAGAACAAGTTTTGTTCGAACTGGTGTTCAACATAGGCTCAGACATGCAGGGCTATTTATAGACCGGGAGAAGGTCGAGGGGCAAAAGTGGGCGAGAAGGGTGGAGCATCACAGAGAAGCGAGAAGGGGGTGCGAGAGTGGCTGGTGTGCAAGCGAGAGAGGCTTGGCACAGCCCGGGGACATGTGCCGAGCGGTGGGGGAGGCAGGAAACCAGTAGACGCGGGTGGCAACGGCGCGTGCTCATGCATGGGGGCAAACAAACACGTGGGGACTCATGATTGGTGCGGAGGGCGAGAGCATGCGGGACAATCTCATTGGTCCGTTGTGATGCTGGTCATCACACACGGTCAGTGTCGGCATCGATGTCGATGACAGTGGCAGGGTCTCTGGCCGAGCCTTGGATGGCAACGGATGCACGGACACCATCGCCATCGACGAGTGACGTCGAGGCAGAAACCGATGGCCGCACATCGAAGGACACGAGGGGAATGCGATTGTGGTTCACGTCGGTGAGCGATGCCTGGAGATCCGAGGTCGAGATCGAGTCTTGTTTCTTGACGACAATCTGAGGCAACAACAACGACAATGGCGACGAGCAAGGCATGATGAGGAAGGGAACGCTGAACAGATGGCGGACAAGTGGGCTGGAAGCAGAGATTGGCCATCCACAGTGGACATCGACTGTCATGCTGACAGTTCAATCACTGCTGCAGCCATCACACCGACTCCTGCTCGCCATCACTGCCTCTGTGCTGCTCACCCACAGATCACAATCACCTCACAATCACCTCACAATCGCCTCACAATCACCACACAATCACTCACACCCTCACCTGGTAGATGTGGCCGTCGGCAACCACGAAGCGAGTGCGCAACACGGGATAGATTCCGAGGAGGATCTTCCACGAATCTCGGATGTGCTTCTCGTCGAGCCCTCTGATCTCCCAGCTCGACGATGCGAAATACACCGATCCGTGGGGATCCTTGAGGGTGGACACCAGCATCGCCTCTTGCATGAACGTGACTGGGAGCACATCGTCGACATCGTCGGGGGTGAGTCCGTGGTGCTCGAGGATGGTGGTCTTGAGCTCGGTGTCGATGAGCTCGACCGAGTCCAGATCGAGAGGGTCCTCGTCGATGAGCGGAGATCGTTGATCGATGAAGAGAGCCAGGTCGGCGATGGTCGGGTGCTCGAACAGATCCTTGACCGAGAACTCAATTCCTGCCTTCTGTGCCTCAGATACAACTGCGATCGCTTTGAGAGAGTCGCCGCCAGCCTCGAAGAACGTGTGGTTGGTTCCGATCTTGGCCACCTCGACTCCAAGCACACGGCTCCAAGTGTCAACCAGACGCATCTCAGTCTCGGTCTCGGCCGGCTGGATCGTCTCGTTCGTTTCAAAGCTGACCTCGATAGCGTCGAGAGCCAGTCGATCGATCTTGCCGTTGTTGTTGATTGGCAGTTGTTCAAGCGGTACAATCAGCGTCGGCCACATGTGCGCTGGGAGATGGCTCTCGATCGTGCTGCGAACCGCTCGGATATCGACCGAGGCGGGAGACACAAACACAACGATGCGGTCAGACTTGACTGTCGCGCACGATGCCGACACCTGTGCCATGTGGGTGTCGAGGGTCGAGGTGATCTCATCGAGCTCAATCCGGATGCCACGGATCTTGACCTGGTGATCAATTCGGCCAAAGCACTCGAGCTCGCCGTTGGCAGTCCATCGGACCAGATCTCCGGATCGATACATCCTCATGTTGTCGAAGAACGGATTGATGGTGAATCGCTCGGCCGTGAGATCGGGTCGGCTCACGTATCCGGGAGAGACACCGACACCGCCGATCCAGAGCTCGCCGGCGACTCCGACTGGCACAGGTCGGCCGCTCTTGTCCATGATCATGACGAACCCGTTCTGGATCGGCTTTCCGATGGTCGGAACATCGTCGTTGAACAGCTTCGTGGTGATCACAATTGCTGTTTCGGTCGGACCGTAACTGAATCGAGGACAACGCCAAATGCGGTTAGTTGGAGTCGAGACGGCCATGCTGACTCATCAGCTCGAAGCCATCATCGATGTTGCCACCAGTGTCGATCCATCTGCCAGTGCCAGATGTGAATGACAGTCGCGACGACACTGTCCTTGCCATTCTCCCGTGCCAATTCCAAGGTCGATGCATTCCCCGATTCCAACGCCAATCTCACGTCAGTGCCAATGTCAATCCCAATGGTAACGGCAGTGCCAAGGCTCATGTCAACACCGATACCAACACCGATATCAACACCGATCTCGATGGCAGTCTCGACGACGCTGGGTGAGAGCCTCGTCACAGCGCCAATGCCACCCCCACGTACCCGTTGTACAGCCTCGATCGCGTTCTCCACAGCTGGATCGTCGAGTTGGTGATTCGCTCGCCTGCCGACATCAGGAACCTGATGTTGGTGTAGTCGTCTGGTGCACCCATGGAGTTGATCAGCGACGGAGTCGTCATCGCCACGTCGCAGTGCTTGAAGGCATCAAAGTTGAGTTCTGGCGGAACAACCAGACAGCCGCCGACATCAAAGCAGGGGAAGATCTGGATCATGCTGTAGTCGAATGTCATCGCCGACGAGAGGAGATACCGTTTGCTGTGTGCTGCCGCAGCAGCAATATCGCGCGAGACATGGTCGATGGTGTTCACAGCACCGCCGTGTGTGATCGTCACACCCTTTGGCTTTCCTGTCGATCCCGATGTGAACAGGATGTACGCCAGTGCTGTGCCGTCGTTTGTGGACTGTGGTGCAGCGGAGCCGTCATGGGATCCATCGTCGGTCTGGTTCATGAACACTTGGCGGATGCTTGCACTGATGCTTGCCTCCAGTGGCGTCGCCGGAACAGTGTGGATGATGGCAAGCGGCGAGACATCGGCAATCATCGACTCGATCCGATGAACCGGATAGCTTGCATCGATTGGCACATACACGCCATCGGCTTTGAGGATCGCAAGCAGACCCACGATCATCTCGACCGACCGACTGGTCAGGATCGCAACTGGGACATTGCGTGTGACCCCGAGCGACCGCAGTTGGTGGGCCAGCACATTGGCTCGTCGGTTTGCCTCGCCGTAGGTGATCCGGTTGTCGCCGCACTCAATGGCAATGCTGTCTGGCGTCGTGGCGGCGTGGTGCTCGAATCGGTGTTGGAGGAGTGTGTTTGGATCGAGAGGGACGGATGGGCCGGTGCCGAGAGCAACCACTGCCGCCATCTCGCTCTCGCTGAGACCAACGAGGTCGCCAAGCATGAGGTTCGTGGAAGCCGAGTCACACATGCGAGCGATGGTGGAGGCCAGACAGTCGCCGATGCTGGCCACGATCTCGTCGCTGAACATTGTCGCCTTGTACGCAAGACTGATCGAGGCACTCGAGTCGTTGGCAAAGACAACCTCGACAGTGAGTGGATAGTCCGAGATGTTGCCGCTCCTGTCGATCCAGCGCACGCTGAACGAGTCGGTGGTGACTGTGTCCGGGACACTTTCGTTGTTCTGGAAGACCAACAGACTGTCCATCAGCTGATCCGAGGTCTGTTTGTTGAGCCACTTGAGGATGTTGGACATGGACACGTGGGAGTGTGGGAGCGAGTCGATGTGGCTTGCATGTGTGGTCTTGAGGAACGAGGCAAGGGCCAGCGATGGGTTGATTGAGAACGGAGCAGGAACGGTGTTGACGAAGGCACCGGCCATTCTGTGGATGTAGGTGGTGGGTGATGGGTGGTTGGTGATAGAGGAACACAGTCAATGTGCTTGCTTCACAGCGACCTCATGGCGATCGACTCCCTGTGTCTCCGATGTCTCTGGCTCCCACTCTGTGTTTCCGATGTCCCTGGCTCACACTCCATCCAACTGCTCTCGGCCACAACCCCACTGCACACCACACGATCTTGGACACTCACCTCTCGATGCCACGCACTGGCACCTGGCGTCCCGACACAACCCAGCCAAACACAACATCGTCGACACGTGTGAACTTGTGGAGAACCATCGCCCATGCTGCCTTGGCCATCGTCGCCGGCGTCACTCCAAAACCGTGGGCCGCACGCTTGATGTCCGTGAGCGACGGTGCAATCGCCACAGTCAGATCCTTGAAGGCCGGTCCGGTTGACAGTGCACCATCAGTGGCGCTCGGGTGTGAGATCGATGGGAGGAATCCTCGCTCCGACAACTTGATTGCCGTCAGAGAGCCAGTCCAGTACTCCTCGGTGGCAAGCGGATCCACAGCAGCAAGGAACTGGAGGAACGGTCGCGACGACGGCGCAGGTCGAGGAACGTGGCCCGAGAGGATGGCAAAGAGATCTTTGACGATCAGGGGAACAGACCATCCGTCGTAGACGGCGTGGTGGGCCGTGATGGTGACAACAAGGGTGGTGCTGTTGCCGATGGTCGTGGCGACAGCATCACGGTCAGTGTCGGCATCGATGTCGATGACAGTGGCAGGGTCTCTGGCCGAGCCTTGGATGGCAACGGATGCAGGGACACCATCGCCATCGACGAGTGACGTCGAGGCAGAGGCCGATGGCCGCACATCGAAGGACACGAGGGGAATGCGATTGTGGTTCACGTCGGTGAGCGATGCCTGGAGGTCCGAGATCGAGATCGAGTCTTGTTTCTTGACGACAATCTGAGGCAACAACAACGACAATGGCGACGAGCAAGGCATGATGAGGAAGGGAACGCTGAACAGATGGCGGACAAGTGGGCTGGAAGCAGAGATTGGCCATCCACAGTGGACATCGACTGTCATGCTGACAGTTCAATCACTGCTGCAGCCATCACACCGACTCCTGCTCACCATCACTGCCTCTGTGCTGCTCACCCACAGATCACAATCACCTCACAATCACCTCACAATCACCACACAATCACTCACACCCTCACCTGGTAGATGTGGCCGTCGGCAACCACGAAGCGAGTGCGCAACACGGGATAGATTCCGAGGAGGATCTTCCACGAATCTCGGATGTGCTTCTCGTCGAGCCCTCTGATCTCCCAGCTCGACGATGCGAAATACACCGATCCGTGGGGATCCTTGAGGGTGGACACCAGCATCGCCTCTTGCATGAACGTGACTGGGAGCACATCGTCGACATCGTCGAGGGTGAGTCCGTGGTGCTCGAGGATGGTGGTCTTGAGCTCGGTGTCGATGAGCTCGACCGAGTCCAGATCGAGAGGGTCCTCGTCGATGAGCGGAGATCGTTGATCGATGAAGAGAGCCAGGTCGGCGATGGTCGGGTGCTCGAACAGATCCTTGACCGAGAACTCAATTCCTGCCTTCTGTGCCTCTGAAATAAATGTGATCGCCTTGATGGAGTCGCCTCCCATATCAAAGAAAGTAAGATGGATGTCGACATGCTCAACACCCAGCGTCGTGGAGGCGATTTTTTGTAGGGAATGTTCGAGTTTGCGTCTGCTTCCGCTCTTGGCGTCAACATCGGCAGCAGTTTGATTAATTGTCACTCGGGTTCGTTTGTAATTGCGGATTTGTTGAATTATCCAGCCATAGAAGAAAAAGTAGTTCAGGGGCAGCGTAAAAACGTAGATCCAGAAGACCTCGGAGCCATGCGGGCACTGAAGACTCGGCGAGAACGAGCACTTGGGAAACGCTTGATAGGTCGATGCGATTATATAGGTCGCATACATGACACGGACGATTAGGGTGGTGGCTCCCAGAAGCCAGTCGTTTCGCAAACGCGGGAAGATGATCCCGAGGGTCAGTACCAATGTCGACGCTTCCATGAGTCCAAGCAGCGCGCCGATGCCTTCGGCGCTGACGAACATGGAAGCAACTATGATCGCAAGGTAGGAAACATGATGTATAGCGCCAACAACTCCAAGCTGGCGGCGATAGTATCTTAAACCCATTATGAGGTCGAGAACGAGGAACAGAGCGAGCACGCTCCCCACCAGCATGCCCTGAGGTGAGTGGAGCCACGGATACCCTGCGACGGTTGCTCCGTGCATCACAAACAGCACACCAAAGGGAATATAGGCTACGGTGGCGAAAACGGCAGAGGCGAATATGATGTACCATGGCCCGGACTTGGTTGCGAAGAAGGCTCGAGCAGCAAAGTCGGCCTTGAGGGGTGTTCGACCAACATGTCGTCGTTGCAGAAAGGGGCAGAGTCAATACATGTATAGAGGTGGCAATGACCACATCCAGGCAAGACGGACGGTCACTCACCTTTCTCCAAGTCGGGCCTGCATTTGCTGGTTGGGTCGGCGCTGCAGTCATGAGGCAGTTGTCAAGAGTTTGTCAATGAGGTGAGAGTCGACCGATGTGTCTTGCCGAGGGGGGCACTGACCACTTCCCGGGCGAGCGATGTTCATATATTTGCCGGAGCGGGCCGCCTTGGGCCTGTCCAACGCCCCCTCATTCGCCGTGCGGATTCCGTCGGTGATGTGCCAGCGTCCTTGATGGTCTTCCAGGCTGAGCAGAGTGGGGGGCTCTGTGATCACTTGCGCTTTCTCCCCATAGTCTACTGTGTTTGTTGTCCTGAGTTGGTCATCAACCACATGCGACTCATCCACACAAGAGCATCTCAAAGGGCTCTTGCTCCTCCTACCCCGAGACTGGGACGACCGAGGCGCACGTTCAGCTGGACTGGCCAGCGCAGCAGCCAGGTGGCTTGCTACTGAGCACAGGAGCACCAAGACCAGCAGGACGGGGCCTTGGGTGGATCCGCGGTGGTCAGAAGGGAACAGGCACAAGCTCCGTGTGCGAAGGAAAAAAAAAACGGGGGCTGCACACAAACTCTCGATCACGCTGTCACTCTCCAAACAGTAGCAGGCCGAAGTCGCGGTGCAGCCACAACAAGCCGAGGGCCAATCGTGGGTCCATCGAGGTCCATCAAGCCAGCCTCACAAGGGCGGGGTCCTGGCTGCCGAGCGCGTTCTGGCGGTGTGGTTGCACAGATGCCAACCAGTCAACCGCCACAGTTGTCACAGTTGCCACAGTCGATACAGCCGCTACTGCTGCCACAGTCACGAGAGCCATCACAGTCACTGCAGTTGCCATAGCTGCCAATGCTGCCTTGTCGGCCTGCGCAGCACCTCGGCCGACAAGGCACAGTCGGCACAGAAGCGAATCGCTCGGGCGGGTGGGTCTGCCGGCCTGCTCGGTTGTTGACAACGGCACATCCCGTGACTCTTGGCGAGATCGCCGGCTTGCACCGCCTCTCATGTCCCTCTCCTTTCGGCCTGCTGTTCCTTCGGTCGCTGCCCCTTGGCCGCGGTGATTCGCCCGCTCTGGTGGCGATGGAGTGCAGGAGAGAGTCAGGCGATGGCCGTGCAGGACCAGCCGTGGACTCAGACCACGCCCCGCCGCCAAGCGCCTTGTGTTGGCCGCCGTTCCTCTTTGCCCTTGCCTGCCATGTTTGCTCCATCCCTTGAGACTGCATAGCCGCGTAACACACAAGGCAAATGAGCCGCAAAGTTGGCTGGCTTGTTGTTCGGGATCGTTGGGCACCCTCCGGAAGGAAGGACAGGCCAACTCGAACAGCACCCCGCATGAAGCGCAATATCAGCTTGGGCAGCATTGTTCGGGTATAAGGATGGGAGCAGGCGTACTTGCATCAGTGCCCCGGACTCGGACAGGGCAGGGCGGGGCGAAAGATCTCGAAGTGCTTGAATCCAAAGGAGAGCCCCGATATCGCTCCACTACATCTCCTCCACATCTCTCTTCCAGCGGCAGCCAACTGCGGTGGTCCTGTCCATGCATGAAAAGGTAGACAGCTCATAGCGGACGATCGCAAAGGTGAGAAGCAGTGTGTATTCACCAGTCATCGAGCGTCAGCCATCCGCATCAGAGATCGGAGCCCTTCCGTTGGGCACGGTCGCGATTTCTGTTTGTGCCGCATCGGCCCGATCGATGAACAGCTCTCGAGCCTTGAGGTCCAAGACGATGACGATTGTGATGGCCCGACTTTGAGATGAGCCCGCAGTTGGTATACATGGCGCATCCTTGCTTTGCGATCTGTTGGGTCACTGCTTGGGCCATCGTCGTCATCCGCTGGATCTGGCGGTCCATCTGGAAGCCGCTGACATCGAAGGTGGCTCCGAGGTACTTGAACTCCTTTGCCATGGGCAGCAACTGGCCACAGAGTCGGTGGCCGGTGGCTCGTTCTGGGTTGCCCTCGGAGAGGATCGCCTCGCATTTGGGCGACAGCTTGTACCTGTTCTCGATGCTGTGCTGTTCGCAGATGTCAAGCAGCCTCTGTGCTTGCCTGGGCCTGTAGATCATAGCACTGAGCTGGACGAGAGAGTGTGTCTTCGATCGACCATATCGCTACGACGAGTTCCAGGACCGCCCGTCACGACGACATAGAGACGGTCTTTGTCGATCGTTGTGCGATTGAGTCCGAGTGGAGTGTTCCGGGCCGTTTCATCCGTCTTGGTTCGTGGAAGGTCATCCTCTCCTGTGGTCTCGCCGCTGAGCCTGACTGTGCGGGTTTGTAGCGATGGTGGAGTTGAGCATATCCGAACAATCGTCCTATTGTCGTCTTGGCTGTGGACTTGTCCGATCGAAACCGAAGATCTCCTTGGGCGTAGAATTGCACTTTAAGCTGGCCGCGGCTTTCCGGCAAGTCTCGAATACGATCTCACATCTCCAGAGCAAGGTCTTTCGTCTGGAGTCACTTTGGTTGTGCGTTTGTGCCGAACGCTAACGGCAGCGACGAGATATGGCCAGAAACGACAACGCCGGCGCGAGGAGAGTCGGAATGAGGGGCGAATGGAAGGCGGGGCAGCAGCAGCCGATGCGATTCAATGGCGGTGGACTGGAGCGAAGGCGGGCCAGGCCCGAGCCGGACCTGGAAGCGAGGATGGCGATCGGCGTCTTGGGCTGGCCTGGGTTCATGAGCGGTTGCGGTACCCTGGCTCCCTCCAGGCGACCAACGCAGCAGCAGTTTCATCCTTGGAGGAGCAAGACACTCAAATCACGCCCCGGCGGGCAGCAGAGACCAGAGCATGGCTTCTTGGCTTGGAGCGAGGACGATCGGCGATGCTGCAGCACCCCTCGTCACGACATCCAAACAGATTCGGCTGACAACCAAGTCGACAGAAACGGCATGGCGGGACTTTGTCTTGAGATGGCTGTCGTTGCGCCGGGACACCTCTGTCTTTGCTTTGTGCAGATGGGCCGCATAGCAGGCGCAAACTGTGGTTAAGACTGTCATGGGAGTGAGAGCAAGGCGAGCAATTGGTGTGTTGAAATGTGTGAACAACGAGTGAGATTCGACGCCACTCTGCTCAGTGAAAATGCATTATCTCAGCCCCGTCAGCGGTGTTGCACTGCTGAACAACATAGCATTGAATAGAATTGAAGTGTATGCTGTTTGGGGCGTCGTCTCCTGGCTCGCCAGCCCGACAGGGGGAAAGCATCTGGCCTTTCCGTTCTGCCCCCCCCTCGTCGCTCTCTCATTTCGCTCCTTCGACTTCGTCGCCGCTCTCCTGGCCTCGTCTGCACATCGTCGATTGCTGCCTCCTGTCTTTCCTCATCCCATCTCTCTGCCATGCTCAGAGCCTTCTCCTGCTGTTTCGGAGGACTCGCAGCCCCACCCAAGGACCGAGATGTCCCCTCGCAGACCCCTGTCTCCCAACAGCCAAAGTTCCCTCCACAGCCCGATCCCTTTGGTCCCTGGTTCCATCCCGTCGAGTGTCTCGTCAACACTGCCCGCGACGAGCCCGATGCCCTCTTGATTAATACATACGAGAACGGCGACTCGGAGCGCTTCAGCTATCTCCAGGTGTGGAGAAGAGCTTACTTGATCGCCCAGGCCCTCAAGGCGCTTCCTGGCTGGAGCGACGACGGCCACGACGTCATCGGCACATTCTGCGAGGCTGAAGCCAGCTGGGTGATCTACTCCTTCGCCGTGTGGATGCTGGGCAAGTGAGTATCCGCTATTGGTGCGGTGTGATGTTTTGATGTGAGTTGTGAACATCAATTCAAGCAAGGGACACGTTCAACCCTTGTTCCGTGCCATGACAAGGGTCGAGTCTCACCTGTCCTTTGAACTCCATCCAGGAAAACACTCAACTTTGCCCTCAACCTGCCTCCTGCAGCCCGCAAGGCCCTGTGCGAGAGGTATGTCCCTGCCATGTTGTCGTGAGGATGAGCAGGCTGGTCCGGGGTTTGAATCGAGTCAGCTATGCCCGATCCCGATCTGACACTCACATCACCATCAACCGACAGACATGCGATCAAGTACATTCTCTACCACCACACCAAGCCTGGTCGCATCGAGGGTGTGACCCTGGTCGATGCCGCCGCCTTCCCTGTGATCGAAAGCATTCCATCTCCGTCCCTCGAAGTCTGTGAGCCTCTCGATGAGTTTGTGACCTTTCAGTGCACCTCCGGAACGACAGGTATGTGGCACGGGTGATGCAAATGGTGGAAGGTTAAGGTGCACAACTCGATGGTTGAAGGACATGGAGCAGTGGCGATGTGATGATGGGCCAGAATGACTTGTTCTGACGATCGTGTGCTGTCCACAACACCGACTCTTGATCAATCCCAGGCGTCCCCAAGTCGTAAGTGGCTCGACAATGTCGCTATCGTCCAGCCCACCGTACCTATCCATATAATCTCTTACATGCCTGTCATTATCCATGTTTATGTAGCTACATCTCGTCTCACAAGAGCGCTATGGCTTCCAGAAATTCCGTTGGCACCCCATACTTGAGCGTCGGACTAAGCCAGGTTTGAGCCGAATCGTTGTGGCGCTTCTCAGCGATGGGTTCGTGATCATTAATCTCTGTTCGTCGATAGCTGCCCTCATTTGTGGTCACAATTGGCAGTTTGTTGTGCGTTGCAAACATTAGAGGATCAGTTTGGATTCCTAAGCCCACGCCCAACACCGTCGACAAAGTCAAGAGCATGATCAGAATGCTGGACGATGGCGTATCGTACCTCTACCTGGTGAGCTGTCGAGTCTGTCCCGGAGGAGTTGTTCGCGATATGGATGCTAACGCACGATGCTGCCCTGTTGAACTCTGCCGTCAGACCCCTTCTTACATGAAGGTGATCATCAGTGTGGCCCAGTCACAGAATCCCGATATCAAGTGGGAGAAAACCAAGACAATTGCCTTGGGCTCGGAGTTGGTGCCTCCAAGTACCGTGAATGGCACCAAACGTATCTTCCCAAATGCTGTATTGGGAATAGTATATGGATCGAGTGAAGTAAGTAACAGGCGCCGAGTCGAAGCTGATATGGAGTACTTGAATCAAAGCCATTTTCTCACCCCACTATGAACCTCAGTCGCTCCTCATTGGCGCAACCTCCGTTTGCCGCCTCCCAGCCAACGAGATTCTGAAAACAGGCAAACTGGTTTACAAGCTGATGAAGCCTGATATCCGTTCTCTCCTTTTTGACGAGGAAGGCAACATTGTTGACCAACACCAAACCAAGGAAGGAATCCTCGTCTTTGCCGTCGACAAGGATCATCCCATCAAGAACCACCCCAACTTTGTCAACGCCGATCCGAATGACAAGCTCGCCTCGTTCGGCTTCCTTGAGGATGGCTCGCCCCGTGTCTGCACCATGGACTGGGTCGAGATGGTTGGCGAGAAGCAGTTCACTGTGGTTGGAAGGTGAGATCAATGGCCGGGTGTTGCATCTCATTGATGGCGAATGCACATCCGGTACCCTGAGGACACATCCCACTCCTGCATCCCGAGTACTCACGCCATCCACTCCCTCACTCCACACCATCACTCCAGATTCGACCAGAAGATCAAGGTCAACGGCGTCTATGTTGACCTCAACGCCCTCGAGGAGCTGGCCAACGAAAACATGTCCAAGATCATCTCGGACTGTGCCTTCATCCAGACCTCCGAGAAGAAGATCGTGATGCTCTTTGTCCGCAGAAGGGGCTCTGAGGTCAACCCCACTCCTGCCGAGCTTCTGCAGCTGACCGAGGACATGTTTGCGCTGACAAACGTCGCCAAGTTCCCGATCCACAACTGCTTCGAGCTCGACGAGTTTCCCTTCAACGACTCGGGCAAGCGCGACCTCAAGAAGCTCAGGCGCATCGCCGAGGATGCCGATCAGTACGGCAAGTCGGTCGAGTACCCTCCCCTAAAACTCGCCAACACTCCCCTGTCCCGCACTGCCGCCAAGATATCCACACTTGGCAGCCAGATCATCGACAACCCCGCCCTCGACGGCCGCAACTACTACATCGGCGGCGTCGGCTTTGACTCGCTGAGTGTCGGCCGCCTGGCCCTCGCCATCAAGGACGAGTTCAATGTCGAGATATCGCCTCTGATCCTCCTGTCGAACGGAATGACACCGACTGATGTCGCCCAGTTGGTTGTCGACATCCTCGACGACAGACCGATGATTCCCCCGACCGTCCATCTGGCTGCCGAGGCCGCCAAGCTCGACGATACGAGTGTGACGGCCGAGGGTCTTCCTCCGTTTGTCTATCCCAAGGACCCTCGCGGCATCGTTCTGACCGGTGCCACTGGCTTCCTCGGTGCCTTCCTGGTCTTTGAGCTGGCACACAAGTTCCCTCGGGCCAAGATCAACTGCCTGGTCCGAGCCCCGACCGAGCAGGTGGCTGTCGAGCGCATCATCAGCACGGCTCAGAAGTTGGTCCTCGATCCGAGCCAGAGAGCCTTCCTTGACCACAGCCTCAAGTCTCGACTCGTTGGACTGTGCGGCAACCTGTCGAAGAACAAGTGGGGACTCTCGGACGAGCGATGGAAGGAGATCAGCGAGGAGACCGACATAATTGTCCACAACGGCGCCGAGGTCCACTGGCTGTTTGACTATGACAGACTCAGGGGACCCAACGTCCTCAGTACGGCGACGGCCCTGAGACTGGCCACAACCCACCACCTGAAGCCGCTGCACTACATCTCGACCATCGGCACGATCCCGATGGCCAAGAAGGCAGACAAGCCGCTCGAGGAGACGATCTACTCGGCCTGGAACATCTCTGGCGGGTATGGCCAGACCAAGTGGGTCTCTGAGCAGCTGGTCAACAAGGCACGATCGAGGGGAGTACCTGCGACGATCATTCGCCCAGCCGTCATTGCTGGCGACAGCCAGTACGGAGGTGAGTCGAGTGTGGTGTGGTGTGATGTGATGGAGATGCCTCATTCGCTCATATGAACTGGCCATGAATCGATGGTCTCGATTGTCAAGTGGTACTCATCCACCAACTGACACCAACTGACACCTTCACACCCTCCATTGCTCCAGTGTCCAACTCTGATGACTACATCTGGCGATATGTCAAGGGATGCATCCAACTCGGTGTTGCTCCCTCGCACGCCACTCTTGTCACGATGACCATGGATCCCGTCGACCATGTTGCCAAGGTGGTTGCCGAGATTGCCGGCTCGGAGGAGTCCCTGTCCAAGTTTGTGTTCCACGTCAGCGACTCGGAGCACAGGTGAGGAATGTGTGATGTGGTGTGAAGTGCGATGTGGTGTAGATGGTGGATCCCGACTCTGATTACTCACTCACTCACTCACTCACTCACTCGCCACAGTGTCCTCACTGAGACCCGGCTGTTTGAGATTGTCAGGAACCATGGCTGGCCGATCCTGTTCGAGACCCGCGAGCAGTTCAAAGAGGCATTCCACTCCCATCCCGCCGTCGAGAGCAACGCCCTGTTCCCGCTCATGCACATCATGATGGACATGTCCTTCAAGATCGACAACGCCAACACCCGCTCGATCTACCCGGCGCCGTGTCCCTCGCTGGAGGAGGTCGTCGAGAAGTGTCTCAACTATCTGCACCACGTTCGCTTCTTGGACGATCCCCTGGACCCGTCTTCGTCCTTCAAGATCAAGTATCCCGAGACCAGCGTGGTCACCCGCACCGGCCGCAACTAAGGTCCGATGCATGACGGCGATGTGGATTAGAGACTCTGAATGCCTCATAATCTTGATAATATCCCGTGTTTCGTGTCTCTTGTTCTATTTGGATCTGTCGTCTCTACCTTTTCTTCCAGATGTGCCGTGTCTCCCGTTTCCTTTTCCTGTCTGTTGCTTCCTTTGGTGATCCCAGTGATGGATGGTTTGCCAGACATCAGAGTATTCGAATGAGTCCTTAAACGCTGGAGCTGGAATATCACTCAATACATATCAAGCAAGGAACTCGACCAACACAGATTTGTTGCAAGAAGTGGCTATGCACTTTGGTCCTTCATAGCGAGTTCCTACCTCGACCGGGACTGATCAGGAAGAATCGCTAGTAACGGAGTCGCTCTAACAATTGCAGCTATATATGTTGTTGTCATCGAAACCGAAATCTGTCCATTAAGGATGTGATTTCCATGACTTGCGTGCCGAAATTGAGGAGTAACGATGGCGCAGCCTTTGACTTTTGAACATTCTGTGCCAGATATAGCAAAATGACAAGAGATTTGGCAACAATTTGATTTCGAACCGTCTGGAAAGCACTCATTTAGACAATCGGCGTTGATTATTGACTCATCATCAAACTGATGCTGCGCACACCCAAACAAAGCGATCTGAAACACGAGTCATCAACTGCAATTTTGCCTTCATCCACCTGATTTGGACGCGTCGTGTAGCGTGCCTGGGATATCCCCCCTTCCACATGATGGTATCAGGCGACGTGGCTTAGTAGCCAGAGATTTTTTTTTTTAGCCTCACACCCTCACCTCGCCCGTTCCATTTTTTTATTTTCTTCATTTGTTTATTTTCTTCATTTTCTCCCTTTGCTTCGTTTGTTCCGTTTGCTTCATTGCTACGCTCATACCCCTTCACCGTCTCTATCTGGCACCCTTTGTCAGAAACCATTTTCCTGTCCCGCAATATGACCAGCAGAGCAACAGTCCGTCCAGCTCCCGAGCGCCCTTCCTGGTTCATCCCTGACGACGCCGTCACCGACTGGTCCCAAGAACACGTTGCGGTCGGTGGCTATGGCGAAGTCTTTACTGCTTTCTACTATGGCTCTAAAGTTGCTGTGAAGCGTCTCCATGCTCATTTCGATGACGATGCCCTCACGTACTTTGCCCGTGAAATCGGAGTCTGGCATCGCCTGAGCCACCCGTATATCCTCCCTCTCCTTGGTGCCTGCGACAAGGACACCAGGGGTAAATTCATCCGCCCCTTCATGGTCTCGCCGTTCATGCCCAACGGAACCTTGCTCAAGTACGTCTCGGATCCAAACAACCCTCGGTCCACCGAGGAAAAACTACGTCTGCTCTACCAGGTTGCTGCCGGTGTGGCGTATCTCCACGGAAACAGCATCATCCATGCTGACCTCAAAGCCGCCAATGTTCTCTTGGACTCCTCTTTCAACGCGGTTCTGACCGATTTTGGCCTCTCCCGAACCAAGCGCACCTCTGAGTCAGCGGCTCGTGCCAGGACCAGCGCTTTCGAAGGGGGAACTCAAGGTTACATGGCACCCGAGATGCTCGATGGCGATGAGCCAGCAGGCAACTCGAAGCTGACCGACGTTTTTGCCTTTGCTGTTACCATCTACGAAGTTATCAATAACGGCAAGGTGTGGATCACCAAGGACAATACTCCCATGCAGCCCTTTCAGATTGGTTTTCAGATCTGCAGCGGGAAACGCCCCAAACGCTTCGATGGCATCCCCGATGATATCTGGGATCTCATCGAGCGCTGCTGGGCTCAGAGCCCCTCGGACCGTCCTTCTTTTGCCGAGATCCTTGTCGCTCTCCAACCATACGACTGTCCCGCCCCAATCGTTGTTGCAGCACCCTCCTCTATTGAACTCTCTACTATCGACCAGGTCGCCAGCCAGCTGAGCGTTCTCAGTATAAACAGTCAGCCACCATCCCTGGCTGATCAACACGACGAGCTCAAGTTCGATGGTATCAATTCGGCTACCCGTCTCCCTGACTCTCTTTTGACTCGCGCCAAGCAAGGCAACCCTGATGCCTGTCTCGATGCCGCCAACTTGATCTCGGAGGGTCTCCCTGCCCGCCACCAAGATTGGAAGCTCGCCGGCCAGCTCTGCAAGGCCGCCTCAGACCGCGGCAACCTCGAAGCGTCCTTCCGGCTGGCCTGGCTCCAGCTCACTGGCGAAGGTGTCGTCCAGAACGACAACAACGCATTCAGCCACTGGCAGGAAGTCAGCACCAAGTCAACTGACCCTGTCATCAAGTCCATCGCCACCCACATGGTCGGGTGGATGTACTACCTTGGTCGTGGCACTGTCCAGGATGTGCAAAAAGGCGTCAAGATCATCCGGGATAACAAATCGTTCACTTTCCGGCTCGGTGAAGACAACTGCTTGGCTGTCTTCAGTGGCGCCAATTCAGATTCCACTGCATCCCAGAAGTTCTTCGAATTTTGTCTGCTGGGATCACAACAAGACTGGCTATGCAGACACCTTATGGCCGTATGTCTGCTCTACGGATTCGGAACCATGCAAGACCGAACCAAGGCCGCTCGCATATTCGAAGAGCTTGCCAACGATGGTCATAGCGACAGTCAGTTTTGGATTGGAATGTGCTATTGTTGCGGCGGTGGAGTATCGCAGGACAGATCGAAGGCCGCAGAGTGGTTCGGCAAGTCGGCAGACTTGGGCAATTCATACGGACAGTGGTGGGTAGGTGTGAGTTATCTCGGTGGGTTTGGAGTTACTCAGGACCTTCCTAAGGCAGTTGAGTGGCTCCACAAGTCAGCTGAACAGGGCAATCGATATGGGCAGAACGATCTTGGTTACTGCTACCGAAGAGGCTGCGGAGTGACCGAGAACATTGGAACCGCCCTCTACTGGTTCCGTAAATCTGCTGAACAGGGTCATGATGCTGCAATCGACAGCCTTGGAGACTTGAACAAGAGACTCTGATCCCAGGCTTCTCTTGGATGGTGACCCCTGACAACCATGTGGGCACAAGTCAGTGAGAACACAAAGCGAAACTACCCTCGCCCTCCGTACTCATACCAAACACCCAAGAGCCAGGTTCCTGTGAGCCTGCCTTGTGGTAGTGATGAGCCGATAGCTTTCGGAAGCCTTGTACCTGATATCCGACATATCGAAATATATAAAATGATGCTATCCCATCAATGACGATTTGTGTCAACCGATAGCGCAGCTCCGACACGGTTTCTTGATACTCAGCTCTCGATCTGAACCATGTTTGGCTGAATGTACTTGCACGATCCGGATCACTTTCGCCACACGGCTCTCGGCACCCAATCTGATGATGCGCATGCCTGATCGACACTGAGACAGGCACAGAACGCAACTTGGGATCACATCGTTCACTCGAAATATGATTACAAAAGCACGTTGGCACACCAGGAGGTTCAGCGAGGAATACATAGAGGATGAGAGGACGGGGCACCGAAAAGCGATCATAGACGAATAGTAGAGCAATTGTAGAGGAAACGTATTTCAATAGTAGGCAGTGGATATCCAGTAAGGCTCGGTGCTCGCTGAGCGAGTCGGCCGATGCGCTCTGGGCCGCTACGAGGACACGGCCACCTCGTAACTTGGCAGTTCCTCAGTGTCCGTTCGTTGCAAACCGGCGCTGTGGCTGTAGAGGAACTCATCAAGCCCGAGATTGACTCGGATTCTGCACTGGGAACTGGCCGACACAGCCGCATGGTAAGCCCGCTTGTGGCAGGAATATTGGGCAATCAACTGGCCATTGAGCGTGAAAAAGACTGTTGCAGGCGTCTTTGCGTCAGCAGCGCAGCATCGACAAGCAGGGTTCAACACACCAGAGTCACTATGATTCCACATCGCTTGCTGCCAACCCATTTGCTCGCACTCACCTTGGCCAGACTCTGGATAGTATCCGCAGCCGACCACCGAGTTGAGGGTGTAGCTGCCCAAGTCGCCTCCAACAGCAACACCATCGATCAATGCTTGGCCATTCCTGCGGTATCGGATTGCAGTGAGCGGTCAGAGCAGCGGCAATGTGGCATGCGGGGGCCAGACAACGGGCGATCCTCGAAGCGGGGTGAGTGCAATCGCCTTGGTCAATCGCTTACCTTGTGAGCCCGACCGAGAACTTGTCCACGCCGACATGTCTCATGGGCGGATACGGATTGGTTGCAAGACCGATCGAAACCTGGACGCTGTCCAAGAGGGTTTGTGGGGAGACAATCTCTGCCTCGAAATAGCACAGCGGCTGGCCCGGAGGTGGAATCAGCGGATGCTTGCTGAGACACGAGCGGGTGAGAGCTTGCGTCGTAAACCGGACGACGAGATTGCCGTCGGTGGCGACGCCTCCGTAGCTGGCGGATGGAACAAACTTGTACGAGTCGATGATGCTCTCCTGCTCGATCTGGGCTCGCTGGGCGGGTGTCGGGAGCTCGTTTGTGGGCGGCGGCTTGGTGCGCTGAAACTCTCTGGCAATGCTGCTGGATTCGTTCAGGATATCGCCTCCTGTGACGGAGGAGCCAGTCAAGCCGGAAGATGTGTTTTGATTTGGGCCTGTGCAAGAGCGCGCGAGCAATATGAAGAAGGTAATGAGACAGAAACCTCCCCAAAACAATGTGATAGGGGATGGCCAGATGTCACTGGAGCTGGTTTGCCGCTTCTCGAGTCCATGGGCGACGGGCAAGGCCATTGAGTAGCCCGTCGCGGCCACAAAGCAGAGGAGACGAGCCACGAATATTGCTCTTGGCTGTTTCGACATGAGGCGATTCGGCTGGCGATATGCAACTTGGCAGGAAGAGGAGTGGTGGCGAGGAGGAAATGGAGCAGAATGGCGAAAGGCAGGGGGGATGTGGCTGTGCTGTGGCAGGCCGCGCGATGTGATTGGCCAGAATTCGCTGTACCACAGAACGTTGCACCAATGTCGCACCTGGTCTCGATCCTGTGTCACCGTCACCCTCTTGTGTGCGGCTCACGTTCGACTCCCCGTTTGTCGGAACAGCCCCGTCGCTCCAATTCCCTCGAATGCATACTCGCGTGGTGTGCTGCCTGTCGCTCACAGCCATCCATGCTGTCGCTTGGTCCCTTTTCTATCATACTGGTTCCTCTCACCACCTGACTCTGTCCAGACCCACATCCGGTATGATGCAGCAGCCGAGTACCGTCGTCCCTGAACCTTGCATCGCACATGAGCAACCCCTGTTCACGACACTCACCCATGCTGGGTTTTCCAGGACAATTTTCTCGTCACACAAGTCGACGGGCGCTATGTCCCTACTCTGCTAGACTTTGGTTTGACCAAGGCAAGCTGCTCGGCACCAGCTTCGACAGAGTCGCAATACTTTATCGACAAAGTGTTTGACTCTTTTGTAACCCTCTTTCTCCCCCCCTCAACAGCGAGCGACAGAGAAGGAGGTCATGGCTTTATCTCGAATTCTCCTTTCGGCCGGAAATATGGACTTTTCAAGCCTGCTCTCTGGTCTGCAAGAACTGGGGTTCCGTTTCTCGATCGACGATCCGGAAGGCGCCATGGAGGCTGTCCGAGTAGGTATCCGCAATATGGCTCTGCGCAACGGGCACTCTGGCTTGGCGATACTTTCACTGTTTCACAGCGCACGCTCATCACCAGTTTCATAGCATACGCCTGCTAACCCAATCCCTGCATCTAGTACATCTTCCGCAATTCAGACGACAATGGCTGGGCGACTGAGTCTCCGAAGCCACGATACCGAAAGCGTCCTACACAAGAAAGCGCGGACGTCCACGAGCTTCAAAATCAAAGCTCGCGTGAGAGTCTTATTCCAAACGGAAAGAAGGCCAAGAAGCGGTTTGGTTCTTCATGGAAGCTCAAGCGGCGACGCAGAAGGAGGCGCCATCAGAACCTCGGCCTGCAAGCCTTTCCTGGCGTGATGGTGTTTTTCGCCAGGGTCATCCAGCTCCTTCGAGGACTGTCCATTACAATGGACTCGAATCAAAACTACATGGACATCATGGTTCCGTTTGCGAAGCGCCACATCGAAATGAAGCTGGACTCTGAGACGGCGCTTTACGCAAACCTGTCGCGGCCGTCGCTGTGCTCGCCCAGCCCGCTGGATGAGAGGCTCCGGGCCATTGTCCGGGACATGATCCAGACGCAAGACATCATCGGTTGCCAGATATGCGCTATGCAAGACAACGTCCGAGTCGTCGACATTGCAGCAGGCGTCTCCCTTGGCGCATTCCTGAAGGACGACATCCCGGACAAGATCGGCATCCCCACGGGTATCGAGTCGAGACTGGCGTCGGTAGAGTGGAAGCTCGAAGAACCCCAGACACTATTCAAGAACATCACCAGCCAAGGCGGCCGGCAGGAGGACAGTAAGACTCCGGCAAGCCCTGGTTCCGAATCAATGAAGAACAAGATGGGGGAGTGGCTCGAAAGCCCTGTATTACTGGCCAGCCAACGGCAAAGGCCAGCCCAGACGACCATCGATGAGAGTTTACCGACATCTGAGCCTCGACAAATCCAATGTCAAGCGCTTGGTCACGGTCTGGCCAGCACATCCTACACTCTATGTGTAAACGGCGCACAGCTCCGGTGGAGGCCGTTTCGAGTGGTTGTCCAAGTAGAATGGGACGACATGGTGTCTGTGTTTGCGAACAGGAGTTGGTTTACTCTCTGTCAATAAAGTACCGCTCTGACGAGTTTGGAAGTGCTGATGGTTTTGGATGATGCTGGCCGTTTATTTTCTCATGAGGCTCTTTAGTAGTGCAATCATAGAATCCGAAATTAATGTAGATAATGCACAAGTAGGTGTGCATGAATATAGAACGACATTGAACGACATAGAACGACATGGAACGACATGGAACGACATGGAACGACAGAATGGATGCACCCACCAACACAATTACTCGCACTCACACACATTGAGCCTCTCTCCTGATGGTATCGTTCAAGGCAACGACTCGGACGACTTTGACTTGGATTCTTCGTGGGGCAAGTGAACAATATCATCATCCCTCTCGCCATCCTCAGTCCTTGTCCTGGTCCTCTTTGCTCGCCATTCCTTGACCATAAAGTACACGCACAGCAGTACAATGGTGATCTGGAAGGTGCCCGTTGCCACATACGGAACCCAGGTTGTCCAGTTGGTCGAGGGCTGCAGATATTGCAGATACGCTACCACGAACGAGCCTAAGGGTGGAGGTTGAAGGGAGGAAATCCAGAGACAGGTACAGCGCTGTGGTCAGTCGACTTACGATATGTTCATCCCAGGTCCGATGCCAGGTGGCCAATATGCACTGCCCTGTGCCGGAGAATGATCTCACGCCAGGTTGGAGCTTTATCAGTGCACGAGTGCCGATCTGCATCACGGCAGCGCAAGTACTCACCCCAGCTGTGCATCAGATTGGTGGTCACGCTGAGCGAGCCGACGCGCTGGATGAAACGTGAACCAGAACCCAAGATCAGTATGATACGCTCGCGATTATTCGCCAGCGCTCGCCATTGCCTGCAAATCGACGGCTGTGCACTGGCCATGAAGGGTACATCGACTTACCTTCAGCATCCATGTCTCAATAATTTGCGGTATGAACTGAATGAAGGTCGTGGCCAAACAAATGATACCCATGGTGTTGCCGAGGGAGTTTGCGCCATCCCAAGATTGTGTCGCCAGCAGAATCACCGACAGAACGATGCCAACAAAGGTGAATCCGAGGTGGAGGACGGTGCCCAAGGTGTTGCTTGTGGTGGCTGCTCTTTTGGAGAACGACAGGAAGGAGGCGACCCCGCGCTTGGCCTCATTCAACTTGCCCGCCGGATCCCGGTCCTGGACTTGGCCTCCGTTTTGGCGTACCGGCGGGAAGACAAAGTAGAGAATAAAGCTGGATGTTCCCCGCCCCCGATGGTCGAGTTAGGGAGACAAGCGAGCAAGGATGTCAGCACTTGGAATACAGGAGACAGCGGCACCACCTGTTCATGGTGATGGGTCTGTTGCGGAAGTATCGAGTACGTACACAGTAACGATGCACATCCAGCCTATGACATTCTGAACGAGCGAGAGCGAATTTTCAACACACATAGAAGTTGTCCACTGGGAAGGGAGTAGAGAGTGTCATGGAAGTAGCCAGGTCAGCTTGATCTGGCTTGTGGGCTCGGTGACGCCGCATTAAACCGACATCCTATAGCTCGAATGCCGATCGAAATGGCCGCCATCGACCGACTTTCTCGAGTGTCCCGCACGAGCCAACATCAACGCTAAAGAAAGCATAGCCGGTTTCCGAGATCAACTTACTGGGCCATAGCAGCACCGGAGCAACCGAAACTCAAACAAGAAGATGTTCGACATTGCCGCCACAGCGCCAATGCAGCCAAGATTGATGGACCACAGGGAGATGCCATCGCAAGACTTTGTGCGGAGGATTTTGACAAACTGGAAACAGACACCATCGGAACGGGTGAGGACTGGGCCCAGCAACGCAAGCTGGCGAGTGAGGCACATGCCCCAACTACTACGAAGCGGGGAACCACAGAGGCAAGAACCGAGAGGGGATGCTGGGCTGTGTAAGGATAGTAAGGATACGTCGGACGGCACGACAATGAAGCTCATGGGTCACAGGAGCAGGACCAGGACTCTGTGTGGGCTGCTGAGTACCTGAGGCAGATATGACACAAACAGACCGGCGGACATGATTCCGTTGAATATGGCCTTGACCCGATTTTCTACCATTGGGCAGGTTGCCATAAAGTCGCTGTCAAAGTCCATTTTTTTTGTTATGAGGGCGTTTTTGGCTGCTCGACAGGGATGGGAAGGATGAGTGATGGGGACATTTGCAAGTATTTATCCGAGAGCAGCAAAAAAAAAGGCACTGCCGCTGATCAATACAAGTGGCTTGCTCTGGCGGCATGTAAGGCGAGTGGCGTGGGGAGTGTATCGTCCATGTGAAAGGGGCGACGGATGTGGCGACAAATGTGGCAAGTGGGAAGCGACAGAGCGACACCAAAGAAAGCTTCTTCGACGACACCGTGCGCAAGACGCACAAGGTATTCGACCAAGCAGCATTGACAATCAACAGCGGTAGTCGCAGCGCTGAATTGCTTTAGCACCGCTTGACAAATAACAAAGTTGGATGCGTTTTGCCGAGAGCACGACGGAGCGCGGCAGTGCACGACAATGGATGGCTTGGTCGTTGGCGTGCAGTGGAGGCTGGTAGACTACTCGTTAGAGCAGCCGCATGAAGCAGAGTTTCACGTTGTTCTTGCGTTTATCGAGAGCGGCGGGTGTTGGCTTGACGAGCCCCAACAAAGGTGCGTGCACGTCAACAAAGCCCATATCGACGGTGTGCACGGCACGCCAGCCATCAGGTGAGCACAGACTCTTGAAGCTCCCTGAAACAGGAGCACGGTGTACTCCGAGCGGCTCTCCGGGTTCTCGAAGCACCAGGCCCACGACGAGGCTCCTTGTTGGAGCAAAGGCATGCTTGCCGGCAATGAGTCCGCCAGCCCAGACGCCAGCCCACAGCAGGAAAAAAAATATGCCGAAGCCGTCAGCGGCTCTCTGTCTGGCGGACAGAGGAAAGGCCAAGCCCAAGACAAACGGGGCCCATCCCACGATGCGATTCCCACAATGCGATTCCGCACTCGACCCGCACTCGACCCGCACTCGACCCGCACTTGGCCCGGCTGGACATCTGTGGCGCATGTCCGCGTGACCGGCACCTGACCGTGCTCCCGTGACACGCCGCCAAACCGATCGGTCGTCGTCGCCGTTCCGTTCGCCGTTTGTTCGGTTCGCCTTCATCTCCCCTCGTCTCTGCGTCATCTCCCGCTCGCTGTTCTTTGCTCGAGACTCCTCCAGCCGCCACCTCCTTTGGCCACACCTCTGCCTCGCTCGGCTGCATCTCTGCTTTTATCGTCCACACCATAGCCTCTGCCCGTCTCTGCCTTTGACCCGCCATCGCATCCCCTTGACCGGCTTTCCCCCCGCACCCTGGTCTCTGGACAAACTGTCTGCACTCAGGCCGCCATCTCTGTCCCTTGCTGTATCGAGCCCTCGACAACGATCACCAATCTCCATCACTGTCGTGTCGGCATCGTGTCACTCGCCTCCTCTCGCTACTGGCGATTTGCATTCTCGCCGTCCGGTCCTGTAGTCACCGCCCGCCGCCCTTGACCCTCCTCTCTCCGAGAGCCCCGTCTGCTCTGCCCTCCTTCTGCCGCTCGATCCGACTCCGCTGCGATCTGAAAGCGCCACACGCCTATCTCTACGTCTCGCCCTCCGATATCGACCTTTCGATCCGATTTCCGCTTGATCCAACCGACATCTCTGTACCTGCATTCGCGCTCGCCCGATTTCGCTAAAGATGGCCGACAGAACCCTTGCCAACCAACTGCAATCCACCCACATCTCCTCGGCCGGTGCCAGCAAGTAAAGTGTCGCTCCGCCGTATTCGTCTGCGTTGCTTTGATTTTGCATGGCTCTCCTGTGTCCACTTGATCGTCTCTCGGCGGTCCCGATCTTGGTCACGGCAGTCCATTTGGGTTGCTGCCTTCCGCGATCTATCCACAGCCATCTGAGGGATCTAATTGCCCAGGAAGCCACCCCTTTCGTTTCGACATTGAACCGTCCCTTACACGCCCCTGGCGTGCTTGCCTCCCCAGCGTTCAGCCCAGCGCCCTAAACTCTACTTTCTGCTGCCCATCCTCGCAGTGATACCAATGACTGGAAGAGTCAGCTCTCACTACCGGTCAGAGACAGCCGTCCAAAGACCGAGGATGTTACCGCCACGAAAGGAAACGAGTTTGAAGACTACTTTTTGAAACGCGAGCTGCTCATGGGCATCTTCGAGGCTGGCTTTGAGCGCCCCTCGCCCATCCAAGAAGAATCCATCCCGATCGCCCTCACCGGCAGAGACATCTTGGCCAGAGCCAAGAACGGCACAGGAAAGACCGCTGCCTTCATCATTCCCGTCCTGGAGAAGATCGTTGTCACCAAAAACTCGCTCCAAGGTACCCAATTGTCGTCTCCCATTCTTAGCCCAAGTTTCATCGGCGCCGTGCCTTCACTAACACCTCACTCCATCCACCTCTGCCCCCTCCCTCTGTCACCTCCAGCCCTCATCATCGTCCCAACGCGTGAACTGGCGCTGCAAACTTCCCAGGTCTGCAAAAACCTTGGCAAGCACATGAACATCCAGGTCATGGTGACCACAGGTGGAACGGGTCTGAAGGACGATATCCTCCGTTTGGGACAAAGCGGTATGATATCCGCGGCCGCTGCATCCGACACAGAGGATGCCAGCGCCCCTCAGCTCCCAATACCACTATCGCTCGATGCGCAACCACTGGTCATGCCACCTCTCTACATAGCCACAATGCACGTATTGGCTCCATGACTGAACCTCACTGGCGCCCGCGCTCTATTTTCTGTGCACCCAGTCCACATTCTGGTTGGTACACCAGGCCGTGTTCTCGATCTGGCCAGCAAAGGCATCGCCGACCTGAGCACCTGCTCGGTCCTGGTCATGGACGAAGCCGACAAGCTCCTGTCTTCCGAATTCCACCCCATCATCGAACAGCTCATTTCCTTCTTCCCGTCCAACCGACAAATCCTGTTGTACTCTGCCACCTTCCCGATGATTGTGAAAAGCTTCAAGGACAAGCACCTGAACCGCCCTTACGAAATCAATCTCATGGACGAACTGACCTTGAAGGGTGTCACCCAGTACTATGCCTACGTCGAGGAGCGCCAAAAAGTCCACTGTCTGAACACCCTGTTCTCCAAGGTGAGTATGGCTCTACTCGTAGCACGTCTGGTTCTACTCGTAGCACGTCTGGCTCTGCTGCACCCACCAGTCACTGCGTAACTCGCTCCAGTGTTCAGTGGCTCCCTTGCCCACAGTGCAGCGGGTCCCTCGTCCACAGCACCCTCTGCCGGTTTCCGGCATCGTCCTCTGTTTCACACACTGACGCGCCGTGCTCCTACTTGCCCTCCAGCTTCAAATCAACCAATCCATCATCTTCTGCAACTCAACCAGTAGAGTAGAGCTTTTGGCCAAAAAAATCACCGAGCTTGGTTACTCCTGCTTCTATATCCACGCCAGGATGCTTCAGGCACACCGCAACCGCGTCTTCCACGACTTCCGAAACGGCAAGACCCGCCACCTTGTCTGCTCTGGTAAGGATCTCGCCATATCAGCGTGGCGATGTGGCGCTCTGTCGTAATCGCGGCTGCACTCGCCTGGGTCCTGGCCTCGCAAGTCCCGCGGCCAAATGACAGACGACCCAATGCATGTGTGTTTGAGTGCTAGTGGTGAATCATGCTATCCCAGCTGGTGAACCATGCCATCCCAGCCGGTGAACCATGCGATTCCAGTTGCTGACCTCTCCGCTCTGTCCACTGCGCCTCTACTGTGCAGATCTTTTGACTCGTGGTATCGATATCCAGGCTGTCAACGTCGTCATCAACTTTGACTTTCCCAAAAATGCCGAGACCTATCTGCATCGTATCGGTCGATCCGGACGATTCGGCCACCTGGGTCTGGCCATCAATCTCATCACCTACGAGGACCGATTCAATCTCTACAAGATCGAACAAGAGCTCGGTACCGAGATCGCTCCCATTCCCCCGGTCATCGACAAAACCCTCTACGTCGCGCCCTAAGCGACTCGCTCTGGAGCAGCACAACACAAAACCCGCTCCTTTGGGGACGGTCTACCGCATTCCATGGCGTCGGGGATGTCGGTGGTAAGCCTGCCGCTGCGACCTGGTTCTCTTTGTGTTTATGGCCGGTGTGCCGTCGTTGACTTGGTCAATGCCAGCGCAGCCGCGCATGATGACTGAACGGTGTTTTATCTCTCCTCTCTTCTCCTTCCCTGCTTTGATCCGCTTTGCTTGCTGCCCGCCATTGTCTCTTCTATTTTCCATCCTTTCCATTCGCTCTGATATCCACGAGCACTCCTCTGTCTCGTCACCGAAGTAGCTTCGTCGCTGCATCGCTGTCGAGTCATTGGCTGACACACTGCCTGTTGCGCTGCCTTTGCCGCCAACGCCCTTTGTGTCATCCATTTCCTCTGCGCACTCTGCTTTCGTTTTAATGGCATTTTCGGCAACCGTTGCACTCGCTTGTCCCGGTTGCTTCCTATCCCCTTCCCTTTTCATGCTCTTCAATCCACATTCCCTTTGTGCCGATCGCCTTGGCACCACCGCCTGCCCTCCAGCCCGTCACGTCTGGGCGGCCCCTCTCCCTTCGGTACTGTGGTGCTACAGTGGCTCTGCTTCCGATTGCGAGAACGTACCCCGCTATTTATTTGCGAGACGGCTTCGCAGCCAACTCTGCTCGACAGCTTCTTCGCCGTGGCTCTCTGTGTCCGATGACTGGACAAGTCAGTCTGAGGTTGCGTGGAGCCCGGCCGATCTCGTTCTACTCTGCCTGATCTTGGACTCTGGTGTTATTTGCCTTCCCCGCTTGTTGTTTTGGGCCTTCTTGTTTGGCCGGACTTGCCGTGCTTGGATGTTTGGCCATGTCCCCTTTGGTGCTTGATGCTTGATTCATGTTATTTCGATTTGCTTCTTCGTACGGCCTTCTAGTTGGAACGACACTTTGGTCGTATTTTCCCTTTGCCTTTGGTGCTTGGTTTTTTTTTTCTTAGCTGTGATTGCTGGTGTTTGACGGTGATGATGTCGATATTCTCTCATCGGTGTTGGACGTGGTGTCAGCACCTCCTTCCCCTCTGCGGTTTGCCCAAGATACACGCACTGACCAAGTAGTGCGGCTGTCCGGCGGTTACGTTCAAGTCTTGCCTCCCCCAAACTTGGACCCGGACAGCGCTTCGGAGCCGCAATCCCCGCCCTCAAAATGAAACCTCCCCCCAAAAAAATAATCAAGGGCAGCCCCGATCTTCCGAATCGTGAACGGCGTCTCGGCCCGACCTTGCCTGTGGTTCTGGCCTGCTCCAATCTCGGTTGATTAATTCGGTTGCTGCTTTGGATATGAAGAGACACGCTCTACGAAACTACCAACCCCATCAACAAGCGAATCCGGCTCGAACAGACACTTGGTCTTCTGGGTCGCCCTGGTCGAGCCGCGAAGCGATGAAACCATCTGCGGTCGGAGTGTGTCACGACCCACTCTCCACATTCTACCTTGCATGGACGGCAGCCTCTTGGTCACCCAACCCCCCCCTCCTTGAAACCTGGAGATGGGAATCGATCTGCTTCATTCTTCCTCTTTTATTCTCCGCCTTTGCTCCCTTTCCCGATTCGTATCTCCTCCACTAATGGACACATTTGCCTTTGACCTGTCATGCAGCTGTAGTATACATGAACATCCCCTCACTGCTGTTGTCCCTTGCTGATGTACATATCTTTTCTCATTTCCCTTTCCTGATCGATCCCTCTCCCCCCTCCCTCCACACACACATTTTTGCGTCATGCCGCAATGCGTTGCGCTGGTGCTATTGCCCCGACGGCGACTGCTGTCTGCTATCGGCCGGCGTGTGATCATTGACAGAGCCAGCTCGCTCCCGTGTATCTAACCTGCTCGATGATCGATCTGCATCCAATGGCCTGTCTTTCCTTCCTCCCTTGCGTGTCTTGTCGACTGACTTGTTGTCTACCATGCTGTACGGTGGCGCCCTTGGCTCTCCCGCTCGCTGGCTTCTCGTTTGCTCTCTGCTCATCCGGCCTTCCCCCGACCCTCCTTCTGCTTGCTGCTTTGAATCTGCCTCTGTTGGCGTGGTTGCTCTCGATGCATCTTGATGGCTGGTGCTGTTGTTACTCGACTTGCACCTCCAGTTGAAATGAATGCTCGATCATGCGTGTCTCGGATATACGTTTTCCGGCTGCATTCCCTGAGTGCGAGAAAGGGAGTCACTGAACGGGCACGAAGAGCAATGGGGTGGGTTCCACATCGCCGATCCTGATTGCGGCCCGATTGGATCCTGTATCGAGAGTAAACTTTCGCCGGCGGTTGTCGGTTTGCATATCGACCTCCCACGACTCGCAAACCCGCAATCTGTGCCCTCGACTGCTCTGGCTCCTGCAATGTCTCTCCGACCAACAATATCGCCCCGGTCGCTGACTTCTCGGCCGGTGACGCCTGAGGTGGTGAAAGAAGTATTGATCGAGAACGAGCGCGGGTATGCCACCCGAGCCTGAGGCATCTCGATACATACCCCCTCCGGACACACGAAATGATAACGATGACTTGGTGATCTGACCCAAAAATATACAAAATGGCCATGGCTAGATGGCGCCTTGCCGACTCGCTCAAGTTCACCAAGAAGGTGAGGTCGCATCTTTTGCCACTGGCCTCCAGATGATGCGAGAGCGGCGTGCAAAACACAACTGGCCCCCATAGATGGACAGTCTTGCGAAAATGGAGGGCAAAGCTCCAAGGGCAGCATTCCAGTGCTCACCATGGCCCTTTCTTTCCATATCGCTCGTGGCTGCATCTACCTCGCTCGTGCGGATGATTGTGGCGGGCTCTCCAAGGCGCTGCTGCCGACAGATTATCCTCCGTGGTCTGATGGGACTGGACGATATCGCCCGGCAAAGGCACAATTTGCTTGTCCCGTTGCTTGGGAGGTAAGATCAGCTTGTCCAAGTGGCCGACTCTTGGCTCTTGACTCTTGTCTGCAGCATCATTCATCCAGCGGAAGCGACCGGCGCGCCAGGGATGAGTTCGCAAGCGAGGGTGAGCACATCTCAGTTGAACCCTTGGCTAATGTGGATGAGATACGCCACAGTGGATATCGGATTGGATGATCGACATGGTAAGGCATATAACGTCTGGACGTTCCGAGAGGGCGGGCCGTCGTGAAAAGATGAGATGGACGAGCATTGACGGTGTCATGGACACGAGGGCCGTTTCCCACACACCCCTTCATGTCCTCTGCGCTCGCTGATGTGCCTCTCGCTCCCGACCCTGGGCCGCAGAACGGCGATGTGGATCAGGAGGGCTGGGCCTACAGCACCCACTTTGCAAGCGGCAGCTGGAAGGGCACCTGCAGCACCGTACACTACGTTCGCAAGCGCAAGTGGACTCGCACGAAGCGCATCCGCACCATCACCGACCCCGCCCAAGCGGTAGTCAAAGGCGAGGCCGGGTCGATGCAATATCTACATCATCCCGTCAAGCCCGGCCAATTTCCCCTGGGATTCCCGCCGCTGCCGGCTCTGCCCCCAAGCGCAACGAGCGAGCCTCAGTTTGAGTTTTTCTGCAAACTTCAGGGTACCCGGCTGGATCGAGAGCGGCTCGAGTGCATCAAGGGTCTTGCAGACACACCGGAGTGCACCCGGATCCTCAAAGAACATGTGAGTCCAGATCCAAGTGTCTCCGTGACTGTGGTTGAGAGGAGGAGGAATGGAGGGAGCAAATGCAAACGACGATAGGAGTCTCACGCCTTGGCCGCCCCCCCCCGATTGATTAATGTGTTGCTGCTCCCAACCTGGAATCCGTCTTGGCTCGCGCAAGACAGTACCCACATATCATCCAGGCCTTTGAACACGAGGCATACCAGCTCAAAGCAGCCATGCTCATAGGCAAGCGCCTGGACAACAGCGACCGGATCGAGCTCGCCAAGATGGTCCTGGATGGATTTGCATTCTTTGCGAGCGGACAGGAGCTCCTCAAGGTTCTGGAGATCAGCCCTGCCTGTCTTGAGGGGCACACAGCTTGATTAGAAAGAAATGAGCCAGTGTATCTGTGAGGGGCACACAGCTTGATTAGAAAGAAATGAGCCAGTGTATCTGTGAGTGCCCTCCCCCTCAACCACATCAACCACTGCCCCCAGCGATCCGTAGACTGCAGTGGACCAGCTATGCGAAATGCACCCCGATCTTTGTTTGCAATCGAGTGGCTTTGGGTGGCTTTGGAAGTATTATTGAGATATAACATACACTCGACCACCTGGATAGCTCTGCACACGAGTAGTTCTCGACGTCAGCAAAGCCGACCCGAACCAATCGCTCGCTGCGTGATCTGTGCTTTGAGCATCTCCTGTGGTGGTGGTGCTGGTGTTGGTGCTGGTGGAACTGCCCAAATCGACTAGACGCATACTCCCTCCCTTGCCTCCACGAGACATTCCCAAAGGCAACCCCAAGACCAGGCTCCTTGGACGCACTGGTTGGTCATGGTGGATCGGTGCATGTTCATGATTCAGAAAGAAGCGACAACCCTGACTCGGAAACCAATGCCCAGTTCGTTTTGGCCGCGCGGCTATTTACCGCTTGCATTCGCTCTCGGTCTGCAGCTCTGCCCTGATCTCCCCCCAGCCTACAGCCCGAGGGCCATCTGCCATTTCTCCATGTCGGCGCAGCCCCAGCGATCCTTCCATCGGGCCCTCTCACATTCCAGAAAGCAGCCTCCTCGTCGGCCATCGTCCGGCTCTCCCCGGCCAAACCATTTCGTCTCCATCCGCCTGAATGCAGGGCCCTGCCAGGAGCACTTTGCAGCATTCTACCAGCATGTGACGACCGAGTTTCCCGAGCTGCAAGCATACATTATCCCGCCGAGCGAGATGCATCTGACGCTGGCCTTGCTCCATCTCAATGAGCACAATACCAGCAGTGCCATCGCGGCGTTCGCCGAGGCCAGCCATGTGGGTGTCGACACTCCGGTCCTGTCGGCAGCGCTTTACGATCACAGATTTCTCCCTTTGGCTCACATTTTGATGCTGTCAGGTTGTCAGGCGCCATTTTTCCGACTATCTACTGGACCTGGAGTTTGGTGGAATCGGTGAGTGTCCTTCGCCCAACAGGCTCAGAAGCAGGCTCGCTCGCTCACCCCAGCGTTCCGCCAGACACCTTCCGGTCCAACTGGTCGACAGGACAGAAAACAAGAGTCGTCTACACCTATCCAAAGCCCGGGCCGTCGCTGTCGAAGCTGGCGAGTTTTGTTGGTGAGCGAGACGCACTCCCTTCTCCTGGTGCCGTCGATTCTGCCGATCGTCCGCCAGCGATGCTCCGAGTCGCTTGGGTGTGGCTTCGTGAACACCGGCCCTCGCTCTTGCACGGCTCTGATCCAACTGGGCTGGGCCCATCCGCCGGCTCTCTGGCCAACATGCAGATGATCTGTCGCTGCACCTCGCCTCGAAGCAGTCAAGGGACTCGCCGTTTCTATGGATCGATTCCAGCCCCGATCGAGCACGATTCACCCCACATTGCACCCTCATGAAGCTGAAGCGGACCGGCAACAGCGGCCCCATCCCCGACCACATCCCGGATGCCGCATACTCTCGCTTCCAGGGTTCGTTCGATCGCTTGTGGACGGCACGGGTCGCTTCGGCGCAGCTCCGCTATGGCCCCTATTCCGCACATGCGTTGTCTGTTGTCGGTCGGGTATCTGCGTCCTGATCCCCGGCGATTGGGCATACGTGACCCGATCGTAACATGGGCTGCCCCTCCTCCTCCTTCTCCTTGCCACAGATTTCGAATTTGGATCGGCCCGAATCGCTTCGATCGAGTTGTCCATCATGATGGGCCCCAAGGAATCCGATGGGTACTATCGCTCACTGGCATCCATCCCGCTGCCCAGCTGATCTGCTGGCGACGGGTCCACATCCGCATCTGCCTCGCAGGAACATTGCTTCCATGACATGCGACCAACCTCCGTGTGCGGTGGCCGCCTGGAGCACTGTGGATGAGTGTGCTCCGGGACTTACGAGATGGAGATGCGTATATTTTCAAGATCTGCAGGACAGCGCCGGACATGCTCTAGTTGCTCTTGTTGGAGCTCTTTTGCTCTTGCTCTTGCTCCTCAATGTACTTGTATATGCAGTCGATCGCCTTCTGTCCAACCAAGACACCGCTCTGAACATGGCTCGGATCCTCGAGCCCGTTGTAGTTGGTGCTCACGGGCAAATCGACGTCGCGGACGGCGCCGAGCACCTGGCTGAGCCATGTAATCGTGAGCCCTTCGTAGTCCTTCATGACCTGCAGCTCGTCCGCCGAGCCGGCCATCTTGACCTTGCGCAAAAGGGACGGGAACATCAGCGGCAGGTCCGAGAGGTTCTGATGCGCTGTCTGGAGGATGACGGCGAACAGAGACGATGCATTGGCCTTTTCGAAAATCGCTTGCAGAGCCGTGATGTTGGATCGCCAGTGGAAGGTCTGGTGGTGGCGACCACGGGTGAGTGCCGTTCCGAAGCAGGGAAGCCCAGGGGAGCCCAGGCGAGAGGAACCAGTCCAAGAACGAGCAGCACAGATGGATGGGAGCTTGGCGTCAGTATCCAGCATCAACTTGAACGAAACGAGTCCACCGCAGTGTGTGAAACCGAGCTTGGTACGAGTGGACTGGGTCCAGCAGGCTCAGCAGCGCCGACCTCACACAGGCCGGTGCAATGCAATGTCTCGACTAGCATACCTCGGACTGAATCGACAGGAGCGGAACGGTGCTGTCCACAGGCAGATTGTCGACAGCAAGCATCCAGGGATCTGAGCGAATGATGGAACGCAATCGACGTCGTAACCGTCATGGAAGAAGGGAAGGCGAGTACGGTGTTGGTCAGTGACTATCCCAAGAGACATCATGGGAGGCGAGTCGGCACCGAGACGAGACAAAAATGTATCCAGATGTCCAAAGCGAGAGTCGGGATTGCATGCGCATTGACCCTTGGATACAGCCACGGCTCGGTCTCGATTCGTACCATGGATGATGGCGCATCGGAACTTTTGGGAGCTCTTGCCTTGGAGGTGCTTGATGACGGTGGCAGCCTACGAGAGATCACGACAGCAATGCAGCAACGAGGACACAGCGACAATGGCTTCAGCGTCAGCGGATACACGACGGACACCCCCCCCCGAACGAACGGCTTGGACGACAGAGGACAACTCACGCCAAAGGAGTGCCCAGCCAGGATAAAGTTGTCCAAGTCCAACCGCTGCCGGAATCGCTTGCGGATCTCGTCGAGCGAATCGCCGGGCCGCTTTGGGCTCTCTTTCTTGGACGAGCCGTTGGAAAGCCAGTGCATCCAGGACGACGACGACGACGAGGTGGCCGATGGTGCCAGCGACGGGGCTGATGCTGGCTCCGAGGTCCCAGCCGACTTGGTGCCTTGGTGGAGGTCCTGGATCCACTGGACCAGCCGCTCGATCTCCTCGTGCTTGCGGGACATTTGCACCTTGCGCTTCCCAAGGAGGAACTGGTCGCCGTCGACGCCTGCTGGAGGCTTGGCCTTCCAGTACTCAAAGTACGGGATCAAGGCAGTGATGGGCGGCAGCGACGAGGACGAGGACGAGGACGAGCTCGATGGCGGAGGTGCGACGGGCGTCGAGAAAGAGTCCGGGGTCAGCAGCCGAGCCTCGACGACCGAGGCCGGGGTCTTGGTCCGATAGGAAACGAGGGCGCTCTGGTCACCGAACTCGATGGCAAAGGTAACGATGCCATGCGAGGCCAGGATGCCGCAGTAATGCGAGTACATTGTTCGGGTGCCGCCCAGGCCGTGGGCAAAGATGCAGACCGGGAACCGAGCCAGGGCAGCCGAAACCGATTGGGATGTAGCCTCGGTCTCAGTCTTGGCAGTGGCATTGGAATTGAGAGTGGCATTGAGAGTGGTATTGGCAGTGGCCTCGGACTCCGCTTGGGATTCGGGCTTGGATCCGAACTGGGTGTCCGGTGCCTTGGTCTCGCGGGCGAGCTTGTGGAGCAGCGGTTGATCAAGAATCCCAGGCATCTTGACAGAGCAGAGAGTCGGATAGATCACCAGCGACCCCAGCACGCTGGGCAGCTTCAAGAAGGTCGCCATGGCTTTGGCATAGATGTTCTGTCGGCCCTCCGGCAGCCACGAAGCCTGGACAGGCTCGGGATGGCCGGGCTCGGGAAGGTCGTCGGTGGGGTAGTAGATGCGGAAGAGCAGACCAGGAGCGAGCTCGCCTGGCGAGCCCGATTCACCCTCGACGGCGACAGGATCGGTCTCGACATCTTGGACAGCGACTCGGAAGGGACCGGGGTAGTTGGGCAGGCCTCTGGCAAGCATGGCTGCACGAAGGCGTCGGCGAAACGAGAGAGTGGGGGCGACCAGGTGCCTGCGAATGGCTATGGAACGGGAGGAAGAAGATGATGCCGGTAACGATACAGATGGTGACGGTGGTGTGAGTTCTGGGTTGGGAATTGCAGGGTGGTGATTGCGGCTGTGGATTGCAGATTGCGATTGCCAATGCTTGGGTTGGGAACTGGCGACGGTTGGGTGCGGATGGCGATGCGGCAGGACAGAGTGCTCAACAGACCTAGACGACGGCGGTGGCAGCAATCGCAGCAGCGATGGAAGCAGCGATGGGAGCAGGGACGGAGGCAGCAGCGATGCAATATATTGCTATATATTGCTATATATTGCTATATATTGCAAACAAAGGCGAGCCTTGGCAGCGAGCCCGCATTTGTCACCAAACGGGAAATGCGGACAATTTGCATTTCATCCGGGGTGCGCATGGCAGGGCACATCGACTCCCAGCAGCCATCTGAACATCATCGGGTCGGAAGAATCGATATCAACACATGAGCGCTATGGCAACACGCATCCTCCACGTCACTCCACAATCCGAACGGCGGTGACGGCGATCGTGATCATGGAACCTTTCAGAGTACGACCACACACACCGCAGATGATGAATGTGCTGCGATGCTGCAGTGCTGCAGTGCTATCCACCCATCACCCATCCACCCATCCACCCATCCACCCATCCACCCATCCAGCCGTTCGAGAAGGGATGGCATCGTTTCGTTTCGCTTGATTTTTGGATAGTATTCACAGCAGCTAGATTGCACGCAACACGCATGCGGGGGGATTGGCAAGGGCGATAGAGCAGGAATGGCAAGAGCGGCGGAATGAGAACACCACCACCAAACTACGGTGGCAAAGAACAGAGTGAAGCACAACATCGATATCCAGTAACTATAACAATAGCAATAGCAATAACAATAACAAATAACAAATAACAGTAACAAATAACAAATAGCAATAGCAATAGCAATAACAATAGCAAAGCCCAAAACGCAGAAAGAGGAAAAGAGCAGAACAACAGCGAACGAATATGAGCAGAGTGAGACACAGAACAGACCAAATGCATCAACATTGGGTCGTCACAACGGAAGCCGAGACCGTCTGTCTGCCTCCTCCTCACCAAGGGTGCGAGAGGATTCGTGGGTGTTCATCGCGTGTGCATGTGTGCGTATGTGTGTGTAAAAAAGTAGGGAGAGGGGAATAGCGCATCCAGGGCAGACAATGGAGCTGCAGTCAGAGCAGAAGCGAGGAGATACGGCAAGATGGAAGGATGGGAGAACAAAAGCAGTGATGATGTGAAGACTACAAGAAGGAGGAAGAGGGCCTCCTCAAACCACACGCAGATGAGCGTTGCCACAAGCGTAGCAGAGAGAATGGCGAGCTAGCGCCGCAAGGACGAACAAGTGCAGCAAGCAAGGACATCGCAAGAGCCTGAAGCACGAACGGACCGCAGCAGCAGCAACAGCAATAGCAACAGCAATAGCAACAGCAATAGCAACAGCAAGCGGCTGTGAGGCTTCGAGTGGGGAGGCCGTCCCGACTAAAAGTTGTCGCCGTCCAAGGGCTTGCTCTCGTCGGGCTGCGAGTTGGCCAGGTCTAACGACCCCGACGGGTTGTTCTCGATGGCGTGGTCTTCGGCGGCGCTGCCATCGTCATCGACGTGGCTGTCGTGAGAGATCTCGCCCATACCATCCTCGGCGGCGGACGACTCGCCAACCTCGCCGTCGTCGTGCTCGAGCGAGTCCTCGGCCATGGCAGCAGCGGGCTGCGGGTCCTGCTCGAGGTCGGCCGAGGATTCCTTGCCGAGGACGTCACCGCCAGAGAGGATGAGACCGCCGTCGACGGGAGCACCTTGTTCGAACGAGTCCTCCTCCTCGTAGTCGTGCGTGGCAGCGTACTTGTCGAGGTTGTCGTCGTCCTCTTCGTCGTCGGGGTTGTGGCTGTGGTGGTGGTGATGGTGGTGGTCGAGGTCGTCCTCGTCCTCGTCATCCTCCTCCTCTTCCTCGTCGTCTTCTTCCATGGCAAGCGAGTCGGGGTTCTCCTCGATGTGCTTCAGCACGGCTTCGGCCTGGATGTGCAGACTCTCGTCGTTGACTCCGGTGGAATCAAACTCGAGCTCGTACTCGAGCTTGGGCTTGACTTCCGAGGGATCGACCGACGCGTCCGCATCCGCATCCACATCCGCGGTATCGGGCACCTGGGGATCGTTGGTGTGGGACTCCGCAGAGGACGCAGCCTCGCCGTTGCCGATGTGCTTGCTCTCGTCAAGGGCATCGTCCGAGGAGTCGGGGGCAACGGCAACAGCCACAACTGCAGCCGCTGTTTGAGTGACTGCGACGGCCGCTAGCGGAGCCGCACTCGAATCATGGACCTTGGCGCTAAAGTGGCGGGCGCCCTTGACATCGCCCATGCTCTTGCGATAGGCCTCCATCTCCTTGGCATACCGGAGCTGGTCGTTCTTGGCCACGTCCATCCACTTGCGGCGCTCGGCTTCGTCCAGGCCCTTCCAGGCCTCGGAGATGCGCTTGGAGATCTGGCCGATGGAATCTTTGGGGTTCTGGGCGTGGTAGATCTTGCGGACCTCGAGCAGGTAGAAGATGAAGGCCGAGGTGGGGTGCTTGGGCTTTTCCAGCTGGCCTGCAAAAGTGCAAAATATGCGTTGCACGGCGGGGGTGGAGACAGGGGATGGATGTATGGTTGGATGGATGGATGGGTCAGTAACGGCAGGATGACAACAGCCGAGTCGGCAGCCACTCGCGCAAGCACACATGCACAGATGTTGCTCACACTCTGTCGTGCACAAACACACATGCACAGATAGAGATACGCTCTCACGCTCCATCGCGCACACTCTGCCGCACTCACCCGCCATGGCTGCCTTCTCCATTCGCTTGCGCTTCTTTCCGCCGGCAGTCTTCTGGATCTGGCTCCACTCCTTCTTCATCTCCTTGGCCATGTCGTTGTACTTGATCCTGTCATCCTCGCTGGCATGCTTCCAGGCATCAGCCGTGAGCCGCGAGATCTCACCGACGCCGAGGTGCGGGTTGTTGGCTTGGATCTCACTGCGCTTGTCCTTGTTGAAGAGAATGTACGAGTTGGGCGGCCGCTTGAGCGACTCCACAGCCGAGTGGAACTTGGATCCGGGCGCACCTGGCCCGCCGGTCTGGGCCTGGGTCGGTGTGAGCTTGGACTTTTTCCGGATGCGGCGGTTGGGGTTGGCGGCGATGATGCTCTTGTACTCGTCGCGCAGCTGGGTGGCCTTGAGCTTCCACTTTTCCTTGGCCGTCTGGGGGAAATGTGAAAGTTGCGTTGGACAGAGATAAAGGGAGGGTCATGGCACACGGGCGATGCGAGAGGGATGAGTACCAGAGGACATATGGCAGATCGACACGGGGCAATGCAGATATCTGTACGCCGATGGCAACCCGGGCCTGCACCGCCCATCCCCGCAGCGCCAGGCACACCCGCCTGGCGCACCGCCTGGCATCGCACACAATTGGATCTATCGGACTCGCGCACAGCGACAGAGCACAGCGACAAAACGCAGGTCTTACCTCCTCCATGGCGGCCCACTCGTTGCCCATGATCGAGCTCATGGCCGCCGTCGACATGTGTGTGTCCTGCTTGTGCAGCTCCGGACGGCGGGTCTGGCAGTACAGGAAAAACGCATTGGGCGGGCGCTTGACCTTGTCGGCATCGTCGGTTGGCGAGGTATTCTTGCCGTTTGCGGCAGCGCCGGTCGTCTTGGGAGTCACAGGCTGCGACGAAATGGACGACGATGGCTCGTTGGAAGACTCGCCGGCCTTGGCAGCAGCGGCGGCTGCAGCGGCTGCAGCTTTGGAGCCCCTGGACCTCGACTTTGGCGTCTTGGTCGGGGTTGCAGCCGGGGTAGTGGGAGGCGCTGGGCTTGGATAGCTGGCGTGCGGAGCAGAGACTGTAGCTGGAGCAACGGTGGCCGAGGCAGCCTGAACGGCGGCAGCAGCAACAGGCGGATTGGCAGTGCCGCGCGGGTTGAAGCCGACCTGGGACGAGGGCGACAGAACGTTGGCGGCAGGATGTTGCGGATGGGGAGCCTGGGCAAGCGGCTGGATGTGGGTGGGCGAGTTGTTGAGCAGATCCGGGCGAGGATCGAGGGGATGGACCATGGGGTGGCCAGGCTGCGAGTTTGAAAAGGGATGCGAGTACGGGTGGTGGTAGGGCGGATAGGACGGAGGCAGGTACGACTGGTACGGGTGCGGCGGGTACGACTGCGAGGCGTGGGCGGGCGGTTGCATAAAGTTCGGGGTGGCGGGGCTGGGCGACGACTGGTGCTGGTGATGGTAGGGCGAGGGATAGGCGTGTGAATCTTGGCCCTGGCGGTAGTGCATCGGGGCGGTGTTGACCTGCGGGTTGGAGAAGGACAGGGAGTTGTGGGTGGGGATCTTGCTGGGATCGTGGCTCATGAACTGGGAGGTCTGCAGAGCCGAGGAGTGAGCCGCGGCGGCAGCAGGGTCGATCGAAGCCGATGCCGAGGATGTGTTTGCGGTGCCAGAGCCGACGACGCCCGAGGCAGTGGTGGGCTGCGGGTTGCTGAGACCGGTGGAGACATGACCCCAGGCGAGGCTGCCGGGCTGTTGGCCCATGCGGCTGTACTCATAGTGGGGCTGGGACGGATAGTAGTGCTTGGGATCCTGGGCATGGTGGTAGCCCTGGCTCTGCTGTTGCTGTTGCTGTTGCTGCTGCTGTTGCTGTTGCTGCGAGGCATGGGCCTGGGGATAGGCGGACGAGTAGCCCTGGTTGCTGGAGGGATGGGTGGCCTGGGAGCCGTAGGACTGGTGCTGCATGACGGGCGACGGGCCGAGTCGGTGGTTGACGGGTGGGGGGACCGAGGGCGGCGAAAGGGAGGTTGGTGCCGAGTTGTGGGGACTTTGCCGAATGGAGCTGTATCGTGGAAGTGCGGCGTGGGTGGTGTTGGATGGTGCGGGTGGTATTGGATAGTGCGGGTGGTGTGGATGGTGTAGATGTTATTTGATAGTCACGATGCAGAGGGCCGCAGTTGATGTGACGGGTTCGAGAAGGTTGTGCAATTGATGTAGTGGATGCAGTGAGTGCAGTGGGAGCGATGCGGCACAGGGTTTTGGTGTTGCCGAAGAAGAGCAGTATTTTGCGCCCGGCGAGGGCCGCGGGTGCGTTGTCGGGTATATGAGTTTGAGGAGGCCGTCCAGGGGGGCGAGGACGGGCGAGGACGGGCGAGGACGGGCGAGGGACGCGCCGAGAAGCGAGAGCGAGAGCGAGAGGGCGAGCGACAAGCCCGGTCCGAGGAGCGACAAGTCCGGAGGGAGAGCGGCGCGGGTTGTGAGGGGCGATCGTCGTGGTGGGATGTGATGGAAGGGAATGCGATGGGATGTGACGTGATGGGATATGGTAAAATGCGGGAGGGGGAAGAGCGATCGGTGGATTGGATTAGTCGGCAATGAGTATCAGAATCGAGCTGCAGGATCGACCGATCGAGGCGATCATGGTCGATGAAGCCGGCTGGCAAGTGCAAGTGCAAGTGCAGCAAGTGGGCAAGAGTGGGCGAGTGATAGGTATGTGGTGTGCAATATGATGTGCAATATGATGTGCAATATGATGTGCAATATCATGTGCAATATCATGTGCAATGTGATGTGCAATGTGCAATGTATAGTACGCAGTATGCAATGCGAAATGTGCGCATTGACTGGCGTGCGTGCAGGCCATGGCCCCGCCCATGAGCGTAACGCAGACCCGCCCAATCCAGGCTGCAGACGACGCAGGACAGGCAAACGTACATGGTCTACGGCAGGCGAGTTCCCGGCAGAGCGTGAGAGGCGGCGGGGAACAAAAAAAGAAGGCCGAGCAGTTCAGTGAGGGCACTTGTTCAAGGGAGCGAACAGCGCACTTATTGTCTTGAAGGGCAGCAGCTGGATGGGGAGAGCAGGACCAAGATTTGTTGCGGTGGTCTCAAGCGACGAGTGCGGGTTACAGAGAGAGCAGTGAGTTTGTGGGGGGGGGTGCTCAAAGGAGCGTTTCTTTCGGTTCGTTTCAGCAGTTGCAGCAGAGAGCAGCAGCGGCTGTAGGGGAAGCAGTTCTTTATATCAGATCAACAGGGACGCACCGGGCCGGGCCGAGGACGGCCGTTGTGCTGTGGTGCGGGGGGGGGCGAGGGGCGAGATGGGGAGCGAGATGGGCGGCGAGGATGTGCGAGTGTGCTGGACGAGCGCGCGAGAGGGCAGCGAGAGTGCAGCAGCGAGAGCGAGAATGCAGCAGCGAGAATGCGGGGCCAGTGCAGCAATCCCCAATGCGGGCCAGTGGAGCAAGTCAAAGAAAGCGAGTCAAAGAAGCAAGCCGATGCCAAGCCAAAGCGGCGAGCCAAAGCTGCAAGTGAGCATTGGCTCAGAAACACACCTGTCTGTTGGGGGGAGAGCCAGGAGAGAACCCGAAGGAAAGAACGTGGGCGGCAGCAGACCAAAGCCGGCAGTCAGCAGGACAGAACACGGCAGGACAGAACACGACCGAACAAGCCCAAGGCGAGTCCAATTCAAATCCAATTCAAATCGAGGGCAATGCGCTCAGCGACGCGAACAAGCCCAGGCCGCTTGTGGCAGGGCTGCGGCCAACGGGAGGGCGAGTCGCGGTCCAACAGCAGCAACGCCGTTGGCTGCAGGGTCGAATGCGGAACGGGAATCGAGGGTGTGTCGATAGGCAGTGTGGTGCGAGAAACTGCAAATAGAGAAACGCAAATGTATAATGGCAAATATAGAGCTGCAAATATATATATATATATATATCTATCTATATATATAATACCTGCCAGTTCAGGGCTGCAGTAGAGTAGGGTTGAGCAGAGTGAGTAGAGTAGAGCAGAGCAAAACTCGCCGATGCAGAGCTGCCAAGAGCGCAAGAGAAACAGCAGCAACAGCAAGAGAAACAGCAGCAACAGCAGCAACAGCATCAACAGCAGCAACAGCAGCAACAGCAGCAACAGCAACAGCGACGCGGCCGCAAAGACAACGCCACACGCACCCGCTCCCCACCGTCTGATTGGCCCGCCCTTTGTTCGCCCGCCGCCCGCCCGCCCACCGCCGCACCCCCGCCGCGCCGCGGACCCCGATCCGCAGCCGCTCTCGCTGCCTTCTCGTGGCCGTCTCGTGGCCGTCTCGCGGCTGTCTCGCTGTCGCCCCTGGCCTCGCTGCGTCTCGCCGTGTCCTCGCTGCCAGGCTACTCTCGGTCACACCTGCACGACCGCGCGTCGCACTGGACCCGTCGGGCCAGCCAATCGACGTCCTGCTTCACTTTGCTCGTCGCGGGCCAGCTGCCTGCCTGATTTGGACGTGCCTCGGCCAATCGCGATGCGGCAAGCCTGTCTCTGTCTCACCGCCAAATGTCCAATCGCATCGCGTCTCGTTCCTCAGCCAGCGAGAGACGAGAAGCGTGGGAGAGACGAGAGCCCTTGCTGATCACGGGTTCCTCGATACCCTTGCTCATGGACTCACACATGGACTCGCACATGGACTCACACATGGACTCACACATGGACTCACACATTCAGTCGCCCCCATCCCCTGCACAGCCCATGCCCAGCGTCTCAGTCACCCAAGTATATTACGTCGCTAATCGATATGAGGCTCGACGTCGCTGGTGGCCCGTCGGCACTATTGGCTCGGTTCCCACTCCAGGTCGTGGACAACAACGTCAGGCTCGCTTGCTGGTCCTTCATCGTCCGGCCCAATGCGGGCAAGCAGGTCGTCCAGACTTTCCACGGCATCGCCCTTGCCTTGGCTTGACTCCAGCGCCAGCTTCACCGCTGCGTATTGGTCCTTGAGGGCCTGCAGCATCTGCATCTTGGTCACAACAACGCCCCGATCATCATATGCCTGCTGTGTGATCTCTTCAAAGTCCGTGCCGTCCAAGAACGTTTCGTTTCGGATGACCACCGAGTGCTTCTGAATGTAGTAGCTGCATGCGGCCATCTGCTCCATAACTTGTTTCTCGCGCTCTTCGAGCTCGCCCATCTGCTTTGTAAGGCGGGTTTTCTCCTGTTTCTTTGGCAGTGCGACGTGCTTGGTCCCTCCGATATCCAGGGTCAGGATCTCGGTCGTTGCGCTCTTGCAGTCCAAAGTAAAGCAGACCTCCTCCCAAAAGAAGGATGAGTGTCCGCATTCGGGATAGGCTCCGTTGTTGCGAGCCCATTGGAAGCCGGCAGTGGGGTGCGGCTGGCTAGGCATCCTGACTAGATAGTAGCATCCATCGATCTTGGCCCTCTTGGAGCAGTCTGGGTGGGAACAGACCATGACTCCTTCGGGATAATAGCTGAGAAAGTACTGGAGGAAGCTGCGATTCTTTTGGCAGTCACCCGATTGCTCCTTGCTGGCGGCACGTTCGTATTCGTCAATCCGCTTCTGCAGGTCAAACTTTTCGGCATGCAGCTCGCGGAGTTGTGGAGCCAGCTTCTCGATGTGAATCCGCAGCCTCTGGAGCTTGTATACCAGTCGGAGATCGTGTGGCTCGTTGGAGCAGGCGAGCTTCACAAGTCTTCGGATGGCTTTGGACGACTTTTCCCATGCTTCCTGGGCCGTTGACTTTTCCCATGCATCCTGGGACACGTCTGCGTCATCCGATGGCTCCTGGGAGGCCCCTTCCGCCTCGCCAGTGCGGGCACGGGCCTGCTCCGTCAACAGGAAACGATAGGCCTCGTTGTCGACCAGGAAGGTGTTGTCGCCGCGCAGTGGGATATCGACACCGGACTGCTGTTTGATCTGCTCAAACAGCCGCTTCAGCAGCGTTTTGGTCTCCCCCGCCTGGAAGAACGTCGACCGGGCCTTGGTGAAGAGGAAGATGGCCCTCTCGACCGCCTCCCGGTCAAAGCACTGCAGGAGCTCGAGGATGCAGAACCGGAGCCAGACCGTCAGCCTGCTCTCGTTGACCGGAAAGACCAGGACGATCGCGTGGATCACGCCGATGCTGGTGGCGTACTTGATGATGTTGGCCATGTTCTTCTTGTCCTGGGCAATGCCTCTTGTATCGCCCATCCCGGGGGTGTCGATCACTCGGATCTTGGCCGGGAGCCCGTCGTCGTCTTGGAAGTTGAAGATGTACGACTGGCAGCACTGCGTTGTGGACTGGCCATCGACAAACTGCTCGTTGGCATAGACATCTATCCCCCACCCAAAAGACAACGAGGTCAGAGAGGGTATCAGCGCCACGATGCTGCTGGCTTCTGTCCAAGCCGATGGAGACATGGGGGTCTGCATGACCGCTCCTCTGTCACCGATTCCCTGATGCTGATGCCCTGTCGCTCTGTTCATGGCCTGGCCAGGCTAATCGAGCGCTCACCTGGGCCGGCGTCTTTCAGGTGCCGGGGCTTGGCTTCGATAACAGTTTCTTCAAAGGTGTCAAGATCGACGGTCGAAAAGCGGGAATGGACCAAGGTGATGGGATTGCGAGAGGCAAGGGCGGCGTCGAGGCTCCCAAAGGTCAGGTAATTGGCAAGCGAGTTGATAAGGGTCGACTTGCCAACGCCGGTCTCGCCCAGAACCAGAATGTTGGTGCAGTTTTGGGGCGTAGCTGGTGTAGCTGGTGCGGTCAGGACATCAACTTGGGCTGAAAGGGAGAGCTGATGGATACGTGAGTTGGATTGCCAGAGACATGGAGGCGACGAATCGCAGGGACGTTGGCGACTATGCGCCCGGGTTCAGCAGCGGGCCCCCGGGAGCGATGGGTATGCACAACGGCACTGCACAGAGCTGCTGCTGCATCCAATAGCAGCCATCCGGTGGTATCCGCTGGGTGGGATTGCTGCAATAGCATCGACTGGGTGGGATTGTCGGACCAACGACGACCGAGCCTGCTCTCCCGGCGGGTCCATGCAACCCCGCTTACCATAGATGTACTCGCTGCTGCTTGCGAATGAGGTGACGGAAATGGCAGTCGAGTGGAACTGTTTTCGCAATGGATTCGGTCCAAGGCCAGGGCGGCCAGGAGCAGGGTTTTAAATTGTTCGACACGCGGTATCAGTCCGCAGCGTGACCAACTGTTTCAGCCACGGCCTTCATGACAACAAACCCGCAAGCAAATCAAGCAAGCAAGCAGCCAGCTGTGGCTTCTCCGGATACCACAGGCATTCGATCTGCACATTCCGGGAGTGCCTTTGGGGCACCGGCTACCAAACCCTCTCTCCGCCTTCGCCTGCGGGAGGGGTATTCATTTATACTGGTAGTGGTCCGGAGCGGCAAATTCGATATGAATATACCGGCCAGACCGCCGAGCCAAGCGCCCCAGCTCCAGCCCTACAGGCTCCTGACTCAGAGAAACAGGGAGCGTGATGGAGTTGAGCCTCGGATAGGATACCGGGTCGATACCGTCCAGACTCTGGATCGACAAAGGCAGCACCAAGTTGCTCAGCTGCGGGGCGTTGCGGGTCAGACCAACCAGGCTCTTGAGCTTGCTGCTCTTGGCCGCGTTGAGTCTCCACAGGGATTCCAACGAGGCGGGCATGCCCTCGAGAGTCTCGATCGATGGGGGGACCGTCATGTCCCGCAGGCTGCTGAGCGACGGCAATCCCGCCAGGGTCGTCAGTTCCGAGCAATATTCCATGTTCAGTAATGTGAGCCGGTCGAGTCCTTCAGGGAACCCCTCCAAGGTCCGCAGCCGAGGCGGAAGCAAAAGCGTCTCCAGCACCGGCATGGATCGCGGCATATCATGCAGGCTCTCGATCCGATGGCATGAGCCCATATCTAGCCGCTCGAGGCTGTTGGCGCAAATCGAGAGGCCCGCGAGTCGCTCAATCGATCGTGACGGCGCGAGGGAGGTGAGAGCCGGCAAGGCAGGAAGTGCCTCCAGATCAACGAACGCATCGCAGCAAGACATGTCGAGGCTCTTGATGGTCGCTGCAAGCGTCTGGAGGTCCGCAAGATTCGCCAGCAGCGGAGGCAGCCCGAGCCGGCTGAGATTGGTCATGGGCGACGGCAGTCCGGCCAGCGTGGTGATCTTGGAGCACCCCGACAGGTCCAGCGTCGACAGCTTGGACAAATGCGATGGAATCCCGGCCAGGCTTTCGATGGACGACGGCGGAGTTAGACCCTCCAGAACCCCCAGCCACGGCATCTGGTTCCAGTCCCAGGCCGCTTGTCCGGGCCGCAGCCGCTTGACCTCCAATCCGGTAATGTTGTCGAGCGACCGAGGCCAGCCAGAGAGGGTGGTGAAGGTGCAGTCATAGAGCAGCACGTCGCAGGGAAAAGAGAACCTGAGATAGTGCAGCTCATGCGGCAACAGCCCGGCAAGCTGCTCGGGCAGAAAGAGTGGGTGTGGGCGGGCGAACCGGATGACGATCAGGAGTTCCGTGTGCATCTTGGGGATTGTATCGAGGATATAGGCTCCATCGAGCAGCTCGAACTGCTCCTCGTCCGTGAATTCGTCGCCTGTCTTGCGGCCGTTTACAAGGGTATACTTTGCGGCCGGGACGTATGAAGGTGCGCGACGGCAGATTCGACAGACGCTGGCAACGTTTTCGTGGAGCTTTGGGTTCTCGTAGACGGCCCACCAGAGCTGCAGCTCCTTTTGATGGGCCGAGAAGGATCGGGGAAGGAACGACTTTGAGCGATTGAGATAGCAGTGCAAGCCCTGGAGAACGACCTTGCGATCAACCGAGGCCTCAATGTCATCAAAGAGGAGTTCGTGAAGATCAAACGACTCGAAATAGCGGATGTCGTTGGAAAGTACGAGAGATTGAAGCGCAGGGGAGAGCACATTCGACCATACGGAGTAGCAGTCCAGAAGCGACTTGGCCTGGCGACTCAATCGGAGGAGCCTGGCGAGAGTCGGCAGATCGATAGCGCTGAGGAAGACATCGCTGGCAGCCAGGACAGCAAGGAGATTGTGCTTGGCGAGAGACGCATGGGCTTCCTCGGTGAGCATGGGAGGAGTGGGTGGAGACGATGGAGGTGATGGAGACGATGGAGACGATGGAGGTGATGGGGGTGATGGAAACAGTGGAGACGATGGAGAATTTGGGAGGCGAAGCAGAATTCGGCGGGGTGGCCGACCCGATCCGCAAGTCCATTCGTGGATTCCACCGCAAATGAAGTGTACAAATCGATCATCCAGCAGTAACTCTGCTCAGAATCGATCCATGCTAGACGCAGGGTGGGGTGGAGGGCGGCTGGAATACATTTGCTTCGGTCGCCAACAATGAAGATCATGGCCAGCGCACGACGTTTTGGGAGGAGGGAGGGGCAACAGAATAGGTTGGACATTGGACAAATTACCGGATGCCCAGGTTTGTTTATTATTATATATCGTGATTATCGACAATCAGAACAACAGTCATTGGGATCTCTCTTGGTGAGACCAGAATGCGGGGGCCGCCTCACCAGTGTGCGACTCGGTCACGATGATATGTCGACCAAGGATGTGGAATGGTGATCCATACGGCTGGATCCCAGACACCATGGAACAACCAATAGCTCGACCTCCACGCACCATGGAACACCATGGAGCCCCATGGAACGCCAACAGCGGGGGGAGGTTTGTGATGACTGCATCACTGCTTGCGGGCAGCGTTCTTGGCCTGCCACTCGATCACTCGCGGATGGCTCTTGACAGTGTCGTAGACCTTGGTGATGTGAATGTACGGCGCCACCAGATCGGCAGGCATGAACGGAATCAGAGGAGCCGGTCCCGAGACCATGTTCACCAAGTGGTAGAGCGTAACGTCGGCAATGGTGATCTTGTCGCCGACCGAGTACTTGCCGCTGTACTTTGCCAGGACGTTGTCCAGACCCGCAAGCATGGGCGGGTAGACCTCGGTGGCAAGCTTGTTGCAGGCAGCGGCCATGCTGGCAGGATCCGGGCAGTGGAAGACCTCGACGAGCTTGGCGGCCATGTCGCCCAGCTGACCAAGGGCCTGCTCGGTCAGAAGGCAGGCAAAGGGGTCGTCGTTGCTGGGGTACAAGCCCGAGAGGATTCCGGCGTAGTGCAGCAGAGCGTCCGACTGGGCAACGACGTGCTCGCCGTCAACCGTCAGGACGGGGAGCTGGCCAAAGGGCAGGGTGGGCTTGATGGCGGCAAACTGCTCGCGGGTCAGGCGCTCATCTTCGAACTCGACGCCGCCGATGAAGAGAGTGAGGCGGATGGCCTCGGCACGGCCGGGGCTGTCAAAGTAGGTGAGCTTGAGGGAAGAGGGCTTGGTGACGGTCATGGCGGTGGTCGTGTCGGATAGAGGCGGTGGTCGTGTCGGATAGAAGCGGTGGTCGACTGTGGGCAAGCGAGGCAGATGTTTGCTGGGAAGTTGGTATCGCGGCGCACCGCATTTGTATGGCCCCGGTTGCCGGGTTGCTGGGGATGCCCCACGACCGCCGGGCCAATCAGCGCTGGTGCCGGTGCCAAGCCCCGCCCGCGCTGAGAAATCGATCGCAGGAGGTTTGAAACATCCTTTCTTCCGGAGGGTTGGCAGGGAGCGCCGCCGATCAAAAGTATCGCTCGCGAAGTGCACCATGGGGAGCGGCTTGCGATCCGGGCCATGATGCTGACATTGCCTGCCACGTCGACACTGATCGGCCACGTCGGCATTGATCGGCCACGTCGACATTGCCTGCCAGGAGATGCAGGCCGACTTGGACGGTGGGCTTGGCAAACGATTCCTCAGCACTCCAAGGCGGGTGGTGGCGATACGACACCAGTCCCGGCGGGCAGAGCGGGTGCATCGACCACCACCACAGTCGATCGACACCACCACAGTCGATCGACACCACTCAGTCCATCACGACGAACCCATTCGCACCGAATCGTGCCTTCAAACGCAGATATATTGTCGGTTTGATTGGCGAGCTGTGACCATGGCCCTCCATGCTCCTCAACGGTCCATATCGCCGGGTACTTGAGCCAGCGGCAGCACTGTTAGCGGCCCTGTGCGTCGATGCCGGCGATCACACTCTCCAGGTGCTCGCGCTCCAGTGTCCGCATTGCGACTGCGAGTTGCATAATCCGGTCGTCGTTGCTGGGGCTGTCGGCCGCAAGATCGACTGGAGCCAGTCCCATCAGCATGATCCGACATCGGTTGCGTAGCCACTCGAGGGCCGCCGTCTCGTTTCGATCTGTCACCGGCTGCGACAGATCTGTCGGCGTCTCTGGTGGTTGCTGTCCGACCTCCTCCAGCTCGACTTGGCTCATGGTCAAGACACGCACAAGCGCCATAAGCTCGGGTGAATCGCTCAGGGTTGCCTTGAGCCGATAGAACCCAGCGCTGTGTCGGTGCCAAGGCGAACGAGTTAGGTCGCTCCTCGCCAGAAGCCGGTACACCTACCGCATAGGAGGTGGCTATGGAGACTCCGAGTCTCGACAGCAAGGACTCGCCCGTGATATATGGCTCATGACCAACCCAGCAGCAAACCCTGGACGTAGTTTCACTTGCATCTCGCCGCTACCTGGGGAGCCCGTATCTTTCGAGGAGCTGCTTCCGGGCTCGGTTGGAAGCGTCGCCCTCGTCCTTGCCGATGCTGCACCATATTTTGATGCAGTCGTTCTTCCGCTCGCTAGGGTCGACGAATCCAGAGTAGAGCAGAAAATCCTGATTGGATCGGCCGCCGTACGACATGTACACCTTGTCGCAAGCAGAGCGGAGCAGACGAGCGAGAAAGTCAACGGCTTGCTCTGTTGACTATCCCCTATCACCATGCGACGGGGTTGGCTGGTTGACTGACTAGCTGTCGGCCTCGCACGATCAACCTACCTGGTCACCTTTCGCACACGCCGACAGGGTGAGCGAATGTGTGCAGTCCGTGTTCAGCTCATGGAAGGTGGTGATCTGTCGACAGATGAAGGGATATGCTTGAGTATCCAGATTCTCCCGACTCTCACAGGCACTGGGAAGTGTCCATTGCAACACTCGTGTACAGCGCACCTGCATGAACACTGGCATGCTGCGAGGGACGACGATCGTACCTCTCCGGGGCGGTGGTTGGCGAGGTCAAACAGGGGGATCAGGGCCATGCAGGTTCTAGTGCCGTCTGCGCTGGGCACGGGGTTCTGCCGGGTCATAACAACCGAGACGGACCACCGAAAGCGCTCATATGTGAAATCACGCAGCTTGATGGGAAATGATCGTCCTGCGGCCTACAAGACAAGAGTCGCTTGGTGAGCCATGAGAATGGTCCGGCATCTGGCGATGCGCTCGCTGGAGCGAAGAATAGTGCTTGTCGGTGCGCTCCTGACATTCGTGCATGTTCTGCAGCCAGTGTCCAGACATCACAGCACTTCCCAGAACACCCCTGTTGCTTTGGATTCCGTTGCGTCATCACACCGACCCCGCTGCCCCATTGCAATCCTGCCGGTCGATAGGGCTTCCCGGACCCACCTCGATCAACTTGTACAGATGCACATACTGCCGAGCGGTGTTCTTGAGAAGCTTGATCGCCTCCGCTGGACAGAGATCCAATGGTGAGCTGCTTTCCTCTGTTGATACCGTGGGAGGGAGGGCTGACAACGCAGCGCCCGATCCAGGCTCGCGCATGGGTTTCGTCCTTACCAAATACGCTCGTTCCCTTCAGGGCTTCGACTTGGCGGGGCTCCCAGTACAGCGGGATCGTGAAGGGCATGTCGATCAGGGTGTCGAGGTATGGCTTGTACACAGACTTTGGGTTGAGCGCCTCCACCAGAACATGCAGAGCCAGCGATAGCGACGGGATGGCTTGCAGGATCGGGTCACGCTGAATATATCCCTCTGTCGTCCCAGTTCGGACCGCAGAATAAAGGTCAGTGAAGCAGAACAGAGCAGCAGAGCAGAGCAAGACCATACAGGACGGAGCAGAGCAGAGCAAGACCGCACAGGACAGACGTTACTCACTCAGGACCGCCGATGCGGTGTCGACTGAAATCATAACCTGTCGGGGCACGCTGAGGAACTCGGCGCCGACCTGTGCAGGCTCAGGCGATGAGATATCAGCATAGTGGGAGTGGCCATGCAAATCGACACAGGCCGAGTGCAGGCTGAACCCAAGGCGAGTGCAGATGGGCTGGTGAGGCCGCCGATGCAATACCTCGAGATCCTGGGTGGCAAACAGGCCGTATCCTTCCGACTCGGTCTGGTGAATCTCGACGGCAGTGGTATCGACGCTGTGCTGGTGGAGCCACTTGACGAGTTGGGCATAATCGGGGGAGTGTGTCTTTGACTTGGCTCCATCTGAGAAGTGGCCAGCGGGACAGTCAGGGACCAAGCGGCACAGAGTCTTAGTTGCAAGTCGAAGATTCCAGCGATCCGATCCACCCGATGCAAGGACATGCCGTGGATATTCAGAGATGCAGTCGAGCTGGTCTTTGGAATGCCTCCAGTCTCGCCCGGCCGTGTCGAGTTGGAGATCGTCGCCTTGTCGATTGCGGACGACAGCCGACTCCTTCCCTCTCTCTGCGGACTCACCTTTCTGTGCGGCAACGAGTCGATCGATCAGCCCTCGCAGCTCCAGAAAGACCTTCCACTCCTGTGTTGGGAGCGGCGTCGATGGCTTGGATGCGACTGGCGGCAAAAACAAGACGGAGCCGTTAAGCCCAGGACGTCGACCGGGGGGATGCCGAGGGGAGAGGTGTCCAGCCAGCAGTCAAGCAATCGCAGTCCACGGCAGGTGCATGCAGCCTCCAGTGTGCGCTTCCCGCAGATATCGCCCGACAGCATTACGCTCGTATATCTGTTTCAGCAGGGCAGGATCCATCGGGGAGGAGGGGAAGGTGAGATCGGAGCAAGACATGCGCCGTGGTGCCCGCCAAGACATTCGCAGCACCAAACTCGCATCGTACTCGGCCAAGAGCGACCAAGGGCAGCGAAACATCCCTGGGTGTTTCCAATGACGCTTCATCGGCCCCACGACAGCCTTGCGAGTGCCAATCGACACCATGCCATCGACACCATGCCAATCGACACCATGCCAATCGACACCATGCAATCGACACCATGCAATCCACAGGTTATCCGCGTGTTGATGCATCCCGTTTCGCTGCAGACACCTCATCGCACTTCATGACCCTTCATCGCGCCTCATCGCACAGAGACGCCTGGCGACACTCCGGGCTCGCCCACTGGTCGGTTCCTTTCGACCGGATCGACATCTTCGAGGTCCCGGTCACCCTCGAGCTCTTCATGGACACATGCAGCACGCCCGTCCCCGTGCGGTTCAGGCTCTCCGATCTGTTGGCGTACTCGCAGCTCTTCCGGGCGGATCGCACGACGATGCGGCTGAGGTCGTCTGCCGGTTCAAAGTCGGTGATGCCAAGACCATCGGGCTCGCTCTCATCCTCGGTGGCGGGGTACAGCTTGGACCCAAGGATGAACAGCGTCGTGCCCAGCGACAACGACAAGTTCATCAGCGACCGCAGGATGAAGATGCCTCGAGGGCTTGTGATCGAGTAGTTGAGTGGGAACAGGACAGCCACGACCTGGACCCAGAAGCTGATCTACAGGTACGGAGCGATGCATCAGCAGTCAAGATCCAAAGACCCATTCGAGCATTGGCCGACCTTCGTACTGGACCTGAGCAAGATCGATCGGATGCCAAGGGTATTCGGTACAAGGCACACAACATTACCGATGACCTGAGATTGCTCTGCTCGTTGTAGCGGGATGGGACGTGGCGGGTCTGGTACCCCAGCCAAAAGTTGACCATCAGCATGACCATGAAGAGGCCAAAGATCAGCACCGGGAAGGGATCGAAGCCGAGTGTCGTCTGGCTCCGGCAGAATCCGTACGAGCTCAGGCTGTTGCCAAAGCCATCGACCCGGGTGACAACTCTGGTCCAGACCAAGGGGCTCACGACATTCCAGGCCACGACCACAATCTGGGGGGTGTGATGGAACAGACATGTTGGTCAAGCAGTCGAGGGTCCGCCATGCGAATCAGTGCCGATCCATCGCCACAGACACATTCCAGCAAGCTCACTTGTTCCAGCAGAAGCCTCGATTTCATGTCACAGCTGCAGCACTAACAGAAACACAGCACCACGATGGCATCGGATGCTGCCACCTTTGGTACATATCCACTCATCGCCTTTGGTACATATCCACTCATCGCCTTCGGTACATATCCGCTCATCGTCGTGCTTGTCCCTCTCTCTTTGCCACCCACCGTCGCCACCAACGTCGGAGCCACAATCCCCGACATCAGGTCCGCGGCTTTGAACTCGAGCAGCATCAGCTTTGGGTTCTTGAATATCTTGTATATCCGCCACATCTTGATCAGGAGGGCTCCAAACATCAGCATCGTCGGCAGGACCAGCAGATACGGTTGGGACATGCATATCCGCCCGAGAATGGCTGGGTCGGCCACGACGCTGTCGTCCAGGCCCATCAGGTAGTTCCCGTTAAGAGCCACGACCGACGCCAGCCCGATCACCACCAGAAACGGTGGCGAGCCTCCGCGGATCCTGGGGAGGTGGTGGTTGTTGATGATGAGGACGACCATGGCGATCGTCACGGCTTGGCTCAGGGCAGTGATTCCGTAGATGGAGAGACGCAGCCCCCACGATATCGTGCTGCGATCTTCAAATGGATACTGTGGCTGATACTGGCCCAGGTAGATCGACCCTTCGAAGAACGAGTTCAGCTGGTTGATGAAGGTGAGGTTCAGGCAGTCGTCTGGGCCGAGAAGGATGCTGCCGTTGATCTGGGTGGGTTGAATAAGCCGCCGCCATGTGGTTATGAAAAGTGCTCGTTTCAGTTCCGAGCCTGCACGGGTTCGGTAGCACTGATTGCTACTGCGATACGGCATCGCCTGCAACCACTCCTGTCTTATCCTGTGCTGTCCTTCGTTTCGCTGGCCACAGCCATCTGGAGCAACCCAGGCAACCCAGGCATCCCAGGCAACCAAGAACAGCTCGGGCGACCTGACCGACTCGTACAAAATACCCACGTCGTTGACAGGACCGCAGTACCGTTGATCATCGGGCAGCGCACTCAAGCGGTCAATTTCGACATTCAACGTCGCGACCTGATCGAGATTGAAGCGACCGGAGAGACCGCCGAGCTGATTAAATCCATTAACGAGGCCCATGTTGAAAGTGCTGGTGTCGTTCAAGGCGACACCATCGGCAAAATCTTGCACGAGCGGCGAAAACGCCTCGATCCAGTTCAAGACGGCGGTGGCCAGGACTCGGTCGCCGTAGTCGCCGCTGGGGTCACTGTTGGCGGCGATGGCGAAGGAGCTGTTGCTTGCTGCGTCGTAAACAGTGCAGCATGGATGTGTCGCCAGCCAGAGTAGACGAATGGTTATGGCTGGGAAGTATGGTGTTTTGCAGTCACTGTCCCCCGGCCCAACTCCCACAGCTTTGGATCCGTATCGACACCACTTACTGAAGATACTGACGGGAATCACGGTGTTGGTTTGGTATGCCATGACCTTGACTCCGTCGTCGAGGAGCCTCTGTGAGACTGAAGAGTGTAAAGGAAGCTGGTCGTCAAGAATCTGATAGGTGACATGTGAAACAGATGGGGTTGCAAGCAAGATGTACTGCAGGCCGGATGAGGTACCGACAAGACGGACGAGGTACCGACAAGACGGACGAGGTACCGACAAGACGGACGAGGTACCGACAAGACGGACGAGGTACCGACAAGACGGACGAGGTACCGACAAGACGGCGCCTGCGGTCCATTGCTTGGGGTCCAATAACACTGACCTATCCAGCGAATATAGTCACGATGCACCGCTTACCCGTGGTCTCGAGAAACGGGTCGTAGAAGGTCCCGATGCTCCTCACGAGTAGAGTGGCGTTCGGGATGATCCTTCTCAGGCCGAGCAGAAACAGGTTCGAGTGAATGATTGTTCGCGGAATGGCCATGGGCAGCAAGTAGCCGACCGACGATCCTGTCACCGAGAAGACAAAGTCTGAGCGATTCTTGGCGAACAAACCAACGGCGTATCCGGCCAAGTAGAGCGGCTCTTCCTGGCGCAAGGCCAGCCATCGAACACGAGGCGGCAGGATGGAAACGGGTGTGGCCGACCACGACAGGACCCTCAGGTTGGGGAATTGCTGGGTCAGATTGACTGCCACAGCCGAATTGTCGGTGACCGTGACGCCGAGGATGGCAATGTCGATATCGTATTGCTGGATGGTGTCCACCAGCAGGCCGTAGTAGTTGGGCACGTTCAAGTTGAAGATGGCGAATATGTATATCGAATCGCCAAAGAGAAGCTTGAGGTTGTTCAGGCCGACATTCAGGGAGTGACCAAAGCCCTGATCTGCACGAGCCGGATTCAGAGGAGTGGGCGGGAGCACCAGAATGAATGGTCAAGCCAAGGGTTGGAACCGTTTTTGACAATATACCGACAATGCGGCGGACGGATGCAACTTGGTCATGAACTTGACCGATGCATGTGCTGTGATTTGCTCGCTCACCTGTCGCTGGACTGCTGCATGTCAGCAGGACGTTGATAGGCGGGCGGTCTGAATGCAACGATCGAATGAGCATCGGAATAGATCCCGTTGATCCCGTTGATCCCGTTGATCCCGTTGATTCGATGCACCAAATTTCAGGGTTGTCCTGTCTACAGCGAGCAGTGGCTCGTCTCATCTCGAGAGCCCCGATCCATCAGGGGATCTGCTCGAGCGAGCCCAAACGCCCCAAGAATTGGCTCCTACCGATTATCGAGTACACCAGTCCATAGTCGTGAAAGTTTTGCACGTCGTCAAAGGATAGGAGAACGTAGACCTGCCCCTGGAAACCGGCGCTGGTGACGCCTGCATCGACGAAAGCCACGATTGAAGCGTCGCTGAATCGACCAACGAGATCATAGTGGACCGATGGAGTGCCGGCCTGGACAATCCGCAGTGTCGGCGGTGTGTTGGAGAGCGACAATAGCGGAAGCGCATCCGTGGGAATGGTCAGGTTGAGTGTGTTGCCCCCATTGGCGAGCAGATAGCGATCGTTGTTGCCGATCCCACGCGTGGAGGACTGCTTGATGGTGCTGAGGCGGGCCGCTAGTAGCGGAGGAGAGGCAGGAATGCATCAGCAGAGCCAGGGATGGTTGGGGATGTCTGGTGATGGCGGGAAGCTGCAGAGCCAGCGCCAGGGCATATCACGCAGAAGGCGTGGCGAGCCAATTGCTCTAATGACAGCTGACAACACTTTGAGAAAGTTGGTCTCCAGCGACCCAAGAGGAGTGTATGGCGGCCTAACAACACCTACGGTCATAGAATATGATGGCGAATACTGCTTCCGCGCTTGGTGGGCTGCTGGCAGTCAGAGTGCAATGGCACACTCCTTCGTCCATCGGCACCGTGTGGAACGAAACGACGATGGAGGTGCTGTTCAACGGCGAGGTACTGTTCGGTGGCAGTGTCTGCGCTATGGCTGCGACGGATGCGTTGCGGTTGGTGTATGGGTTCCATAGGTTCACAGCGAATTCGGCATTCGGATCGGGCACACACGAAACGGTCAATCGGATGACGGTGCTGCCCTGAATGGGGCTGATATTGGGCGAGACCGAGACGATGCCAAAGCAGGGCAGTGGACAGACGAATGGCAGGAAGGTACCGAGCAACACGGCCAACGCGAGAGCAGAGAGATCCATGCTGGGGGGGGGAGGGAGGGAATGTATTGTCGAGCCGAGATGATCAACCAAGGGCGGCGACGTCGCAGGGAGCGGGCCGCAAGAAACAATGGCTTCAGCCAACGGGCCCAAGTCCAGAGCGACCCTCAGAGGCATCCTTGGAAGGGGGGCGACCTCGAGCGAGCCGGGCCATGGCGGGCGATCGAGGGCTGTGGGAACGAGGGATGATGGCCCGGGCCGAGCGGGATGTGGATGTGGATGTGGATGTAGATTGATTCGTATGTATGGATGTATATTGTCATGTTTATTGACATGTATATTGTCATGTCGGTGTCGATTATGGCCACATTGATGGCCACGAGTGCATCATTCCATTACTGAAGCAGATCATCAACAACAACCACCGGACGAACACAACTCCAAACATCTGTGCGACTTTACTTTACATGGCAGCCATGGCCTCCACGGACCACTACTCTGCACGTTTCATGGTCCCGGGGTTTATTCTCCACGATATCGATATCGATATTATGTGCAGTGGCGATGGTCTCCATGTTGGTCATTTGTTCGTCGCGTTCGCTGCCTGCGACCGCCTTCTGCTTTCCGGCGATCTGCATCAACCCGCCCCCAGCTACAGACTAGCCGTCGCTCGACCATCAGAGTCTCCTCCGTCATGAAACGCACTGGCTTTATTCAACGCCTCATCAACCGGTGGCAAGTCATGTATGCATCCGATCGACATCGCCGTTGTCTGCTGTTGCTGTTGGATCGTTGTCGTTTCTAACGGCAATCCACTCTCCCCTCCAAGCCCCCTTCCCTGGCGTCGTGACCGATTTGTCGGCTATGATCTCGACGGGAACATGTACTTTGAGGGTAGGTCTCTCCCGGAGTTACTGCCACGTTTCAACAAGCGATCTTGCCCAAGGCCCCATTGGCGATCCTGTTTCCGTCCAGAGAACTGACGATCCACTTCCGATTGCTCCGCAGGCCCTCCCATCCGCGAAGGTAACGACTGCTCCAGACGTTCTCCTGGTGTTCAGCAATACGACGCATTCCGGCCGAGCCATCCAACCGACGTCGCTCTGATCCGGCTCTGATTCTGGACCCGGACCTCGGTGGGCTGGGCGATTCTGTTTCAGGAACCCACTATCCCCGGAGGAGGGTGGCTTACGCCGACGGCCGAGAGCATTTCGATCAGTACGAGCCCAATTCGATTCCGGGTAAGGCTCCAGATCAAACAGCGCAAACCATGGCCATGGCTTGACTCTGCGTCCAATGCCGGCCCTCAGAGGACTGGATACGAGACGATTCGCCATATCGACGCTCGGAGCAAAGGCAGGCTCAATCTCATCTTGGCTCATGCTCGATCCCATACCATCCCATCCATCCCATCCGATCCGATCCGATCCGATCGTTCCTCCTTGCGCATGCAGTTCAGTGGCAAGCCTGGATGCGACATACCCGCCCGGCTGGTTCGTAGAGTCCAAGATCGTGTCCATCGCGAGCTGGACGCTGCATCAATCTTCCCAATTGTCTTGGTGCTCGGAACGACAGATGCTCCGTAAGCGCCACAGCAGCAGATCCGCGAGCAACCACACTAATCTGCTTCGATCATGGCATGCGGGTGCCAGAGCCGACGATCCAGGTATGCTGTTTTTGCATGTTCGCAGCCCTCTCCAAGGCGAGCTTGGGGTCCGCAGCTGCCAAGCCCACAGGGTTTGGACATGTGCTGCCCTCAGGCCAACGAATGAGGCTGACGATTGATGTTAATTCGGCTCGGATTCACAGGAACTGATTGCCTCGGAGGAGCAGAAGCAGCGCACGCTGCAGCTCGCTCACGAGCTCGATCGCCAGTGGGACGAGCAGCGAGCCCAACTCGCCAAGGCCCGGGAGGATCTGCAGCAGCTCGCAGCCGGTACGATCGCCCCCGCCGACAAATGCATGCACATGGCGACCAACGATGGCTGGACTGCTGCTGTGCCGACGTTGGACCGAGACGACTGGCTGATTGTCCTTTGGGATTCTATGCACAGGCGAGCGACACACAACCGCCAGCTCGGATGCAGTCGGCCAGGGCGAAACGTTCCAGCCGGGTTCGTGGACGCCGCCCGCTCGGCCGGTCCAGCGAGGCGGTTGAGCCTGTGACGGCCGAGAAAGTGCGGTCCCGAGAGGATCTGGCTGGTTGATCGTTCGCCGAGACGATGCAATGCAGCCGAATCGATGGGGATGTAAAGTTGTCGTCGCGGTAGTAATAGCAGCAGTAGTTGTTGTTGGATAACAATGAATTCCGCACACCGCATAGAGTGCGAATCGATATCACACCGCATAGAGTGTGAATCGATACCACATTCCGTTGCACACCGCATTGCACATTCCAATGGAGACCCCGTCCGACTGCCGTCCCGGTGCTCCACATCACATCACCACATTCACCCCATCCACATCCACATCACGCCAGATCACGCCTCGCCCCGGCTGCGCACACTATCGTCGTGGTCACGGCTGCGCGTCCTCGTCCCGGCCGAGAGCGGACGAGAGCGCGCGCCCGCCAGTCGTCCGCGGCCTCGCCGTCCTCGCCGTTATCGCTGGTGCTCGTCGGCCTATCTCGGTCTCGAAACCGTCAAAAGCGGTCAAAACGGCATCGGATCGCCATCGCTCGATCTGCATCGCTTGGTCTTGATCTGTCTGCGTCAGCAACCCGTCGGCAACCCGCTCGCATCGGCAATCGCATCGGCAATCGCATCGGCAATCGCATCGGCAATCGAGTCGACATTCGCACCAGCAATCGCATCAGCAATCGCATCTCCACACTCCCCTGCCATGTCGTTCCATCCCGGAAGAAAGGTCAACGTCGGCGTCCTCGGCGCTACCGGCACCGTCGGCCAGCGCTTCATCCAGCTGCTCGACAACCACCCCTTCTTTGTCGTCAAGACCCTCGGCGCCTCGCCCCGGTCGGCCGGCAAGCCCTACAGCGAGGCTGCCGCACGCTCCTGGAAGATGGCCTCGCCCGTGCCCGCCCACGTCGCCTCGTTGATTGTCCAGAACTGCCAGCCCGAGCACTTCAAGGACTGTGAGATCATCTTCTCCGGACTCGACTCGGATGTCGCCGGTGAGATCGAGCTGGCCTTCTTCAAGGCCGAGTTCTGCGTCTTCTCGAACGCAAAGAACCACCGCATGGACCCCATCGTCCCGCTCGTCGTCCCGCTCGTCAACCCAGACCACCTCGACATCATCCCCCACCAGCGCCAGACCCACGGCCTCCAGAAGGGCTTCCTCGTCACCAACGCCAACTGCTCCACCACTGGCTTGGTTCCGCCGCTCAAGGCCCTCATCGACAGGTTTGGTCCCATCTCCCGGGTCGTCGTCACCACCATGCAGGCCATCTCCGGTGCCGGCTACCCCGGTGTGCCCAGCCTCGACATCCTCGGCAACGTCGTGCCCCACATCTCGGGCGAGGAGGAGAAGATGGAGATCGAGGCCTCCAAGATCTTGGGCTCGCTCAATGCCGGCAGCTCGGGCTTTGTCGATGCCGAGGGCCTGCGTGTCTCGGCCAGCTGCAACCGAGTCCCCGTCCTGGACGGCCACACCGAGTCGGTCTTTTTGGAGTTCAAGAACCAGCCGGCGCCCTCCCCCGAGCAGGTCGCCGAGGCCCTCTCGAGCTTTGTGAGCGTGCCGCAGACCCTCAAGGTGCCCTCGGCCCCGGCCCAGGCCATCGTCGTCACCGAGAAGCCCGATCGTCCCCAGCCCCGCCTCGACATCATGGAGGGCGGAGGCAACGCCGTCACCGTCGGCCGCATCCGCAAGTGCAACATCTTTGACATCAAGTTTACTGTTCTGTCACACAACACCATCCTCGGTGCCGCCGGCAGCAGCATTATGAACGCCGAGGTTGCCGTCGCCAAGGGATACGTCGCCTAGATGTGTCTAGCTGACTGGCTCGTTGCTCTAGAATGAGGAGGGAAGGGTGCATTCTGCGCCGCAGCGCAGGACACAAGGGAAGGAGAAGGGGGGGACATGCGTCGTCGGATCGGCTATAGCAGCTTCGGATCCAAAGAATTGGTCCATGTCAAGCGAGACCTGTGTGTCCTCGTCAGCGATGCAAATATAGTTCGTCCAGAACGAAACGGGACAGCGCCCATTGCGCTCTTCCACACTTCAACCACCCTCCAGAAAACAAAAAAGCGACGCCCCTCACTCAAACGAAGTGTCGCCCCCGGCTTGGTTTGTGTGGGCTGTGTGTTTGGCTGTGTATGCCGATCCCCATTGGTGGCTCCGAATTCCAGGGTCTGCACGCACTCTGCAGCGACTGCCTCATCCAACAACACCCGCCCTGCTCCAACATGGGGATTTCCCAAGAGTCGTGGAGCATCCCAGAGCTCAACAGACACCAGCACACACCCTTTGCCTCATCGTGTGAAACGAACGGACATTTGTGTATTCACTGCCCAGGTTGCCACCGTGTCTTGGATGATCATGTCCAAGCCGAGCGAGCAGCTCGAGGATGTAATACCGCCTCCCGCCTCTTGCTTAGCCTCCCATATTTGCTCATCGGTTGCCACTGCAGTCTCGATTCGCATCAGGCCGACTGTGCTGTTGCCGTCGCTCTGCACTCCTCGTCGTCGATTCGCAGGCCTCCGGTCTATGAGCGCTTGTATTCATCCCGGATAGTCCACTGCATCGTTTCCTTGTTGGTGATGAGCAAGCGCTTGATGATGTCTTTGAGAATGGCCCTGTTGCGCTCGGCGTTGAGACCCGACATCCTGGGTCGAATGAACGAGATGATTTCCTTCATCGTCAAGGGTACGTTGCCGCGCTGATGGTAACATTCAATGATATCGGCGTCCACGAGCAGACCTGGGGTGCGGGAGAGTGGAAGCGAGCATCGAAGGGTGGATGAGCACGAACATGGGCGAGCAGACAGATAAGCACGAGCATGCGTCCGTGGCCCGGGATGTTGGACAGATACGCAGGGCCACGGCTCGAGATCGGAGTCAGAGTGCCAGGAAGACAGCCAGCGTCCAACTGTAGTTTCCGAGATGCGCAACGAGCGGTACCGTCATTGCTACCGTTCTCCCGCCTTAGCGAGCAGGCACTCACTGTTTGGATCACCCGAGACTCGGGGTGTGGATCGTCCCGGCGACGATCCCGACGGCGTCGAGCCCTGCGACACATGCGATGGGATCGGCCGCGGAGGGCTGTTGGAGTACCGCGGCGATGTCGACGACGGGTGGTTTGGCGAAATGCTGCGCGGTGGCGAGGCTGTCGATTCTCCACGCGAGGCCAACGGTGACGATGCCTTGGGGGCGTATGCATTGTAGTTGCTGGTGCTGGTGCTGCTGCCGCCCGGAGTCGTGCTGCCAGCTCCGTGGCTGCTCATGGGCGACCCGAGTCTTCCTTTGCGATGTTCGCGGAGGACATCGGCGGTTGACGGCGGGAGAGGCGGGCCAGGTGATTTTCCATCCGACCCTTTAGTCTGGGAGCCGATCGCGAAAGTGCATGGGTATAGTGTGTATGGGGAGGGTGCATAGATAAGTTCAACAGGCAGCTGGGCAGTGCAGAGGCAGTTGGTCACCCGCCAGACTCGGCCGTGTCCTATCTAGCCACACTGTACTTTCGAATCATCCCCACCTTCTTGGTATCTCCGTTGCGGTCATCTTCGCGCTTTCGTTTGGCATCAGGGCCGCCTTGCAAGGGCGACGCCCCGCCACTTGGAGCCGAAACCTTGGCACGGATGGTTGTCCCTGCCGGACTCGCCGAGCCCGACCCGCGGCCCTCCTCCGATCGCGGCGTAAGTGGTGTTCGAGGGGAGTCTCTCATCCTCTCCATCATGCTCGTGGGCTTGGGCGAGCGGCTGCTGGACGATGTGGGAATCGGCGAGTCGCCCGACCCTCCGCCGTCCTTCTTCTTGCGCAAAAGGTCGGCCGGCGTTTGCTCTTTTTTCCTGCGCGGGGCTGCCGGATCCTTGGATGCAGACACCGAGGCGGTTTCGGGCTTCTTGCCTTTCTCCTCCGACTCGTTGCCGCTCTTATGATCTTCGTCGTCATCCTAATGCGCCCGATGCACCACAGTGAATCAGTCTGCGGATGCCGGCCACCCAGCTGTTCAAAGTCCAAGCTTCAGCAGAGTAGAGTCCACCTCAACCACGGCTGCGTTTGTTCCTCCGCGAGCCAGGCTGAAAGCTGCTAACCCACCTCCTCGCTGACGTAAGGGTTGCGATCGTCGTCCGAGTCGTACATGTCGCTCTTCTCGTTCTTGCGCAGGTATTTTTTGAGTTTCTGTGGGTACAATAGCGTCCCTGTGTGATGAGATCACTTGGACGGGAAACACATGCTCCTCCGTCAAGGACAATCGACCTCAATCTGTCGATGACCGTGCAGGCAGGTATGCACAGCACGGATGCACACAAAGCAAGTACAGTCACACACGACGCTCTGCCACACCTCGATTCTACGAATAAAACACCCCACAACGATACTGCGGTCCCATTGCCAGACACATGTTCGAGCGCTCACATACCCGCTCGTGTCCGAGCCGCTCTTGGCTCTGCCCGGCTTCCTCGTCATCGTCTTCGTCATCATCGTCTTCCCCAAAGAAGGCACGGTTCGCTGCGCGGCCATATTGGCGCTTGGCTGCCTCTTTGGCTTCCTCCTCGTCTTCGATGCCAAAGTTCAGATCCTCATCGTCCGACTTCATTTCGTCAAAGTCGATTTCCTCCTCTGCATCGTCGTTTCGTGGCCGCCGGCTACGGTTCCGTCGCTCGTCCTGGTAGTAGCTGGGACCAGGTCGGCTAGGGGCGGCGCTGCTTTTTTCGACAGAGGACTCGTCCTTGACGGCGACTTCGTCATCATCTTCCCCGTTTTCCTGGATAGCGCAGCATGGGTGAGCGACACGGAGCCGACGTGGGGGTGGTTGTGCTGATCATCCACGCAGAGCAGGAAGCAGGGAGAAGAGAGTAGAGCAGGAGAGCCGAGAAGCTCCATGTCCGCGATAGCCACGTTCATCAGGGCTCCATCACTAACAGTATCCTCGACGGTACGGCACGAAGATAAAACCAGCGTCAAGCTGCAGCGGCACTTCAAAAAAGCAGTACCTTCTTCTTGCGCATCATCCATAGATCCTGCGAACGCAGACCGCGCTTGATCTTGGACATCTTCTCTTCGGCTTCATCGATCGTGAGCGTCTGGTAGTGCAGCCTGGGAGTGAATTTGTACCACTTTGAAGCAGGGAGGCACTGAAACGATCCATCCTCCTGCATGTAGCGAACAGCGTTGGTATGAGAGCATAAGCAAAGACCCGGACAGCTGCGGGTGCGAGGGGCAATGGCACACAATCATCATCGGGCACAAAATGCAAATCAACACCAAGATGAGATACAGGACCACCAGCAGCGGGCAAAGCGGTGATGAGCCGCGGGGCGTGAATGAGAGCGCGACAAGCGTAGGTGCAGAGGGAGTATCGTGGTGGAGGGCGGTGGCTGTAGCCGAATGAAGAGGTCTCGACAAACGAGCAGCAGAGTCATGGATCAGAGGTGCCCCTTCGCACACCCGTGTGGAAGAGATCCCCCGTGCTTAACAAACTATTGTGGTGCGCCAGAAAACAACGTGCCCAAATCGATTTCAGGGGCATCGGAGGAGAATACGCAGCAGTTCAGCAGGCCGGAAACGATCGCTACCGAGGGCATGAACAAAACGTAGTTGGCGCGGTTGGGCTCGAGGTTGCCCGTGAAGGTGTGCTGCGGGGCATTGTCAAAGTCGGTCATGAGCCAAGGGAAGCGATCGGGGTCCTTGGCCTTGCGTTTGAGTTTGTCGTCGTCGCCAACGGCATTGGGATCGCGGGGGAAGAAGAAGCTCTTGGTCTTCTTCTTGAACAGGTTCTGCTTGTTGCGCTGCGCGTTGCCAAAGGGAGCAATCTTGGATGGGTCCATCTTCACCATGGACTCCAGGGTTTGTGGGCCCGACGAAGACGACGACGAGGGAACGGGGACGACCGGGTTGGAGATGGTGGTGAGCGATGCGTCCTCCTTCAAGAGGGCGGCCTGGACGGCGTTCGTGGGGACTTGGCGAACGAGCTTGATGGGGGGAGTCAGATCCGAGAGGAGAACTTTTGGGCCATGGATCCTCATAATGTGGTAATTCAAAGACGACGGGTCCCCCGCGGCGTCCTTGCTGTCGACGAAGCCGTCGGTGCTGCCGATGCTGACGATTCGAAACTCCCGATACGACTCGGACGGTTTGGAGTCTGAGCCTTGCACCGGGACGGGCTGCAGCTGGACTTGGACGGGCTGGGACGCCGCGTGCTGCTGAATATGCTGGGCCACGGCGGCCGTAGTGCCGGGCTGGCGGCGGAGGGCATCGATGAGCTGCTGCCTGTTGTGCGGGTCCATGTCCTCGACGAGCACAGATCAGGGATGAGCAGATGTTGTTCGCCCCTGGTTGTGCGGATCGGCGAAATGCGTTTCGCGGACATCGATCGTGGATCCAGCCGGCGTGGCTCGATGGATCCAGCCGGCGCGTGGCACAGTCAGCCGTCCCGGTTTGTCATCGGGTCATGCGCAGCACTGCGCACTGCCACGAGTCACGTGTCGTCGCGCTCTCGCCCCGCCTCTTCTCGCTGCGTCTCGCTGTGTCTCGTTGTGCCTCGCGCCGAGGAGCGAGAGCGTTTTTTCAATGTTCGCGATCGACCAAATCGTCGCTGTCGGTGTTGTTCTGCATTGCCGAGCATCGCCCAGCATCGCCCAGCATCGCCCAGCAGCGTCCAGCAGCACTCAGCAACGTCCAGCATCGCAGAGCATCATCGTGTTGCTGCTCACCTATCCGCCGCCAAGATGCCCCCAAAGTCTGCCGCAAACAAGAGCCAGCTGGAGCCCGACGAAGTATGTCTGCACCGAGCCCAGCCCGCCATCGCTTCCCATGTTGACCATCCGGTCCTGGCCTGATCTCTGCCATCTGCCCTGTCCAGATCCTCCAAGCCGTCATCATCGCCGATAGCTTCAACCGCCGCTTCCGTCCGCTCACACTCGATACGCCCAGGGTAGGTCCTGCGTCATGGGAAAGCAAGTGTTGCTCCACAAGGACCATTGTCTCCGGCGAGCCATTTGCCATGGAGGACATGTCCCGATCTTGCACTTGTCTTCGCGACATCGAGGCGGTTGCACATCCAGTTCCTCGGGATCATTGAATATGCGCACTGGGCATGCGCAAGCACGATAGGGCATCCGCTTCCATATGCTGATCCCTGACCTTTCGGGCCATCAAACTCCCGCCAATGTACGGATGCAGTGTCTGCTACCGCTCTGCAATGTGCCTTTGATTGAGTACACCCTCGAGTTCCTCGCCATATCGGGTGTCCAGGAAATCTTTGTCGTCTGCTGTGCCCACCACGAGCAAATCAAGGACTATATCCGCTCCTCCAAGTGGGGCAAGACGAGCCTGCCCCGAGTCGTCACCATCGTCTCACAGGAGCTTCTCTCGGTCGGCGATGCCCTTCGGAGCTTGGACGGCAAAAACATCTTGCGAGGCGATTTTATTCTGGTCTCGGGCGACATTGTCTCCAACATGAAGCTCGACAAGGCCCTGGAGGAGCACAAGTAAGTGGCGGTGACCTGGCTGTGCTTGCCGCCGGGTTCGTTGGCCTCTGGGGATCGTTGTCGGCCGGGGGGACAGCTCGAGGTCGATCAGCTGTCGCCAGCCACCTCGTCCGAGAGGCCAGCCGAACGAGAAAAAGCCATGTCCGGCAACGACTGTCGCGGGCGAGACGGTCTGCCGACGAGCAGCGAGTCCGGTGCTCGGCCCCGGATACGGCCCCGGATACGGCCGATCAGCTTCAACGAAAGCGCACTGCGCTCTTCTGTGCATCGGGATGTCGAGTGGCTCAGCCATAGTAATCCGCATCGCGAATACGTCACAGGGCCCGACGACAAATCGATAAGAATGCCATCATGACCATGGTTCGTGTGCATGACGGATGCGTGCCTGTTGTTTTCATGTGTCGCTGTGAATCCACAGCAGTCGTTTGCCCCATCTGGCCGGAGTGCCTGTGTGTCGGCATGGCGAGTGTTGCCGAAGCAGAGTCGGTGGGTATTGCTCTGATAGCTCACCGTACGTCTATTCCCGGCTCTCGCACCCTTCCAGGTCGTCAAGCAGGCGAGCCCGACGCATCGCTCCCGCTCCAAAGGCGAAGAGGCGCTCTTTGTCCTGGACCCCAAAACCAACCAGTGCCTCCACTACGAGCCCATGGAGGTGTATCCCAAAAAGAACCGCCTCAATCTCGAGCTCAAGACCTTCAAGGAGCATCCCGAGATCCAGATCCGCAACGATCTGATCGACTGCCAGATCGACATTTGCTCGATCGAGGTATGCCTGTGTGCCGTGGGTCGCCTCGTGTCTGTGTGTCTGCTCTGGCCTGGTCAATGGCTCATCCGCCCATACTTTTCTCGCGTGACTCGGCCGCACACCCCCCAGGTCCTGCTGCTGTTTACGGAAAACTTTGATTACCAGCACATCCGCAAGGACTTTGTGCGAGGTATTCTCCAGTCCGATATCCTTGCCAAGACCATCCACTGCCACATCATCTCACAGTCTTATGCGGCGAGGGTCAAGAGTACCCAGATGTACGAGGCCATCAGGTAATGGTTGGGATATGCTGCCACATTCACCGATGCTCTTCTGCGCCTGGCGGCCTTTGTCTCAAAGCACAGACGCGGCACCACGGACACTTGTCGACGTGCTTACCCGTCGATTACATCGCAATTGCAGCAAGGACATCATGTCGCGCTGGACCTTCCCGATGGTGCCCGACAACAACCTTCTTGAATCGCACACCTACAGCTTCTCCCGCCCGCACATCTACAAAGAAAAGGACGTTGTTCTGTCCCGGTATGGGGCTGCCTAGTTCGAATGATGGTCGTCGGCGTCTGCTGCATCCACTGCATCCACCCCGAGCCTCCTGTGTTCGGGACATTGAGTTGGTTTCGCCCTCAGCGACTCGACTCGGAGCGTGGACATGATCAGGAGATCATCAGTGACATGAGTGCGCACGACAGCGGAATGGCATAGCAATGGCAAGCTGCTTGCCTCGATGTCTGACTCGTCTTGACTGTTTGTCCTGTTTTCCCCGCCCGTGCATCGTTCATGCGCGTATATACTTGCGCTATCCGCCCACCCGGCCACGCTCATCCATCCATGTTGGACCCATCCGTGATCTCGAAACAAAGATCGGCCTCGCTCTCGGAGCAAGTTGTCATCGGATCCTTTACCGAGATTGGTGACAAGACCCAGATCCGCAACTCTGTCGTCGGGCGTGGCTGCAAAATCAGCGCCAACGTTGTCATCGATGGCGCCTTCATCTGGGACAATGTCACCATCCACTCGGGGGCCCAGATCTGTCGCAGCATCATTGCCAGCGATGCCGTGATTGGCGAAAATGCGGTCGTTAACCGAGGCTCGATCGTGTCGTATGGCGTAAGCACTTGGTCCACACTCGATAACCTGCTCTCTGTGCCAGATGCGTGCACCGCCCAGGGCGACGTTGGGCTGTCGATGCAGCCATCGCGCCGAGCTCTGGGACCGGACTGGCTCTATATGGATTGCTCTTGACCAAGTGCTGTTTCACTATACCTCCCAGGTCGTTGTTGGCAGCAGCCAAGCCCTCCCCAACTTCACCAAGATCGCCCATCGGCTTCCCGACGTTGACGATGAGGAGTATGACAGCGACGACAATTTGGTGTCCCGAGACCCAACCGACCATGCGCAACCCTTTGCAGCCGAGCTTGTCGGCCAAGATGGCGAGGGATACGAGTGGAAGGACTCTTACTCGGACGAGGAAGACGAAGAGGACTTTGATCCGCGCAACGTCGAGCTGACTGCTCTCGGTAGGCGCTCTCTTTGACACCGAGCGAGGGGTCGTCTCCCTCAGGGGAATAGTGGGACCCATCCCGGCAATGGTATTCCTGCGCACTCTGCTCACAACCCTTGGCCAACAGGTTTCGAGCCCGAAAGCGCTGAGGAGGACGAGGAGTCTGATGACGACGTTTCTGTCGGAGAGGAGGAGGCTGTTGGCCCAGAGGGTAAGTTGGTTACTCGGCACGGAGCCCGACGAGGGTCAATCGAGGCAAGATGAATGCGCCAGACTCACTGGGACCAGAGCACTGGGCTGATGATTCCTCCGTACATGCACATGCCCCCCTGTGTTGCGCGTTTCTAACCAATACGATTGCACCGTCATGCTCGGCCTGCTTGCCCATAGTCAACTTCTTTGACGAGGCCAACGCAACATTCGACCGTGCCATCACGGACGGCCACGACGTCTCAACCGCCGCTCTGGAGCTCAACACCCTCAAGATGGCGTTCAACAGCACCTTCCACGATGTTCGGGAAATCGTGACTCGTGGCATCGTCAGTCAGATCCAGCCCGACCAGCCCAACTCGAGCGCCAAGAAGGTATGTCCGTGTTCGCTCATATGTGGCAGTGGCGTGTCTCTGCCAAAGTCTGGCTGTTGACGAGCTGAGGCTATCGAAGCCGTGGGAACTCGCGATGCAAATGGAGATGCACTCGGTCGTTCATGGCGCTAACTCTGACCACTCATGCTCTGGCCTCTCGGGCTGAATCGTCACGTAGATCATTGCTCAGTGGGGTGGTCTGCTGACCAAGTACGTTTTCAGCGAAGAAGACCAGATCGATTCGCTGGATCTGCTGCTGACCCACTGTGTCCAGTTCGAGGCCCAGTCCAAGGGCCTGATCTTTTTGATCCGTGAGCTCTACGAAGCCGACATCATCGAGGAGGACTCGATCCTCGCCTGGTTCACTGCCTCGAGCAAGCGCTCTGGCGTCGCAGCCAAGATCCGCGATTCGGTGAGTCCGGACCCGATCCTTGCACATGGCGATTCTATCGATGCGAAAAGACTATGGCGGGCTGGTCAGCAGAGGCAGGCCTCAAAGTCATCAGATCGATCGTTGACATGCTTCTGCTAATACGCACCTCGAAAACATTGTGCAGGTCAAACCCTTCGTTGTCTGGCTCCAAGAAGCCGAAGAGGATGAGGATGAAGATGACGAAGAGGATGAGGATGAAGATGAGGATGAGGACGACGACGATGACGATGTCGATGACGACGATGACGACGGCGATGACTAGACGCTCGCCCGTTTCCACAAACGTCCGACTCCCCCCACACTCGACTGGCAATAAAGAATTGCGTTCCGGTCGCACTCCTGCCGTGGTGATTTGAATGTGGCGACACCCAGACAACCCAGTGCTTCTCGGTTGGATTCTGCACCAATCATGCTCCGTGAATGTATGGTCGTGGAGTGTATGGCCGTGGAGTGTATGGCCGTGGAATGGCACTCGGTGCTTGTTCATACTCGGTCGATCTCCATGAGGGACGATCCTGCCAGGCGGCCATTTTGCCCTTATTGCGATGATCAGATGGGCGAGCTCGCAGCATGGTTCGCAACATGGTTCGCAACATGGTTCGCAACATGGCTCATGGACGCAGCATCACCATGCATGGCTGTCGCTGCACCGTGGAGCAATGCGAGTCGACAGGGTCTCGGTCGCCAAAGGTCCATGTTCCGAGGCTGCCTCGTGAGCCACCCAGCAGCGGTCTCGATCTTCCGCAGGCGACTTTTGCATCCATCTGTCCGTCGCGCCGATCCACCTCCACATCCTCCTGGCAGTCCAAGTCTGCGCCTGAGTCGTCATGACCAAGCGGTACGACTTTGTTATCCTCGGCAGCGGCATCTCGGGCCTCTCGACGGCCTGGCACATCCTGCATCGGCACCAGGCCCTCCTCCGTTCTGCCAAGCCCGGTCTCCTCGCTGCAGACCGCACGGCACCCCCAACGATCGCCATCGTCGATCCGGCGCAACATGCCGGAGGCTGGATTCAATCGGTCTCGCTGGCCAACAACCGCCACCCAAGCCCGGTGCTCTTTGAGCTCGGCGCACGGACACTTCGACCCGCAGGCGACTCGGGCACATCAACCCTGGCTCTGATCCACCAACTGGGTCTGCACCCGCAGATCGTCACCACTTCGCGATCGTCTCCCTCGGCCAAGAATCGATACATCTACAGCAACGGTAGCGTGCAGCTCGTACCCTCGACCCTGCTGTCGCTGCTCGGCTCCGGGCTGGAGGCTACCAAGGGCATTCTCTGGACCCTGATCCGAGAACCGTTTGTCAAGACCGATCGGGTCTCGGAGGACGAGTCGATCCACTCGTTTGTGTCTCGAAGACTCTCGCCCCGGATCGCAGACCATCTCGTTTCGGCCATCGTCCACGGCATTTACGCAGGTGCGCTTGTGTCTGGAGATGCCGCCTCTTGTGCGGGAGTGACATTGTGCAATCTGTGACAGGGCGATGAAGCATGCAAGAGGGCGATGAAGTAGTGTGCTCGAGACTCGGCGCTGGCAATATGGCTTTGGGCCGTGATCCTCCTGAATGCAGCCTGGAAAGAGCTCGAGCGGCATCAACCTGGATACACGGCCCAGCACTCCCAAGGCCGAGCATACATCCGGGCTCACCCACCTGTGCTCTTCCGAACCTGTCTGTTCCCCGTCCGGCAGGCGACTGCAAGCAGCTCAGCGTTCGTTCGACGCTGCCCTTCCTCTGGGAAGCCGAGAGGAAGCACGGATCCATCACCCGAGGAATGCTTGCTCCTACGCCCCAGCGACCACCGACAAGCTCTCAGTCTGAGGTCGAATTGCCTTTGGATGCCGAGGCGATCGAGTTTGTCAGGAAGATGAAGCAGTGCAGCGTCTACTCGTTCAAGGAGGGCATGCAGACCCTGCCCGAGGCCATCCTCGCCGATCTGCGTGCCCACGGAAGCGTCGACGTTCTGCAAGAGCCGTGCACTGGCCTGCGCCTGGGCGAAAATGAGGTCGAGGTGAGCAGCGATGGTGTCTCGTGTGTAAGCAGAGGAGGCATCTGTGACTCCCGCTTGATATGCAACCTGAGCCTTGTCAAAGATGGCATGACTTGAGCCTCGCCCAGCCGAGTGTCACCCAACTCAATACTCGACCGGATACTCAACAGTCATGCAGCAGCTACCGATGGGCTTTGACTGGCCAAGTCCTCGGGCAGGCAGTCGCAGCATCGTTCTGCCGAGTCCGGCAGATCTTGTCCATTCTAGTAACCCTGGCCATCGTTCATTCTGTCCCCACCCTGCAGATCGATACCGCCTCAGGAACCATCGAGGCCGGCCATGTGGTCTCGGCTATCCCGGCCAACCGGCTGCGAAAGATCCTGTGGCCAACTGGCGCCCGCTTGTCGGACGAAAAAGCCTCCACGAACAGCGTCGGCAGCGCATGGATCGACGAGATGCCCTCGGTCACTGTTGCGGTCGTCAACCTTGCGTACAAGGGCAGGGATCTGCTGCCCATCCAGGGCTTTGGGTACCTGATTCCGGCCTCGGAGGAGAAGGCACAGCTGCTCGGGTGCGTTTTTGACTCCGAGGCTGTTCCGGGGCAGGATCAGGACCTGACTCGCCTCACTGTCATGATGGGCGGCTACCGGTTCCAGCAGCTCTTTGGCGACCCCGACCATGTTGATCCAGAGCAGCTCCTACAGATCGCCAAGAGCCAGGTTCAGAAGCATCTTCGCACCGAGCTCCCAGAGTCGCTGCTGCTGGAGTCGAAAGTAACTCTCCAGCGCGACTGCATCCCGCAGTACCATCTGGGGCACCACGAGCGCCTTTGCAAGCTGAAGCAGGGGCTTCTGCGGGACTGGAACGGTCGGCTCTCGGTTGTCGGCGCTTCGTATCTCGGTGTGTCGGTCAACGACTGCATCTTTCACTCGCGCAATCTGGCCTATCGTCTGGCATACAAGCGAGCCACGGGCCAGGAGCTATCAGAGCCCTGCACTGGCCTGGAGCCCATTCAGATCTAGGAGAGAATTCAAAGAATTAACGAGGGAGAAGTGGACTCGAGGCGTCCTCGATGGAGAGGCTGTATTGTTTATGCACCAGCGGTAGGCGGTACATCTCTGTCCCTGGTCCATTGGAAAACATGCCGTTGACTATGGGCAGAGGTAATCAATGAACATCATAGCGTTGAATGCATGTGTACGAGAGCAAGGAGCGGGGACGAGCGTTACGGAGCAGATGAGCAAAATGCAGAGAGCAAGATGCAGAGAGTCGAGGCTAGAGAGCTATTGTATGGAATGGCTAAAGTAGTCGGGTCGCCTTGAGCCTTGGGCCTTGAGCCTTGAGTCTGGGAGAGGACCCAGCAACATGGGCATGTGGGAACCAGTGTGGATGCGGAGGAGACAAGCGGGCAAGTGAAAGTAAAAGCGCCGGACAGGCGGGAAGCGAGGCGGCGTCACCCAAAACAGAGAAGGGGAGAAGTGCAGTTGGCGAAAACGGGATCTGCGGATACCAAGTCCAGATTGAGGAGGTGGGTTGAGCGTGAGTTCGCCATGGGAGCACGAGTGGGTTCCCAGACCAACGCTGGGAATCGCCGTGCGGGACTTGGGGCTCGGGGGAGCAGCGCCGCATCTCGCCGTCAGCTTGTGCCGGAAGATGCCCGGCGGGAGTAGCTCGTTGCTGATACGGAAAGCAGGTCCAGCCCTGCATCGGGGGCATCATCGTCGTCGTCGTCGTCAGAGCTTCGCTTGGATGTTGTCCTGGCTCCGCGGGGGGATTTTGCCTGGCGAGAGGTGATGAAACCGCCCTGGCGAGCGAGGTGGCGAGTTAACGGAGTGGGCACTGCATCGTTGGAGTGCGTTGGAGTGTCGGATTATTGGAGCGTCGGTGTGTCGGTGTGTTGGTTTGCGTTAATGAAGCAATGTGATAATGCGTCCAAATGTCGGCAGATCAGTTTGGGTGGTGGATCAGGACCGGCCAGGGATCGATGCGAATGTCTCGTTAGCGGATCGATTCGTCGCAAGCTCCATCATGACCACCACTCTCGTCGCCATTGCCATCGCCATCGCCATCGCCATTGCCATCGCCATCGCCATCGCCGTCCTCGAGTGATTCCCGCGCTTGCTTCAGCACCTCCCGCGTTCGCCCACATTGGCTCTCGGCTTGCTGATCCCACCGGCGGAGCTGGCGGTCTCGAAGCGGCTCCGTCGCCATTCGGGCCACGGCATGACCCGACTCATCCAGGATCCCAGCCGGTGGACAAGAAGGGATCCAGGAAAAGAGGTGGGAGCCAAGTTGCTCCGATCGGGGCCGGATTGGCCACCAAGCCGCCCGCTGCACCCATGCCTCCGTCTCGTCCGCGCTGCTCCTCCTGCTCCCTCCTGCTCCTCCTGCTCGTCCTGCTCGTCCTTCAGCGCCGGCGACCGTATCGTTTGATCACGGTTCATTACCTGATATCCCAGGGTACTTTTTCCACGGATACGAGATGAAGGTGTCCGAGAAAATGGTCGAGATGACGGCTGCACTTCCGCCAGTCAGAGCACTGTGGGGGAGGGGAAGATGGGAAAACAAGCGGGTACGCCCAAGACATTGTCAGTTCCGTCAAGGCGGGCAGATAGGGGGGGGAGTGATTGACGGGTGGAGTGCAAGCGAGTAGTAAGCACACAATCGACAGCATCGGGATCAGTATGGTCGCTGTCGGGACAGAAGCGTTTGCCCTCCCCGGCTGGGCCGGATATCCTCTGCGATGCCCTGCTGTGTCTCCCCGATTGAGCTGACACCATCTGCGCATGATCGGTTCGGCGGGTTGGGCAAGTTGATTGGGCGGGTTTCAGATGGTCCGTGAGCCAACCAAGCTGTTGACCATCCAGTCAGCCATACTTTTCGTGGGAACTGCATTGCCCTGCTGCCTGCCCTGTTGTCATGCCGCTCTGTTGCCCGCCACTTCCCTGCCGGCGCTATGTAAACCGCCGCCCCATATGATGCAATGGGGGCGTGTGATTGCTTGATGTTCGATGGATTTGCCGGGTGAAGGGCGGGGGTGAAAGCCACCGAGGCGAGGGAGCCAGGAGCAGATGCCCCCCCTCATCCCGCCGAATACTTGCAGCGTTGGTCCAGCCTCATCCGGCGCAGGTCGCATGGCCGGTCCAATGTGGTCGATTCCCCCGGGGTGTCCAGCGAGAGACTGCCTCTGTCTGATCCGGTCCATTCCCCCCATCAAAGTCCCGCGCAGTTTGCTTCCTGTTCCTGTCCGATTGCAGGCTGGATTCCAAATCGTGTTCCATGTGGATCCGATGCGTGATTCGTAGGCTGGCTGACTGGCTGGCTGGTTGGTCGGATGGTTGAATCGCAGGACGACGGCGAGGCACGGCGGCCGCCGAGCAATCGACCGAGCCCCACAGGGCGGCCAAGACAACAGTACCCATAGCGAGGAGAACTGCCAGAGCAACCCCCTCCCACGAGAGCAGAGGGGTGCGCTGGGTAATCTCAAGCCATTCCAGACTCCCCAGGGCATGAGTGAGTGTATGCGTATGCCATCACTCTTTGTACATACCGTCCCAGATCCACCAGATTGAACTTGAGCTTGAACTCCCCTTGGATGCGCACCGATATCGAGTTGAAGATGAAGAATATACTTCGGCCTCCGTTCGGCGATGTCAGGAACTGGCTGTGTGCCACTAAGCTGCCAAAGAGCGTCGGGATCGGGCTTATTTTCGAGGTCGACGACGGCAGATGCGGCGGCATCGCGCCAGACCCATACAGCAGGTGTTGCTCCTGGTGGTGCCGGTGGTGATGTTGGTGGTGGTGATAGTGATGGGGCGGCTGGGGATGGATTGTGCTTGGGGGCTCTGTGGCGGCAGGAGTGACGATGATGCTGGGATAGCATCCATATGTGCTGTCGTGGTGCACCGACCCCGAGGGAGACTCGGAGGTGTCGTAGGATTTACCGCCGTAGACAAGCCCTCCGGCGTTCGCATAGCTGTTGGGCTCGGCTTCGGCACAGTCGCCGTCAATGTCGTGCTGGTCTTCGAGATCGTCGAGAGAGCGATCGAGGGGCCGCAGCACATGTGTCTGCTGGAACCGCTCGTCCTTGGACCACAGCTCGGCATGGACGATAAAGTGGATAACCTGTTCTCCCCAGACCAGGCCGCTACTTGACAACGGTTCCGCGCGATGGTCGATGGTCGATGGTCGATGGTCGGTGGTCGATGGTCGGTGGTCGGTGGTCGGTGGTCGGTGGTCGATGGTCGATGGTCGATGGTCGATGATGGCATGCCATGACGTACCATGCCGACCCGTGAAAGGATCAGGAGCAGAATAGTAGCGACAGGTTAGTGATGGTGTCTACAATGATCGTTACCTATGCATCCGCAAGTTCCCTCGCCCCTCCAAAAAACCAAAGTGCCGCATCGACAACCATCCTGATCACAAATGGAATCGACCGCGGCAGGCAGAAACAGCAAAACCGAGCAATGCTCAAAGCTGACAAGTGGCCCCAGAGCGAAAGCTAAATATGACAAACGTTATCGAGTGGCAGCACTCTCAAGCCCCCCCCCCGCGTTTGCAAGAATGGCTCCTCGTCGCTGGCATTCCCGAATGTCGCAAGACGTCCTTGGTGCCAGTATGTAAAAGGAGTACTTGGGATACGAGCCGGCCTCCGGTCGCCAGAGTATCGGGTCATTCCCGCGAAGAGGGAAGGCCCTCCCCCCTAATACACCAGTCCATGCCTAATCGCCCAAAGGTCATTGCTCGCCATCGACAGTACCGTGTGTCCATAGGCAGCGATCGAGCGGCGAATATACCCATGAAAGTAGAAATCAAACGACAACCCCGGAGCCGAGCCGTACCGTCCAAGTGCACGGCATTACGGCCCTCGGTAGACCAACCATACCCAGCACAAGCAACAAACCCAGGATCAAAGGATCAACACCGAATCGAGAGCCACCCCCATACTCTCCCACAGGTCCTGCATCGCTGTCGCTCCGTCTACGCTAATCATCCCGGCCAGCGTCTCAATCGGTCTGCTATTGTTGCCTCCGCGCACCCACCAAAAAATCGGATCTGCCTCGCATAATACACTTCCCCCTCCGTAAACCTCAGTCCCAGACGATTCCTCACTCGACCCGCCTGCTCGCTCACGTCAACTCGACAGGAATGGCATCGACGCCGATAGCATACTCTGTGACTTGTTGCCCATTAGGCTGGATCTCGACGAGCCGCAGGATTGGAGGAGGATCGATCGGCATTTTCCGAGTTTTGTTGCCAAACCCGCAGCATCGGATCGATATCGGCTGTTGTACAATCTCGAGGGCGAATCTGCTGGCCATGGAGCGGGAGCGGGAGCGAGACAGCGACGATGGCAAGGTCGGGTAGAAGGACGTGTGGCCAAAGGGACCGAGCGGGATATGATGCGATGCGGCGTGGAGTGGTGTAGTGCGATCGGGCGAGGTGTGGTGGGATGCGATGTGGTTCGATGCAATGTGGTGCGATGCGATGCGGTACGATGAGATGCAGCAGGAGTACGGAGCGAGACCAAGCCAAGCAAAGCCAAGCCAAGCCGGACGGGATGCAGCAATGGTGGAATCGATTGGGAAGACGAGGAAAATAAACATGCAGCGTGCGGGCGGGTAGAATGGAACAGACGATATCGGATCAAGCCACGACGATTTCGCGGGTGAGGCAGCAAAGATCGGTGTTTTCGACAGCGATCCCGGGGTGTGGGTTCAAGCGAGGAGTCAAAGGGTAGATAGGGGTTAGTCCATGGGCGAATGGCTCGGATAGCAAGTTTGGACTTCAGGAGCAGTGGAAGGAGGGGAGGGAAGGAAGGTGGTCGATGGTGTAGCATTCCTGTGGTTGCCATGAACACCGGAAAAAATTTGTTTGGGGAGGGGGACAGTGGAGTACTCTGGCCCAGACGGACCAACGCGGCCAGGAGAGTGATCCGACAGGAGGGGATAAGGCGGGGGCACAGGGCGAAAAAGGCCGAAAGGAGGGGCGGCGGGCCGAGTCGACGATGGCAAGAGCCGGTGGATGCATAAGTGCAAGCATGAGCAGCGGCGCTGGAGTACCAAAGGGAAGGACGAGGGACGACGGGCACAGGGGGCCAGGGAACGAGAAGCGCTGGACCCAGAACACCACGGCCAGGGCAAGACGAGACACAAGGGCGAACCCAGACGGGTCCATACCGCACCTTCTCATTTCCGGGTTGGAGGACATCCAGTAAACTCGGACTCGAAAACGAAAGCTGGAGCTGGAGCTGGAACTGGGGTTGGAGTTGGAGCTGGAGCTGGAGCTGGTGCCGGAGCTCTTGATGCCGCTGACACTACTGAGGCTGTGAGATAGGCCGACAAATGCGAGAGAATAATGACCAAACGGATCGAGCCGAGGCCGCCAAGAAAGAGGAGAGGAGCCAGTGGGGTGGGGCGGGTGGATGATTGCCTTGGAGGGCGGCTCGGCACTTATGCGAGCCAAACACGGTTGGAGGAAAAAAAATTTGTCGGCGGGCCGCAGAAGACAGGAAGTGGGATACTTGAGGCCAAGACAAGCGACGCGCAAAGCGACTCGGCAGCGAGGGCAGCAGGGACGCTTGGAGAGATCCAGGAGCCCTGGGGTGACGGCAACGTATGGGGACCAGGCCCGAGGAAGCAATGGGAGCAATGATCGGGCGGGCGGGGCCTAGATTGGAAGCACAATCGAAGCAAACGATGGCAACAGACCGGGATGCTGAGCAGGCAAATAGGAGAGAACCTCCTGAGCAACTCGACCCACGGTGTAGCAACGTTGGCTGGGAAGGTCGGCAGGCAGAGAAGCAGGATGGCCAACGAACAAATGAACAAGCAAATGAACGAACAAACGAGCGAGCACGTCGGCGGCGGGTGGATTAAAGGGCAGAAAAAAAAAACGACAGGATCCAAGAGCTGCCCAGAGCGGGTTGGAGGAAAGACCGGTGCCGTGGTCGAGACAATGAGCAGCGGGCCGAGTGCCTGCCCTTTTGCCGGCTGTTTGGATGGCACGGCGAGAACGGCCGGGGGTTCAGCGGCGACCAGCATCCACCGTGTGAGCGCGAAGCTGAAGAAGCTCAGCAACACCGAGACGCAGCGGCCGGCAAGGAGGTGCCGCAGGAAGGTCAGCCGGTGTTTGCAGAGGTCAACAGAGGAGGGCGAATGGGAGGGGGGATAAATGGATATTTAACAAGGAGAGGGTACTTGGAGACGATGGGGAGAGCACACTTGGCAGGGCGGGGCCGGAGGGGCCAGCTCCAGAGCCAAGAACGGCGAGCGATGCGGGATGGGGCGGGCGGCACAAAGACCGGGGGTGGGTTGGGGCGCTTGGGAGGTGATGTTTGCAGTTGATACCAGTGGGCAAGTGTGGTGTTTGGGTAATGCAGTGTTGGGTAATGCGGTGGGGCGGGATATCAACTCGGAAGAATGGGGAAGACAGATGTGGGCCCACCAATGATTAAAGTACTTGATCAATGGTTAAAGCACTTGATTCAAGCACTTGATCAATAGTTAAAGCACTTGATGAATGGTTAAAGTACTTGATCAATGGTTAAAGCACTTGATCAATGGTTAAAGCACTTGATTAAAGTACTTGATCAATGATTAAAATGTTTGTGGTGTTGGTCGAATTGGATCACATCCGACGCATCTTCGTCGCCCTCTGCCCACACTGCCCTCCGTCCGATGCACCCGCACTGCTCACCATCTCACACCCGTGCCCACAAGGCAACAGCGCTGTGGACCGAGGGCGGCTGCCACCGTCAAGGCCGTGTGTTGCCCGCGCTGCCCGCACGACCCGCACTGCCCGGATGAAGTCAAGGAGCCCGTTGGCCGATCAGTGCACCACAAAGCCCACCCACAAAGCCAACCCACAGAGCCAACCCACAAGCCCACAGCCCGCCTGGGAAACATATCGTTGTTTGCTGGCGGATGATCCTTCAAGGAAGTGCTGGAGTTCCCGGTCGGCCATCTGCGACGCTGCGCTCGCCGGGCACAACTCCTCCCATGCAGCCCGATCTTCAACCAACACATGTAGTCACCCATGAAGCCCACGCTTCTTCAGCCGCCCACTCATGCATCCCGCTCGGTGCAATGTATTTCGCACGCCCCCTTTCCCTGCTCCACTCCCCCCCCCGTCTTTCCCTCCTATCTTGCAGCTCCTGTCCATGGCCGTCATCCACCGCCACAATCGCCAGGCATTTGCTCGCAAGGCACAGGCAAGCCCACCCACCAGACAGCCAGCACACCGCGCCGCTGGCCCGTCTGCCGTCGATGCTGCTCCAGTGGGTCCGGCTAAACCCCAAGAAAGACATCACCTGCTGCTCCGGACAAGCAGCCATCCGGCCTCTGGATCCTGTCAGGCAGTCCGGCCGTGTGGGTGGCTATTTTTTTTTTTTCTTCTCTGGGCCCGGAAGCCAACCCACCATCCTGGGTGGAGTACTTGCTTTCTCAGGGCAGGTCACCTCGCTCTCTCACCCAGGACTCCATCGCATGTCCCTATCGAAGCGTCGCGAGCCAGCATGACTGGCTGCGAGTCTGGCTGCTGCTGCACCCGTTGCATGGATGCACCAATATGGCAAGGTCTGCCGGTGGGAAGCACTACTGCCCCGACACACCGATGCATCGAGGTGGAGTACTGAGGCGGCCAGCCAGCCAGTTGGCCAGGCCGCACCTGCGTCGGTTCTTGGCATCCAGAATGGCGCATGCTGGAGTGGGTGCGAGCAAATGGGAGCGACCTTGCCCACCGATCCGGGCACCGTCGAGCACGGAGAGAAGGGGAGGGGAATGGGCTGGGAGGCAATGGGTTTGTGGGGGATGAGTCGATGTGACCGGCCGGACTGGCGACAAAGATCACCTGGTTGGTGTGTTGACGAGGCCAATTGGTGAACATCGCTCGGGCAAACGCCGGTGCATGTGCTTGAGCCCGAGAGAGTCTCGGCTGACGGCGAGCCATTGCAGGTCGACCGCAAACGCTGCGATGTCATGGACGAATCGCACCTCGACTTGATTCGGCACTTGGCAGATGTATTACGGCGTGGGACTCATCGTCTCGTTCGAACAACGCGCGCCAGAGTCGGATCATATCGCACATTCGGTTGCTGATATAATCCGACAACTTCATACTCGTTTCCAAGAGCAAGTGTCCCATTGTCTATTCAGCACGGTGTATACAGTGCGGATGGTATCATCCAGAGTTGGTTTGCCCAAGGGCAGAACCAACCATCGTCGCTTCTTTCGCACAGATACCGGGAAGCCAAGCGACTCGAGGAGGCCGTGTATCTTGATATCGATACACCATGAAGCTGTCCAGAGGACGAGTGAATGCACCACACCAAGAGATTGCCAACCAGGACGGGAACCAAATCGCATGGAGCCTACGGAAATCCGGCAGGCTTGTGTCGCTGATGCCAGAAAGTGACTGTCCCGTTTCTCTCTGGATCGGCCGTATGGGGAACTCATCTGACCGAGGAGGTTCCTGCAGTCATGCTTTTGATGTGCATTCCTTCGGCTCGTTCTCCACAGGAACGACCGCCGTGGCTAACATGGCTCTGTGCACAACAGCATGATGGGCAGCCACATCGTCGGTCTCTGGCCCGGGCCGGTTTTGGGCTGGGGACCAACGAGAAACCGCATTGCCTCAAGCTCCCCTCCCCCCGGCCATTCGCGCATGGCTTGCTCCTCTCCCTCGATCCAGCCAGCATCCATGTCGACACTGAGCCGAGCACCATCGACCAAGCACCGCTCGACGGCGTCGCTGGCGGGCTCGCTGCCCATGCTCTTTGGCACCGCCCGCATTGACGCCGACTCAGGCCTTCGAGACAGGGCGGACCGAGGTGGGTGGCATGCATCGTTGGTGCCTGGAAACCCGGCCCTTCATTATCAACGCAGCCTTACAGACGGACAACGACATAGACCCAGAGGCCTTGGGCCCTCCCAGAACAGCACACGGCTTGGCAGGGCGAGGGTGCAGAGTGACTGCCTGTCTGTCCAAAGCGCACTCTGTGGGTGCATTGGGGCGAACAGTTGAGGTATATTGCTGAAACCTGTGCTTTGGATGAACCCACTCAGCTGCCTCGGAGCTGTCCGAGTACTCGGCGAATTTACTGAACGAGCCATCCATGGGCCTCTATCGGGTGCAGGAGCATGTTCATGCCAAAGTTCCTCAGCTGGTCCAGCATAAGGTATATCTTGCCGGACCAGGACCGCTCTTGACGAGGAGCGCTCTTGAAGATCGAGTGCACACTCGCACTCCCTCCCTGCACATTCGCTGGGCTTGTGCTTCGATCTCGCCGCTGATATGTGCTGACTGGCCGCCGATTCTGCATCTCTTCAGAACGACCTTACCCAGCTCGGCAAGCAAGTCTCGCTTTCCAACTCAGATCTCGATGAAGCCAAAGAGATCCTGAATGAAATGGAGCGAATCCAGAGCTTCGAAAATATCATCAAGATGTTGCGCGAGTTTGGTCAGAAGCAAAAATCGAAATAGAATCAGATCTCTCTCCTCGCCCACATCGCCTCACCCAGATCACTTCGCCCATATCGCCTCGCCCTATCCCCGAGTGCGACGCATGTCTTGAGCGACAGTTCTGTGGCTAAAGGATGTGCGGCTAGCATTTGCTTCTAGCCCATAGCGCTCCTCAAGTGTTGCTTTGCTGATCGTCGCAGCAAATCCACCAGTCGTCGGGATGATCGTTTGATTTGATCCAATATCGAGAGATAACCGGCTCAATTTATTCAGCCCCCTGGCTCGGCACAGACTCAACTCCTCACCTCAGCTGGTCGCTGGGATTGGCTGACTCTGGGAAGTTGGCGGATCTGACCCAGTGCCGCACACCCAGCAATCTCTGTCCTCCAGCTATTGTCTTGGTGGGCTCCATGAAGCAGAGGCTACTTGTCTTGGCGAGGGGGATCCCAGCCTCCCCATTGAGGCCCGCCGGTTCCGAAAAACTGGACACCTTTGATGGGCTCGTCCCAGAGCGAGCTCGATATCGGCGCTGATGCCGAAGGCTCCGATGACGCTGAGGACGAGCATTCTCCGGAGAGGACACCGTCGAAATTCCCGGCAGTCCGCTGGGCCTGTTGCGAATTGGCTTCAGTCCAAAGGGCCTTGGCGACATCTTCGGCGTTCTGGTTGAACTTGGCACTGCCTTCTGGAGGCGAAAGCCCCCAGCCGGCAGGGATAAACGATGGCTTCCAGGCTTTGTCGGAGGGGCCAGGGGGGACGGATCGACTTTGATTGCCTGGGGCGACCGGTGCCGATGATGAGGGCGAGGGCGACTCCGATGGGGATAGCTGCTCCATGCTGCTGGAATGTGTACGGAGGTCGAGACGGAGATGAGAGGAATGGGTTGACCCAGGCTCATCCCAATTCGACCAGCCCGTCATATTCCGGATTGGCGGAGGAGGATTTCAGGGCCGCATTCGCGCCGCCAAGCAGCCAGTTCCATCACCAAAGGGATCAATAGCGGCACGCCAACTGTATTCAGCAGCATCGAGATTTAGATATGCAACAGCGCTGATGTATGCCGACAATCTTGCTGCCGCATGCCAGAGGGTTCGGCCACAGTGGTCCTGCCCGACGATTCAACACATTCTTGAGAGGACGAACTTGCTGCTTGTGGTGGGCTTCTCGGCATCTTTTTGTACCTGGTCCCCACAGGGAATCTCGGTGAGACATTCCCGCGAGTCGATTTTCCTCAGCTTTCGAACCACAAAGCATCGTCTCGACTCGAATTCGCTGCTGATACATGCGTAATAGGCCACCAGACACGTCTCTGGTATCGCCGTCACTTGGTACTGGAAATTGGCGAAGCTAAGGAACCAATAGCACCCGCAGTTGGCCACCGCCACCACGAGGAGCACCGGAAGAAAGAAGGTAGACAGCAGCCCTGACTGGGCCGAGACAGAGATGATGGAGATCGTCAATGCCGCGAGACTCTGGTGAAAGATGGCGATGCCGGTGTCGCCTTGGTGGGCAAGCATCGTCCCGACATGCATCACGGCCCAGCCGGCAATGTTCGCAGAGGAGGCAAAGAAGATGATCATCTGGACTGCCAGTGGTGAGGTCCGAATGTCCTTGATGAGCAGCAGCAGACACGGCCCCATCAATGTGCCTCCAAAGAAGGCCAGCTGAACCGTCGTGCTCCAGAGAGCAGGGGCAGACTGGCCAGATGCCTGTTCAACTGTGTCGAGATAGATCGGAACAGCTGCGCTCATGACGTTGATAATAGTTGTGGCAATGTGCTGACGGATGGCAATGTGGTTCCAGTATCTGCGCAACGAGCGTCGGGCCATGGGTGCGAAGCAATAGAGAGACTGAGTTGATGGTGTGAGCCATACACCATGATCAAAGCGATGAACAAATGGGACAGGGTCGAAGCGCATCAAACTCGGTCATATATCGCCAACCAAGCGGGGCCCGAAACAAGGCATAGACACATCCTCCAATGTTTCTCGGCGATTCAGCGCAACGTACGTTCGAAACTCGGCCTCCAGCTCGCGGCTTTTGAACCGAAGATCGATCCATTCGTACCAAACATTCCGGACACTGAAGGATGGCCGTAGAACCTGTCCGTTGGCCACCAGCAGGTTGAAAATCGAAAAGGCATATTCGCCCGTGTCGATGAACTTTTCAGAAATGTAGTTCTGGAGGTCTTTGAGGAATTGCATGTCCAGCCGATCCAACGCCCTGTTGAGGCTGCGTCCCACCAAAAAGGTTTCGCAAGCAGTTAGGTCCTGTTCCCGAGAGGGGAGGGCGAGACGTTTGGCGGTCAGCGAAAGGATATCGAGCCCTACTTATGACTGCTACGATATTAGTCGCACGCTTTGCAGAGGAACAGACAGAAAGGCTTTGATTTGCAGGAATGAAGGGTGCTGGACCATACATGAACGAGGGATGCAGGTCGATGAAGCCAGTGCCAACGCTCACCTGGACAAAGGCAGCGAGCAGACCGCTGGCAATCACTTTGATGTACCCGACCGTGATCGATACGCCCTCGACTCCATGGTATTGATCAGAGCTATAGATTGACCATAACACTGAGCTCAAGACCAGAAAGGACGCGCATTCTGTGAGGATCAGGATCTTGGGAAGTTTGATGATTGCTGTCAAGCCAAATATCAGGCAAACGTCGTTTGAGGTCAGATACGCAATTGCATCTGGCAGGAGCAGGGTCAAGCCCCCAACAAGAAGCGAAATCCAAGACATTGCTGATGAGGCTGCAACCAGATCTTGGGAATAGAACAAGAGCTTGTGAAGTGACTTGATGGATAGAAGTGCCAGGAGCGAAACCGAGACGACTGAAGCAAAGCTGAATCCCAGCATGACTTGGATAGAGGTCAGCAGTGAGATAGTCGAGCGTTATCATGTTAATACGAGGGCCCGCGAAGCTCCGGATCCAAACAGATATCCCAATGAAGAAAACTGGCGATCGGAGGCTTCAGCTGCAACGGCATCTGTCGAAATATACAAATGCTCCGCCGCCTGTTTCGCAGAGCAGTTTTGAACGAGAGCCGGCTCATAAAGCCGATGAAAACCAACGCTCAACAATCTGCAAGTTGAGCTCATGACAGAGCATACCTCCTGTGCCCATTGCACCACGAGCTATCGCGTTTGTTCCGATACTCAAAATATAGAGGATACAGAGGCACAGATTGATTTTGAAACGCCGAGCGCTCCTTCGATTGTATTCAGACCATTCTCGTTGGCTCTGGTGGAGGTAATGCTGAGGGTTACCGAACTTGGAAACAGAACCAAATCCAACACTTCAAACTGTGTGGGAATGAGTTGCGACGAGTCTCAGGGTGAATTTCGCTCTGCTCACAGATATGTCATCAAATTTAAGTCCCAGCAGCTGCTTAAGTGATATGAGACGCATTGCTGGGGAGCAGAGAGATGGGTGATATTAACCCGGTGAGGAGTCGAAGAAAAATAGCTTCTCAGACAAACGTACGTCATAACAGCGAAACGGGACACCTGTGCACATGGATGACTTGTGTGGGTTGCGTGGCATGTGTGAATCAGACGGACGACTTTGATTGGCACCACTATGAGCTGGTTCGGCGAATTTCTCCTTGCCCTTCGTCTTTCCCAGGTATGTCTTTTTGCTTTGAACCACAGTGCCTGCATCTGCAGCGGCTCACTGGCGCCCGTCGCGCTCACTCACTCCACGCATCTCCCTCGCACATGGATATGATTAGATCCACGGGTGCGTGATATGATCCGACTGCGCAGTGTTTGTCCGGATGAGACGATGTGTCCCATTGTGCTTCAGCACGCTCTGCCTGGATCCCGAAATACATTATATTCAGGAAAAAACGGGACAACACACCCGTTTCCATAAACATGTAGTCTGTGCTGTGCTTGCGTCAAGCAAAGCCATAAGAAATAGATCAGATCACTTTGGCAGCCTCCGAGTGAACACCACCGGTCGCTCTCCGATCTCCACAATCGACCTGCATACTGTGATCATGTTGCGCGCCGCATTGACGTCGCGATTCCACACTGTCCGGCAGCTGGGATTCTTGCAGCTCCTGACAAAGTGGGAATTCGCAACACTGGGCGCATCGAGTCCTTCCAACCGAACTGGCTCCAGGCACTTGGAGCACACTTGCGAGGTGTTGAACTCGTTCGTCGAGACTACCTTGACGCTTCCATGATGGTGATTGGGACGGCGTCGGTGGTGCTCGAATTGCTCAAAGTACTGAGCAAACCGCTGCCTCCGAGGGCTGGATGCATAGCCCTTGCCCTGTCGCCATGATGCATTGCCAAAGGCGATCACCACATCGGTCCGTATCGGGGCGTGCTTCAGGACGGCCTTGCACATCCTGTCGACGGCCACTTGGCGCCTCTTGTGGCCCGTGAAGCGATGGTGACGGGCCTTCTTGCCAAGGTGGAAGTCGAGCTGCACTCGCAGCTCCGGTCGCAGGACATGGGTGAGATGGACCTTGAAGGCCTCCGAGGATGACACCTTGGGCGAGGGGGTGGTCGACATCCAGGTCTCGATGCCGAGCTGCTTCTTCTTGGCGTTGTGTCAGTCGGTGTTGGACGTATGGCCACACATGTGCTGATAGTGGCCATTCGAGAACGAGACCACCTCGTCTTGGTGGCCCGGTGCTTGGATGACCGCCGTGAAGATGGAGCCGACTCCAGGATCGATGCCAATCCAAGTGGTGCGGTTGGGGTCTGGGTCGCCGATGTGGGCCTGGATACGCTGTTCGGCAGTCGGAGGAGGCTCGATGGTCTCGGTGTGATCGGTTCGAGGCACAAACTTGACGAGGCCGATGGTGCATCCAATGCCATCGGTGCTGATCTCGTAGTTGAACAGCTTCTTGTTCACGTCCCGCTCTTGGAAGAGGGAACGACGCAGCTTGAAGCAACTGCGCCAGAGACGATCCTGGTTGTTGATGCCGCCATCACCTTCTTCCTTGAGCTTGTCCCGGGTGAGTCTAAGACGATGTTCGGTGTCAAGGAGTTGCCAGAGAGTGACCGTGTCAATCTTGACATACTTGGCCCTTGCAGTGCATAGAGGAACCATCGTGCACACGGCCGGAGGAGTGTCGACGGCGAGCTGCTTGAGTGCCCAGTTGATCCTGGATGCCAGCTTGTTGATCTTGGCCTTGGTGGTGCCGAGCTCAGACTTGGCCGTGGTGAACCTCTTGTCGTCGGAGGGAATGCCTCGGGCAGTGAGCCTGTTCAGCTTGGCCTGGTGCTGCAGCTCGGTGACTCGGAGGGCGGGCATGTCACAGTCGATCCACTTGTGGACATTGTCGACCATCTTGTCTCGGGCGAGGATTCTCACATGGTGTGAGAGGCGACGGAGGGCCCGGAAGCGGTCCTGGTCGTTGCTGTACCGAAACTCGTCCAGGACGTGGCCAAAGTCTGGATAGAGGAACTCGAGATCGGCCTTGGGTGGAGTCTGCCCTGGTTTCTCGAAGAGCTCGAGACAGGCCTCGATGGCTTCGTGCTTATGCTTGTTGGCTGGGAAGACGGCAGCGCAGAAGCGGCGAAGGAGTCTCCAGTAGGCCAGGTTGAGGTGGGTGGTGCAGTTGGTGGCATAGGCATTGACAGCCAGGGTGAGAAGCTGACTGTGAGCACCATCAGGCAGACGAGGGGCCGGAGGCAGGTCTGCGTGCCGAGTGGACTGGTAGTCGCGAAAGGAAGCGACCAGATGCTCGTTGTATTTCTCGTTGTCCCCGGTCGGCGAGAGGGCACCGGCCTGGACGATCTTGAAGCATTGACGGATGAATGCAGGGGTGGACTTGGAGATGACGGGGACGGGAAGATCCTGCTCGATGCACCTCAGGATGTGCAGGTTGAGCAGCCTGGATGCCTCGAACTGGATCTGGGTCATGGCTGCGACAGTGGCCTGGATCTTGTCGCGGAGAGCGGGATTGAGACAACAGCCATACATCGTCTGCTTGAAGCAGCTGAACTGAGGGGCGGATGACCTTCCATCCACGAGTGGGACGACAGAACTCTTGAGGGGCCGGTATTTGGGACATTTGCTGGTGTTGCAACGTTCGTGATCGGTGCCATCGCACTGGCGACATCGCTTGCCGGTACTCGAGGAAGTAGATGGACCAGGCTCGGTGGGATCGACATCCATTGGATCTGCAGAAGCAGTGGTGGTGAGCGACGGAGCAACAGACGACCAAGCATGCGTGGGGTCAGAATACGAACCAGAGACAGGCTCCGACTGTGACTTGGCTTTCTTGGGCCTGGGTGGCCGAGGCTGGCCATCACCGGTACCCTTACGCTTCGGAGGCATGGGGACAGAGGATGCTGGATGCCTGCCAGTGGTACTGGTCAGAGCAGAGACTTCTTTTTATCGTACAATGGCGCGATGATCAGATCAAGGCGAGATGAGGGAAGAAAGCAGCAGGACGAAGGTGTGGCATTTATACCCGAGAGCAGGAACCCGTCTTTGCGGGCTGGTTGGAAGCGACCCTGTTCAAAAATCGCCGAGAGGTTCAAGCCAGGGATGTGAACGCGAAAATGGCGGCTTGATTGGAGGGAACTCAACCCCAGAAGCGCATCGCTCGCTCAATCAGCCGTGGGAAGACATCTGGAAGCACCCTCCGAACGGCAGACTCAAACAGGGTCACCATCCCGACTCTGAACCCCTCGGAGGCATTCAGCGCTGCCGCCTTCCTGTACTGATGCTTCACAATCCCAAAGAAGTTCTCGATGGGATTGAAGTCGGGTGAAGCAGGTGGGGTGAAGATCACTGACCATCCTCGGCGCTCGATGCAGTCCAGGACAGCCATTGTCTTGTGCATGCTGACATTGTCCATCACAATCACAGAGTCGTCTGGGAAGCTCGCTCGCTCAAAGAACTCGACCATCGAGTGTGTCTTGAATGATGTGGGGATGTACATGCGATGCAGCACACCAGAGTGGTTGATGGCAAATGCAGCCGAGACAGACTTGTGTTTCATGTGATTGCGCTGGCGAAGCGGAGCACCCTTCGGTGAGTATCCGTAGAGAGGGAAAATGGATTTCCTGATCCCTGTCTCGTCGACAAAAACGAATCGCCGCGGGCCAATGGAGCGGGCCTGGTCCCTGAACTGTGCCACTCGCTCATCCAGTCGCTTGGACTTGTAGAGGTGTGTTGCCCTCTTGTGTGAGAGACCTGCTCGGTGGATGGCAGTGTGGCAGAGTGAGAGTGATACTTTCCTCTGGAGGATGGACTCGAGCTTGCACCGCAACACAGGACCAGTCTGGAACGGGTCCTGTTCAATCAGGGTGCGAATGACTGGACATGCCTGCTCGAAGAAAGTGGATCTGCGAGCTGGGACCCGGGATGGGTCATCCAGCTTGCATCCTCGGTGCCATCGATGGATGGTGCTCTTGGACACACTGAATATGGAGGCAACCTTACGCAGGCTATGGATGAGGGCGTAGCATCGCAATGCGGCGGTGCGAAAGTCGGATGTGTGGCGAATGGTCATGGCCAGCGCGCGATGATATTGGGTAACAAAATATTCGATGAATGGTCAAAAACCCGGGTGTCCCGTTTTTTATTGGATTGCCTGTAAGGAGCATTCAGGTTTCTTGTTGCTAACCGGCCACCTGCGAGCAACTGGTTGGATTTACAGGAGGTGGTCGGTTATCAGGTTGATTCTGGGCCCATCCCCCGCCAAAGATAAAAACGAAACGAGCTGAAGGCCAATATTTTTGAGTCATTGAAGGCTCCAAGTGACTGTGGACACGATGCCCAAGGCCGTCTTCAAGTTAGCATTGAGGGAAGTAGATGCGATGGTCGTCTTTGGCTATGCATGACGACGTCATCCCAAGGGCCATGCACCGAGTTCCCGGACGCACCCCTTCGTTAGGAACCTCGTGTCAGTGTGTTCGAATGGCCTCGAGGGGTCAGTGTTGTGATTCCCGCACTTTGAGGAGCTGCATGAATCCTATCTACCGTACTGCGTGCAGTCGCGGTGCCAATGCGGCGCAACACGATCTGCCTGTGAAAGGTAACAACAGAGAGCAGAGAGCAGCGAGTGACTTTCAAGACCTGAGATCCACTCACTGTCTTTGGCTTAAAGGC